TCTCTCTCTCTCTCTGTCTCTCTCTCAAGACGACGACACAGCAGGGCAAAACGAAAAACAGAGGGGCGCAGAAAAGCCGGCCGAATGTCTGGGTTGCGAGAGCCAAAGTAGCAGGCCCGAACCAGCGGTGAGAGCCTGGTGCGCCCAATTGACATCGAACAAGTCTCAAAGCATGTTTTGACTGCCGTAAGCCTCACCTGAAATTTGTGCTTTGCGCGCCGCGGCCTTAGTTTGCTGCCACTGGTGGCCGACTGAGGCAAAGCGGCCCAATGCCATGCATATTTCGTGGCTAAAGCAGTAGGAGGAGAAGTTGCCTTAATTGACTAAGACGAAAAAGGGAAGTCCACGGTCGCATTCGCCAGCGAATACCTTTGACACGAACCTCGACGCGTTCAGTGCACGAAATCACATGATTGCTAAAGCCTAGGTGGGCTAGTAGAATGGCGAAGTCCACTAATGAAGGGAGCGGGATAGGCTGTAGGGGAGGGAGGACACTTCTGCCCGACCCTCACCGTGTTGTTCGTGCATTGCATTGCGCTAGGTTGCCCTGACTCGAAAATCGAACGCCCCGGGACAATGCAGCCTTTCGTCCGGACATTAAATAACATTGTCTTTCTGCTTTTTCCTCAAGCCTCTCTGATTTGGAAATTATTTCCCAGCCCACGCCTGTCCAACAAAGAACCAACAGACCCAATTCTATACTTTGTATCGGCTCCTGGCTTAGCACGGGGAAAACTGGCTGGCCTGTTGCTAGTTGCCAGGTCCCTCGCTTCCTCCTGTCAGGCTGATTCGTTCAGTAACACACCCGCACGCTTTCAGCAGCCAGACGACCTTCGTGATCACAATGTCTAAGCTGCTAGTGGTCAGACGTCGTCCGCGAGAACTTCCAAAATCAGACTCCATCGAGTACGTGTATCTGATTGAACCTTCCGAGCTGGGAGCCGAAGGTTCGTCTGGGGGCGACTCAGCGGCACCAGGGACGTGTCTCGGTCTAGTCACATGCCCTGAGCATTGCCATCTTCTGGGAAGGCACCGGATACATTCCACGACTGCAGATAATGAATCACCAGTCTCTGGAATCTGTCAGCAATGCCATGGTACCAAGCAGGCCCACAGTCCTGCAGCGATCAGCGGCGATGGTCAAGCAGCATCCCGAGGTAACATTGCGAATCCCGAGCCAGTGGGTCAACAGCTGGCAGCAGTGCAGTTTGGAATACAGCAATCGCTCACCCAAGCCGTCGTAGAGATGGCCGAACGCCTACACGGCGCGAACGACAGGCTTTCACACTTGGAGCAAGCGGTCGCACAAAGTGTCAGAGGTCAAATGCGCGATAGCAACATCCTTAGCCCTCCAAAGATCAGATCGTGTCAGCACATTGTATACGGGAGTGAAAGGACCGTCCCTCATCGCCGGGTCAAGGGTATTGCTCGGCGGCGCCAGGGTGAAGAAGGACGTTGGCTTATCGTCTGAGAAGGGGAGAAGTGGTAAAAGGTCTCGAGTACTGGGGGTGCAGTTCCCAGTGGAATAAATCACACGTCTTGCCGACAGCCAGGCGATGAGAACCTACCTATGTACCGCAAACCTCGAGGAATTCACCTATGAGGGTTAGTTAGTTCAATAGCTTGTACAGTCTGGTCCGGGACAGACCTTCCACCGGCCCCAAACGTAGATGATTGTTCGTTTGTGTTCAGGGATTAGACACTATGGGCACGCACACGCACTCACCAGTTACGATAACTTCTGTGTCAGCAGAGAACTGTGGTACCATGGTAGGGTACGCCACATATTTTGCCTCTATCTGCATTGAAGCAATTGTGCTAGTCAGTTGTTCATCAGCAGGTCCGCAAATCGAGTGCGAACAAATCATAAAGCACCAGCAGTGATTGCACGAGGTTCTGGCAAAATACAGTAAGCAGTAGGCGAGGAAGCGAGGATGGGGAGAGCAGTGACTGGGTCGATCGAAAGAGATGCCCTGAAGTGCCACAGGAGGGTACCTTGGGTGTATAAAGGGTCCAAGAGCGAAAATAGGTGTTATAGGCTAAATTTCTCTAATAATGCTTTTCGGTATCTGTGGTGCCAGTAGGCAGTGAGTCCGTACACACGCTTATAAATGCGTACTCTGGAGACATAATGGGATAAGGTCAGAGCCAGCTCTTATACCGACAACAGTAGAGCCCGATTGGCAAGGGCTGAGAGTCTGCGGCGTACGTGTAAAGTCCCTGTCCGGTCTATACTGTTCCTAGAATACAGTCTTTAGAGTACTAGTTTCTAGAAGTACAGTTGCTACGAGTGCATTTCACCCGAGTTGATTTCACCCAAGTTGATTTCATGCGAGTTGATTTTATGCGAGTTGATTTTATGTGAGTTGATTCTATCTGAGTTGATTTTATCTGAGCTGATTTTATCTGAGTTGATTTCTGCGAATCCATTCGCCAGTCCACCCGCCGCGAGTGCATTTGCTGCACCTCAAAAACTCGGGCACCAATGAACACCAGTCTGCCCTGCGGCACCTAGCTGATTAGACTGGCGCAGGAACGTCCTGGCTTTCTACATAAGCTAGCACCCTCCGGATTCAGGGCATCATGGGCGCTGCAAGCCACTTCACCTGCAGAATTTTGTGCCCAATTTGTCTGGTCGATGATCTGCGCTGTATGGGTGGTTCTGGGGGTCCTTCCCGTGCATTCGTATCTGTAGTTCTCAGGAATTCCTACATCGAGCACCCTCTCGCGCAAAGCTCCACAAGATTATTAAAATTCAATTACATCCCCCTCGGTCAGAGAGAGTCTCCTGTCTAAACATGTAATCCTGCCACGACCAGGTAATTCACGATTGAGGCTTGATTGCCAAGAAAGATCCAGTTAGCAATGCTACCATGAACCACCATCAGCACCACGGCCACCACTTTCAGTGCCATCACTGCGAATGGCACCGTCATCCGAGTGACCAACACTGCTACTGCTGCTGTTGTTGTTGTTTGCAGCACATTGAACAACCTTCCCCACCAGACTCGGAAACGAGTGGCCCTTTGCATTGCTGTAGCCATCACAGAACCTGCCGCTGTAAGCATGATCACTCCCTCTTTCCCTCTACCAACCGAAGCCTGGCGAGTACACTGGGGCCACCCAGCTGATCAGCTGTCCTTGAGCAGTCCATGCAGTTCTGGGAAATGTCCATAGCGCAGACGTCGACCAGCCCCTTCTCGATCCTCCCGCACATCCACTGGCAGTGGTACAGGCACTGTCCCCATCCCAGACCAGCATGATCGAGGATCGTGCCGGGCCACCCCAGCCGAACGACAGCCGCGATGGCGTGCGTCCCAGAACACGCGGGCCATCTTTCAACAGTATCCCACGACAGTACCTACCAGTAGGTGGTGGAGCCCCTCCAACCGCATCCCTAGGCGACACACACACACAGTCTTCAAGCGCCTAGCAGGCGCGACTGAGCGTCTAATGCGATGCCTGGACGGTTCCTCATTTTCAACAGGAGGTCTGGCGCGCGACGACGACGATTCCCGAAGCAGTCGAATCCGCCACACGGCCAGGGGAGCCTCTGCGCAGGCGCACTACCGGCAACAGCAGTGGAAATGACGGTCACGGGGGCGAGAGCAGCACGCCTCCCAGGCTTGGCTGGGAGAGAGACCGAGACGGTCGGACAAGGTTTCCCTGGTACTGAGGCTCATGAAATTAAGTCCATGGCTTGGCCAGGTCCATGGCCGCAGTAGTCAAAAGGCACGGAAGAGAACAGACCTCAGCCCAGCGTAGAGGAAGGGGGGGGCTGACGTCGCCACAGAGTTCGCGTCGAAATGGGTCACGTGCTAGTCCACCTGAGTACAGCTGAGTCTTGGCGCTGCTATCGGCTCCAGGCTTTCCAGTCTTTCGGTCTTCCCGTCTTCCAGTTTTTGGGAACTGTACTCTGTACCTTCTAGTGGCTTCTTAGCTGAGGCACGGAGTACTAGCTTCGCATGGGGCCGGCGCGAGGAGGAAGAGTGGATGGGATCTGCATGACCAAGCTCTACGATCTGCTGTACAATAGGAAAAAGAGAAAAGAAGATAAAAGAGTAGATGAAGTTTCGGTGCGTTCTGTAGACTACCTCTCACGCAGCGTCTAGCATCGCTAGCCAGTAGAGGCGTTGTGGTCCTCTCACCACCACAACTCTGCAAGGCACCGTGCAACACCCTTTCCTCGCCTCTTCGGTCAAAAAGTGGAACCAGAAAGCCCGATCAGACATCTCAGCCTTCATACTCGGAGCCCATGTGCATTCGGTAAGTTGGACATGATCCTCAGTGCCGTCTCAGGCCACCTCCTCGTCCTTTTTGTTTTTGCTTGTTCTTTCCGGTTCTGTTTGTGCCATCTTGTTCAAAGGTAGAGAGTGTAGCAATCCATCGTTTTCGTCCCCCGTTCTTCGTCGTCATCCCTCCAAAAAGAAGCCAAAGTAGTAAGCCATTCCAGTGGCTGGCTCCATCGATAAGTCAATATGACAGAGCACGTGCAAACATCCTTGAATATCGAATATCGAAGACCAGTATCATCAGTGAAGAAGACCAGTGCGAAACGGATATTGGTGGCGTTGCGTGCCAATGACTTGGCCAAGGCTGGCTCCAGTGGCAGATTAAGAAAGTGTGGTTGAAAGTAATATATCTTCAGATAGCCTCAAGCAGGCTAGCGTCAGTGGTGTACGATTTGGTGTCGCAATCGTAGGGGTATTGGTGTCGTTTCGTTGATTGGTGTGGTGTATGCAATAACCACATGAAAGTGGTGCTGAAAGTAGAGAGTGATCCCACCAAACCGAGCCCGCAAAGCGTGGTGCAGGCTGCCAGGTCGTAACAGTCGTGAGATGGAGTCGAGTCGTGTTGAATCCCAAAAGATAACGCCGCGTTTTCAAGGTTGGATGGCCATCCTCCAGCGATCCTCGTTCGTGATCCCTGGTATTGAACGGCAGATAGTCCTATGCCGTTGTTCTGGTCCTTGAAAATATCCCAGCCGCCAATGATGTTATTAAAAGGTATTATGCAGATCCAAGACTGAGCAGCGCCTCAATCGCTGCTTGTTCGGAAGAAGAATTGACGCCAGCGTCACGGGGGAGATTATGGACAGGTCGAGCCTTGGTTGGCGCGGACTGTGCGAGGGCTGGTGTTCGGGACCGATGCCTCGCAGAGGAATAGGACGCGATCGAATATGAAGCGATAGGCTGATATATTCGACTGCCACCAGAGGGTTTGCGAATCTGTCCACCCTTGGGTAGAGAGCGAGCTCGAAGTGCTTCGGCACCGATGCTCTGCCAGTCCTCATCCTCGGTAACATCGCCTTCCCCAAGATCAATGTCAATGTCCTCGCCGGGAGAAGATGACGCATAACCATCTTCATTGCCGTCGAGAGACATCTTATCGGCCTCGTGCTCGAGCATATCTTGGTCGTCATACTCGGCTTCCGAATGGGAGAAGACGCCAGAGTTGCCAGTGAAGCTGGTGCCGAACGCTTCAGACCCACTGTGCTGGGAACGTTGGCCAGGCACGTTGAGGCTGTGGGAATATGAGTTCGGCAGACTTCCCGGCGGGGTGATGGTGTTGGAAGCTCGATCTCGTGGCGGTTGGCCCTTGAGACGCGCGTCCCATCTGCCCCAGCCGACCTTGTCGAAGATGACATCGCCATTCAGGCCAGCACCATCAGCCCCACTCCCGCGGCCTTCGAGCGCAGCCACGACCAGACGTCGCGCCTTTGCGGAGGTGATACGGGAGAAGCCAGGCACCGAGGTGGTCAGGTAGCCCATGATGTGGCGGATGGCAAGGGGCCCATGAGCCAACAGGATATCTGGAAGATGGTGCTTAGCGAGCAAGCCGGGGGTGATGGCTCCGACAGCATCGAGATCGCCGAGGCGGTCCAAGGCCTCTGCGTTCAGCGCGCTGGCTTCAGCAGGAGCATCTTTCAACTCGACATCCGAGTCCGATGGTCGTCGGTTGGTGGGCGGAAGGTTGGGGGAGATGGAGTGAGGCGGAGTCGGCAGCATGTCGCCACGCTGCTTTCTGGCCGGTACAGCAGTGAAGTTGTCCCGGGCGGCGAGGTTCTCGCGGGGCTTGGGTATATCGACAGAGGCGGACTTGCCGTTGAGGGCCATGCCGAGGGCAGAGACAGCTCTGGGAGCCATGACTGAAATTCAGATGGAAGATGATCTGAAGGCGCGTCAGATATGAGTCAGGCGCAGATAGGAGAGATGATGCGAGTTGGTTTGAGGACGGGTGTGTCGCGGTCGCGTTGGTGGGAGAGACGTGTGGATACGTACCTGAGCTGGTGAGGTCGGCTGACGTGTCGGGCTGAAGTCGCAGGCTAGGTCGATGATCGGGTCGCGACGCGAGGTTGTGTGAGTGATGACGATAGAGACGACTTGATGATGAGTCGTCTGGATCGTGAACCGAGTATCTTCCGGGCTGTGATGGAAGATGGGGAAGATAGAAGAAGCAGCAGAAGAGAAGCAGGGAGCAAGTAGCGATTGATATGGTGGCAGGCGCGGGGGGCGTGTTGGATAGTTGGAACTTGGATGCGCATGCAGGTATGGTTGGTGAACAGGATGGGGATGGGATGGGATGCGCATGGGATGGGGATGATCGGGTCGCGCAGGCGCAGCTAAGGCAGCCCCCGTTCGCATGACTCTCCCAGACAAGACCCACCAAGAGCTGCTGGGGGGGCCCAAAGGCTAAAGTGGAGTCTGGGCCGTGGGCGCTGATCTTCCCTTATCACGCCCACTGGCAGTGCCGCCCTCTACTCCGTAGGGATCATGTGGCAGCCGGAAAAATATGCCTCAAAGGCCATGCACGAGCGACCTCAGCAGTATCTCGAGCAGACAAAGAGCATTATTGTTCTCTTGCCGATGTTCCCGTGACCCGACCGCCGCTGACGCCGTCTACCTTGTGACTGATAAGCCCAGTCCCCAGGTAGGTACGGAGTACGAGAGGACCTTATCGTGAGGAATGGCGCGGAAGCTCTCTCCAATTTCATCCTTCCCTGGGCCCGGGTCAAGTCAACGCGTGGTGAGTGACTGGTTCAGGCTTCAGCACACCCACACAAATCCACACATACCTACGGAGTACACAACGCCCCCACCTCGGCCTCGAACAATGAAGCACCCGATGAATCCTCCCCGTCCTTTCGCTCATCCCACGTGTGGCCAAACATTTGCCCAGCTCTGCTCCTCATTGTACAGGCTTGATTGACGCCAACCTTCATCTCCGCTTTCACACACGCCTCGGCTGGTATTGCGCAATTGCCCATGCCCGTTCGTCTACGGTAAAGAAGCCGATGGTGGACTTGGAATACCTGCTCCATTCTGCACCGACAGCTCATCCAATATTCGTCCTGCCTTTGTGTGCGTGCCTTGGGGCTCTCTTGGTTGTCGTTCGTCGTCTCAGCAATACTTAAGTTTACGTGCAGGAGTTCATTCCCGGGGTAGCTGAAGCGCTGAGCGCTGTCAGAATCATGTGCGTGTCATTTGGGCCACGAGCGACTTTGTCGCATGGCGATTGGGTGGTTGTGTTTCTGGGGTGCGTAGACGCTGCCTCCATAATACCTGTAGCATACGTATGTAGGACCAACCTGGCCGTTGTTAGGCGAGGAGGAAGAGGATTGTATTGTGAGTCGGCCAATTGCGGCGGGCAGCGCGGCCATGCGCGCCTCCCATGGTACCTGCAGCTTCATAACGACGAACACTGTCTCACTGTGAGCCCAGGACCTACTTGTATATGATGTCAGATACTACGCCATATTGCCATCTCCAGGACGTCGTCGCAGCCGCACGTTCGAAGGATCCGCGATGAGCTTGGGAAAATTTCCATACAGATGATGATGGATCTCAGTCATGGTTAGGCTGGCGTGCTATTTGTACAGTGGTACGGAGCTAGGTAGCGCTTCGCACATACCAGACGACAACCAGATACTGGCACATGCACATCCTGCTGACACTTTGTTCATCTTCATCTTCTTTGTTGTTGCAATTATATGAGGTATCACTCAACTGCAGATCCCTTCAGAAATCCCCAGCATTATTGTCGTCCGAGGTCATTAAGTATCCAAACATAAGATCTTCTCCAGGCAAGATGCAATCGCGCCGGAGGCAATGCAACGCAACGTAATAGAATGCTCAAACCAAAAAAGGTGTGTTGTCACAAATCCCCTTGTCCCGAGGATGTGTCGCTCCCAATTGTCCAGGCCGGAGGTTTGCCCGCTGTCGTGCTGATGTTTGTACATCCAACTCCTTCGATCATCGTTGAACGGTCCACGCTCTTTCCACTCACATCGTCAAGCGATTGTCTCTCTTCACCACCTCTCCTTCCACAGTCGACTCCGCAAGGGCAGGCAGGCGTGGTGTGGGCGGTGTGCTGTCATCGCTCGTCTCTCCATTGCCACCTCGGTGGCCCACACCCAGGAACAGCCCTCGCGGCTTCTTCCTCGTTTTGCCCTGCTTCTCGCTGCGACTCCTGCTCATAACCGTGAGCAATCCTGTGTCCTTGCTCTTCACCGGTTCTCCTGCGCCCAGTCTCGTTGTCCGAGTGTTGCCGTCGCCATCGTCAATACGGTCCAGCGCGATGTTCTCATCCCCTTTCTTGACCACCTTGATCCGTTTCCGTGCGACTTCATCCATCAGATACTGATAGAGCATGTCTGGTCGCACTTTCGTCAAGGAGAACCGGTCCTCTTCCTATCGCCCGTTGCCATTCCCACGGCCTCCCGCCCCCAAATTAAGCCACGACACGTCTGTATTGACACTCGGACCACGCCGGTGTCCTCCAGCAGGCGGGAAGTAGCCGTCCTGCTGGCCCCTAGACGCACTTCGGCCATGCGTTGCCGCTGGATGCTGGACCTCGCTGATCATCGGCCTCGCCGCACCACTCCCCGGCATGGGGAAGTTCGGAATCCCACCAGACGAACCCGTCCGTTGACTCGTACCCCCAGAGCTGTCCGTCCCCGGCGTCAGCGCCGGCGCCGTTGGCCAGGTAGGTGGGAGGTCATTTTTGCCTTTGCTGAAGCTACGCAGCGGCCGCTGTGCCGGTCCGCTCCACGTGTTGCCCACCGGTGTCCAGGGGCTGTCGTCCCTTACGCTAGCGGGTACGCCACTGCTAAATGCATCGCGATCCGCCTCCAGGACCTCTTCATCCTCATAATCACTGCCGTCGCTACTAAACGAGTTCGCGTTGCTAATGCGCCCTGCTTTGGCTTGCGCGACGTTCAGGTACGAGGGACCATTTTCCATCTCGGGCGTCGCAGTTCCTACACTTCGCGTTTGCAGAGTGTTACCTACGCTGTCGCGAAAGGCAAATTTGGGAGACTTAGGCGTCGGCACCGCGCCGGAACCAGGCCAGAAGCCGCCACCACCGCTTCCGCCACGTCCACGTGAGGTGGTAGGTCGGGCTGCCATCGTTCCTGCCGCCGTCGCAGTTGCCGGGGTCAGGCTAGGGTAGTCCGCTGTAGGATCAACACGGCCGCCAGAGAAATAGCGGCCCCACGCCTCATCGGTCTTGCGTTGTGACTTGTTACGCGTTGGAATCGTAGCCAGAGGCGTGGCGTTGACAGGAGACGCGGGTGTAGCACGACCCAAATCGATCGACGGCCGCTCTTTGTAGTCACCAAGGTTCGGATTCATGGGCTTGGAGATAGCGAGTGAGCTCTTGCCGCCTCCAGCAAGCGGGCTCTTCTCGCGTGCGAAGACACTGTAGCTACCGTGGTCCGTACGTGGGGCGTTCGGTTGCAGTCGGTTGTCAGAGGAGATGCGGCGGGTAAGAGTGTCATTGGGACGGGCGGTGAACATGGCGGTCGAGGAGCGCTCGGCGGTAGGAGCGATAATGGTCGAATTGACAGGGCTACGACCCATGGGTTGTCCATGCTCTCGGAGTGGGTGCATGCCGTCCTCGAAGTCAAAGTCCGTGCTAGCTTTCTTGCCGGCCGGGTAGGATTTATGGGCAGCACGCTTTTGCGCGCGCTTTTTGTTGCGCAGGTAAAGCAGAAAGATGATAAGGATGGCAACGAGGCCACAGAGGCCTCCCAGCACACCACCGAGTATCTCAAAGGTGTTACGGTTGTTATTGCCATCGCTTCCAGTGGATGCGGCTGCTGTATCGGTTGCAGGACTCGTTGGCGAGGAAGTGCTTGTTGCTGTGGATGAGGTCGTGGAGGGCTGCAGCGGTTCTTGAGGTGCGTCACCGAGGACGGCTTGTGCTGATACCCAAGAGTTGTCTGCTTGGTTGAAAAAGGTGACCGAGCTATCTTCATCCCCGCCCACAAATGCCACCAGGCCATCGCTTCCCTGAGCGATTGAGAAATCAGTCCTGGTGGTTTCGGGGATCGAGCTGCTGTTGTAGGCTGGATAGGTGTCAAGAAGCTGACGTTTGCCCACGGCTCCTTGAGACGGTGCCGATGCGCGAGATGATGCCGGAGTCGTTGGGTTGCCGACGGTCTGACCAAATGCGCCGGGTACTGCACCAGGGTTCAGGAGAACATTCGTTGAGACCTGAATAGGCTCCTGGCCCAGTGCAAAGGTCTGCAGGAGTTTTGACCCGTCGTTCAGCGTGTACATGGCAGCCTGGGCCACTGACGCGTCTGGTAGCGGGCTGGGCAGCTCCAGGCCAAAATCAACCCAGCCACCACCCGCGGTGAAGGTGAAGATTTTGGTATTGGTGTCGCTGCCTCCCACCATGACTACACTGTCGTCTCCCCATGGCATCACAAAGGGTCGGGACGCCGGGGGTGCCGTCGAGTCGAATGCTCGTACGTTGTAAGGTTCCTCGAGTTCGATCATGAAAGTTTCGGATGAGAGACCCTCGTAGCCTTTGACAGATGTGCCGCCGTACACAACGATAACGTTGGAAGTTGGAATGTAATTCGCACCATGACGAACGCGGTCTCTGGTGACCTGCACGACCGGCTCTATCGTCGTCCAGGACTTGTCGTCAAAAGAGAATCGCTGTATACCGGGGTAGTCTGCGTTGGTCGAGTTTGCTGTGCCTCCTACCACGTATAGGGCACGCTTTCGGTTGTCACCATCCACTCCACCCAGCACACATGCGGCGCCCGTTACGGATACACCATTAGTGTGTTCCTCCCATTTTGCGTCCTCTTTCAATTCTATCGACTGGAAGGCATCCGGGGAGTAGATGTAGAGCACATCGTCGAATATGACCGAACATTGGTTCTTTAATGGCACTTTTGGTGCAGGGGCAGGCATCTCTTGACCTTGATTGGTAGCGGCTGGCGCGTTCTAGTGCGAGCACATAGTCTGCAGAAAGTAAAAGGTGAGCGCAGCCGCGTGCGACGGAGGCGAGACACGGTCTCGAGGGGCACTGAATCTAGCCCAAGCCGAAGGAAGTACAGGTTGGAGTCCTTTGCTCGGCTCGGTGATGGGCCAGTGCACGGCGCAAGATGCGAGCGACGGAGGTCTGAAGTCGACGTCTTCTCTTCGTCGTCTTCAGAGTCTTTTCAGAGTCTCGACACGCTAGGGCGGAAAGGTTGTACTGTGGTGTAGTATTACTTGTCGAGACAGGTGGGAGTGAACGATGGACCAAAAAAGAGAGATGGCGGTATGGTGTAGTGAGCGGCGTGGCTTGGAATCGGAACGGACAGCAGCGTTGAGCGCAGGGAGAAAGGCGCTGGTGCTGCAACGTTTGGTGTGCAAGCGAGGAGAGGACGGGAGTTGGGGCGGTGTGGGTCTGGCTTTCGGCAGCACTGCAGGCCACTGGGACGGTGAACAAGGGGTAAAGCCACTCGGATGCTGGCAACGTCACCGAAGAGTTGGAGTTGGCTCCGCGTTGAGATCGTGAGAGATCTGGTCAGTGTCTTTTTTGGCAGATGATCGGACGATCGAACACAACGCAACAGTGATGTATCTACTCAACTTCTCACGCGACCGTAACTTGAGAAAAAAGGATGAGAGAATGTGGCAAGCTTCCAACCGCCAGACTGTGTGATCATCTCTCCGCAGAGCAGCTGCCTGGCTATGCTCGATCGGAGGCGGCGCGAGTGTGTCATGTCATCTTGCAGGCAAGCTACAATCCTCGCCAGTCGGTAGCAGAGCGGCGGTCTCTGCATTAATCTGATTTGACACAAGGTCGGTTTTGTTTCTCTGCTTCTCTGCTGGTTTGCTGCGGCATCCTTCCTGGCTTGCTGCGAATCCGAGACGCTAATTCACGCGGCTGCAGGTACGCCACCAATCGCGGTGGTTGAAACCTCAGTAGTCGCCCCCGCTGCGATGTTTCACCTTTTCTCTTAGCGCCTTCCTCTCCCGAAGACGCGCAGACACCGAAGAAGCGAAGAAGCGAAGAAGCAACGAAGCGCAGAGAAAGACGAAAGCCAGAGCGTTTCCTCTTCTATCACCTCTGCGCCATCATTCGGAAAGTTTTCACTGCAGCAAGCAGCATCGTGTGGTGCATGATGACGTCGTCGTCCAGTTCGATGCGCCTGTGTTGGTGATGTCCTCTCTCCTGAGCACTGTCCCGATTTGGATCAGAACGTCAATAGTGCTGCTGACAGTGCAACAACAAGGTAGGCTCAACGTGATCAAGTACTCCATATCATCATCGCAATTTGTGACAACGTCAGATTGCATCAATTCCCCTGGCTCAATAGCGTCATTACTGGCGTGTGGTTCGCTGGTCACTCCGCATAATTTCCCCGTCCCGGCTATCACCCCAGCTGGCTCACTCTGCTCCGCCCCACAAACAAGGCAGCACTCTCCTGCAATAAGGCGTCCATTAATCTATGCTGCCATTCGTCCCATTCGTTGTCTGCTGCTGCTGCTTCCATGCGTGCGCCTTCTGCAATAGCTTGGACAGATTCGCGCTCGCCTTGTCGTCTGCTGGGAAGATGTAGTCGATGTACTCTTCAAACCGGTCTTCTTCGATCTTCCTGCGCTTTCTCTCCTTGCGTGGCATCTGCTTCTCAATCTTGTCCACATCCTCGTCACTGCCATGCGTCTGTTCGAAAGACTTCCATGCATTGAGGAGATCCACCCGTTCTTCCTTGAGATCTTTCTCCTTGAAAGAGTCGTGCGCGCGTTGGAACACTTTGCGCGCTCTCGCTTTTGCCTCGTCGCTGACAGGTCGGTTCTCGTCCGTTCCATCGTCGTCAGCATCTGGAACATTGATTTCGAAGCGCGCATAATTAATCCACACCTTTACGTGGTCGGTCTTGGTGAGAAGTCGCTCGTACAAGGCCCTGGCACGGTCGTACTCTTCCTCCTCTTCCTCAAAGTCGATGTACGCCTTCCACACCAGCTCTGGCATATCCAGAGTCGCTTGGTCGATGCCGAGTTCGAAGATGGCGCGTGCTCGCTCGACATCGTCAAGGCCGCGTTCGAGCTCGGCAAACTGAATCCATGCCTGACTGTTGGACGAATTCCATTCAATCTGTTTCTCGAAGAGCGTGCGACAGCGCAAGAATTCAAACAGCTGCTTTTCCAGTTCGATGTAGCCGCGAAAGAGCTTGTCTTTCGGACACATGCCAATCGCCTGTCCCAATGTTCTGCGTGCAGCTTGCAGTTGATTTTGCCGGATCTCGAATTGGGCCTTCATCAGCCATACTTTGGCGAATGTCCACTTCTTGTGCGGTATCAGCTTCAAACACTCCTGGTAGATCTGACGTGCTCGCTCCGTGTCCTTGTTGGCAATTTCCTCCCAAATGGCGTAGAAAATCCAAAGGTAAATGTACCGCCTCCAGTCCCGCTTCATCTGCGACGTCGGTACTTGTGCAATGGCGCGTTCGTACACATCTCGGATGCGTTCAACATCACCCCCAGTCTCTTCAAGCCGGGCCAGATCGAACCAGATGTCATAGTTGCGTGCATCGTTCTTTAACTCCTCTTCGTACTGTACGCGACGCTTGGCCAGAATGACATCTTCAACGCCTTCACGGTTACCAAACTGCTTCTCGAAGGTGGTGTAGGACTTGTGGAGTGCTGCTGACCGCGATCGGGGCAGCCTGTCAAGAGCGTACTTGTAGATGGCACGAGCCCTCTCGTACTCTTTCAGCTTGGCCTCATACCTAGCATAGGCGATGAAAAGCTTCTCGTCCATAAAGTCATCCCCAAGAGCTTCGATGGCGAGCCCGAAAACCTCTCGCACGTGCGAGCTCGTCCCATTCTCTTCCTCGAACTTGGTCCATCTAATCCAATTGCGCGGTTCGGGGTGCACTATGGTAAAGCGCTCGAAGATCGCTCGTGCCCGGTCGTACTCGCCATACCGCTTCTCCAACTTGATATATGCCAACCAAGCAATCTCATCAGGCTCCCAACTCATCCAACGTTCGAAGACTTGACGCGTGCCGGGAATATTGCCTAGAGTCTCCTCCATATAGACATATTTGTACCAGAGCTTATCCACTCGGGGAAGGATGGTGACGGCTCGATCTAGAAGATTGCGAGCATGATTGATGTTTCTCGTCTTCATCTCGGCCTCGACATAACGGATCCACAGCACGACACTGGTGCTGTCGACATCAAGCGCTCTCTCAAAGATCGACCGGGCCCGACGGTATTCTTTTTGTTCCAGCTCCCACTGTGCATAGCGCATCCAATTGTTCATGTTCACCCTGTTCCGGCGGACATAATCCTCAAATTCTTTGCGTTTCCGCCCTTGAAACTCATGAAGTTCTTCGAGATCAGCGAACCGTTGCGTTGGCGCCTGCAGTCCGGGTTCTTGTCTGTCAACAGCCTCACGCAGCAGCTGTTCGGCCGAGATCTGAACAGGCGCTGCGGCCTTATTCTTGACCCGAGGCGCTGTTCGTGACTCCATGGCGGCGGTTTGCGCACGGTCGTGCGTGATCAGGGCGGTAGAAGGGGAGAGGAAAGAAAAGATCTGGACCTCAAAAGTTGCGCCCGCTTCATCTTGAGCATGACGCGTGAGTCGGCCTTGGCGCGCAGCCTTCTGACTCGAAAAAAGTCTCCAAGCCGCGGTTCACGAACAACTTTCCAAGGCCAGTCTTCTTGTCACAAGCGGCTATCTTGTTGATCTCCTTGGGCTCCTGTCGCCATATTAAATCGGCAATGGCCACACTCGCAGACGAATTGCTCAACGACTTCGAAGACTCCGCATCCGAGCAAGGTGACGAGAACAACGAGTTCCAGCCCGGCGATGAGAATGGCGAAACGAGTAATGGCCTCAAGCACGAGGAGGGTATGGAGGTAGACGCGAATGAAGACGAGATGGAAGGTGCAGAGGAAGAGGAAGAGGCTCGCAGAAGGATTGGCGGCGACGATGACCTTGAAGATGCAGACGATGCGAAAGCGAAAGTCGAGAAAATGAAACTCGGGGGTGTGAGTGATGTGAGAAACGTGGCGGGCTTGATGAAGCAGCTACAACCAGTTCTAGAGGTAAGCAACCCAGCCAGGCACAAACCAAAATCCAGTGATTTACCAAAGTGCAACACAGCCCTGACAATTGAGGCGATCCTACAGAAAATTGCACACTATCAGAGCATACCTCCAGCGCAGCGGACGACTGGCGTCGGTTCGATTGAAGATGATCCCGAATACAAGCTACTGACACAGTCCAACTCACTGTCAACCCAAATCGACAGCGAGATCATCCTTGTTCACAAGTTCATCCGCGACCACTATTCAACGCGATTTCCGGAACTCGAAACCCTGGTCTCGAATCCTCTCGCCTATGCAAAGACAGTAGCTATCCTCAAGAATGGGCCGCTTGACAACATCAACAAGATTGCCAACTCTCCAGACAACATCATTGGTGCACCGCTACGAGCGGTTCTTGATGGTCCAACGCTCATGGTCGTGAATGTTGAGGGAGTACAGTCGCGCGGTCAGGAGATGAGCGAGGGAGAGCTGCAAGCCACCCTGCGCGCCTGCGAGATGACGCTTCAACTCGATAAGGCCAAGACGATACTTACGCAGTATGTCCAATCGCGAATGGACATCTTCGCCCCAAACCTTACGGCACTGATCGGTTCTTTGACGGCTGCCCAACTTCTCAACTTTGCTGGTGGCATCAAAGGTCTGGCCAAGACTCCTGATCGCAACATCCCAGCCATGGGTTCGAAAAAGCAAAGACAATCGGGTCTGGCCACTAACGTCGGGATTCGGCAGCAGGGCTACCTGTATCACTCGCCCATTATACAAGAGTTACCAAATGACTTGCGTGTCCAAGGTATGCGCATAGTCGGAGCCAAGCTTGTTCTTGCTGCACGTGTAGACAGCACACATGGATCTCGAGACGGGTCAACGGGCCTTCAATTACGTGATGACTGTCAGAAGCGTCTTGATAAGCTGTTGGAGAAGGCGCCAAACCGAGGACCTCGAGCTCTTCCCGCACCAGACGATAAGCCAAGCAGGAAACGTGGTGGACGAAGAGCAAGGAAAGCGAAAGAGGCCACGGCGATGACCGACCTCCGCACGCAGCAGAATCGAATGGCCTTTGGCAAAGAGGAGAGGGAAGTTGGCTTCGGCGAAGATACAGTCGGTCTAGGGATGATCGGGCAACAGAATGATGGACGCATCAGAGCGACACAGATTGACAAACGCACCATGGCAAAGTTGTCAAAGAAGAACCCTGGTTGGGGTGGCTCAGGTTTGCAGTCCAGTCTGAATACCGGTGGTGCAAATACAAGTCTAAGGACGTTCGGTATGGCTTCCAGCTTGCGTACTTCGGGTCTACGGACTAGTGGTGTTGGTCAAGGGGCAGGCACCGCCAGCAGTATCGCCTTCACTCCTGTACAAGGCCTCGAGCTGGTGGACCCGAAAGTGCAGGCGGAGCTCAAGCGCAAACGAGAGGCAGAAAACGCTGGTTATTTCTCCAGTGGAACTTTTACTCAGGTCAGTGGAGGGTCAAAGAATGGTCTGCCAGCGGCTAAGAAGGCAAACTTTGGAATGGGACCTCCCCCGAAGCCGAAGTGATGGGTGCTACGCGGAATTGGGAGACGCCGTAAAGGCGGCTCGATGCAGATACTGCGGAAGAGGTCAGCGCAGGCCATTTTAAAGATACCCAACAAGCAAGAAAATGATGAATTTCGGATGATCCAAAATAATTCTTCAATCGCATTGAAACACGGTGATATTGACGGCTTTCTACTGGTTGCCCACTGCAAAAGCAGCTGCGAATATATATGCAAGGGACAAGCCTCGCCTGCTTGAGCACCAAGGCGGAAATTGGGGTCGATTAAAGTCACCCACCTGAAGCGTCCAAGTACACACTAAATGTCTTGATTTAGAGCGGTATAAAACTTCTATACTCCTTGCCGGTCGTGTTCCCCTTGCGGAGGTAGTATGGCTTGGGGACACCAATAGGCCACTCTTTTGCTATTCTACTCTAGTGATTGCCTCTGTGAAGGCGACAGGTGATGGAAGGGATTGGCATGATTGACTGCGTATAGCTTGTAATCTAGAGCTCTTTCGTCAAAGGACCATTTCTTCTGATAGCCTCAGTTTATCTCAGTTGTTTATCCACGACGTCATGCCACAGGTGAAAATAACCTTTTGGTCAAGAACCATGCCCCACTCCCAGAAGTAGTTTAGGGCAGGCACCATGCCAGCTCTCAGCTTGATTGGGGCCGACACGCGCGGTGCGAATTCCCAGCCTCCTTGATCAGAACTGCTGCATACCAGAGGGATCCAACGCATCCTTCGAGATCACTCTCCTTGTGGTCACAGCTTACTGGTCCCTCCCTGTGCATCTCCTCTCTACACGACCGCAATGACAGTCATTGTCTCTTGCAGCCGGACACTGTCCAAACAGCTGCCGTTCCGCTCAGGCGTCCTCACGCGACTTATCTCCACCAACTCGACCTCACGCGTTGCTCGCCCTCAGACCGAATGTACGACCTCCCAGCAAAATGGGGGCAGGTCACATGTATTCACGCAGCCATATGGCTCGCTCAGAGGCTATGCTACCACCAATAAACCTGCAGGCCGTCCTAAAGCCCACACCGGCCGCACCCCGGCCAAGCGCACAACCAAGACGACCACCACAACAGCCAACCGCAAGCCGAAAGCGAAGCCGAAGGCCAAGCCAAAGAAGAAGGCAGCGAAGCCTAAGCCGAAGGTGAGGAAGGCGAAGAAGCCACCGTCTGCCAGTGCACTCAAACGCGATGCTCGTGAGAAGCGCAAGGAAGTCAAGGCAAAGGCGTTGCTAGACCAGGAACCCAAACAACTTCCAGAACAAGCCTGGCAACTCTATGTTTCGCAACGCTCTACCAAGGGACAACAAGCTACTTCCGCTATCAAGTCTATATCCGATGGTTACAAGAACCTTCGGCCAGAGGAAAGAGAAGTACATCTGCCACCCCAAGGCTCGACATTTCTAACCTGATCAGGCTCTCAATCACGCTGCCAATGAGAATGCCGGAAAGAACCAAGCGGCATACAAGCGCTGGGTGCAGACGTTCACGCCAGTGCAAATCAAGGATGCCAACACTGCTCGCGCGCTACTTCTTCGCAGCGCAAAAGCCGATAAAGTCAAACACCTCGCGCGCTATCGCTCCATCAAGGACGATCGTAGTGTCAAGCGGCCTAGAAACGCGTACAGTTGGTTTCTGGGAGACCGTATCAATACCGGCGATTACAAAGGCATGACCAACGGTGAGGCCTTCAAACTTATTGGAAGAGAGTGGTCACAACTTCCCGCAGATCAGAAGAAGGTCAGTCTCAATCGTTTCAACTCAAGCACGTCGCTAACTATGTCTTCAGTCGTACGAGGCAAAGGCTATTGCCGACTTCAACCGCTACTCTGCTGAACACAAGACCGTTTATGGCATTGACCCACCACAGACCAAGAGGAACGCCAGCGCCGCCTCATGATTGCTTGAGCAACAGCTCTCAATACATCATCGGACGTGAATCCGTGCCTTAGCATGCACGGATGCCGCGAGTCTGCATATGTATGAGTAGTCCTACGGCTAGAAGAAAGCAGACTTGAGGTTGACTCGATTAGCAAAAGGCCAACGGCGGACGCTTGGAAGGCCTTTCGATATGTTATTTCCTTTCAGTCGATACCCTGGATGACCTTCACCTTTAGGTTTTGGGAATGGCAAACGGCGACGGGTCTCAATCGTGGTTTGGAGGTCTTTGCGCACCCATGACTCTTTCTCTTATGTACAATCTCGACAGCGATGACTGCTGCGGCTGCAAGATGAAGGGAAGGTGTTGTCCGCGGGCGGCGTTCTCCAAAGCAAAGCCAAGCCACTGCGTGTGCGTGTACTATGTATGTCTCGGCGCAAGCCAGCGGTATCGTATTGACAGTGATCGCACAGTCGCGCTTCTGCACTGGACTGTCTTTCTTCGCGGGTTCGAATGATATATCACTTCCACACTTCGCCGTCCAAGTATTGTGGCTGCTCTGAAATTGAAGCTGGTTTGTATACATACATACATAGCCTATGTGGTACATTGTAGAATGATGGCGCTGCTGAGAACCATTCCTGGCGTGTGTGTCGAGGTATCGCAAACGGGAGATCTCGCCTCGGTTGCTGCGCTTCCACGATCTTGCACCTTTGCGAGATCCGTGGACTGGCTGCTTCGTGGAATGCATGCATGACGCACGGCAACTGTGTCTCCACCATCTCGAACTACTCATGATATGCAGCATTGGCTCCGCGGGCCTACCTCCGCGGCTCCAATTCGAAGTGTGTGTCTCAGCTCCTGAATTGGGATCACTACTTCGCGGCAGCCTCCCCGGCGCCGTCTCCAGCACCCCCACCGCCGGCCTTCTCCTCCATATCCTGCCGCCGACTCTCCATCGTCAGCCACAAGTTCTTGCCCAAGCCCTCTAGCGCGCCCGCCAGGCCTACGCCCGCGTTCTGCAGCAGCATAACCAACTGTGCCCGCAGCCCGTCCATGCCACCCTCAATACCGCCGACCCACCGCACGCCCGCCTCGTCGAAAACCTGCCCATCCACCCGCGCCCCTAGTAGCATGAGCTTCTTCAGCCCGTCCTGGACCGCCGGCTCGTGATAACTGGGCGCGGCGCGCCGTGTGGGCGCCGGGAAACGTGGCTTCTGTGGGCTCAACACCGAGAGTGCGGAAGCCACGTGTTGTGGGGAGACGGAGGGGAAGGTCAGCACCGCGAGAGAGCCGTTGAGGAGCGTCGTCAAAGGGTGGGGCTGTTGCGACGTGTTTACCGCAGCATACGCTCGCGTGGATAAGACGTGCGTTAAGCTGGGGTCAAGCTTCTCTTCTGAGAAGGAATCTGTCTTCGCGTTGCCCGAGGGTGTTGGGGAGGGTTGCGAGGGATCGTAGTACTCGGTGATGCGCAGGGCAGGCTCGAACATGTTTGTCTGTATCACCTGCAATTTTATGGCATCGGCGAGTGGCTCGGCGTTGGGGAGAGAGGCATCGGTCTTTGTGAGAGAGCGCGAGAGCTCTCGTCGGATAGAGGCCCACTCCATGGCGCGGAGGTTGTTGTGTTGGAAGAACAGCATCAGTGGTGTGGTCTGCAGGAGGGAGACGTAGGACCGCAGCATCTGCGATTTTCGATAGGCTGGCGACCGGTGTGAAGGTGGTTGAAGGGGATGGTGCCGCGAGAGCTGAGGCATTGGAGCACCCATCTGCTCTGGAGAGGGCGCTGGGACGGGCGCGACAGCGGTGGCATAGCTGCAGCGGGAGCAAATGTAGGTGCTGTTGGAAGAAGATGGTAGCTGCGCGAAGGCTCGCTGTGGGAGTCGCGGCGGCATGGTGAGGTAACGAGGGATGCGCAGGCCAACGATACGATGGTAAGTCCGGTGACTGCGCACAAGCAAGGAGTGAGATGTGAGCAGCAGTCGTGACTTAGATGGAGTGTTGGTCCCAAGAAAAATGTACGTAGGTGCATTTCAGTGACACTCCCGGACTTTAGAGTCCACCGTCTAGAAGTGCAGCTATGGTCGTCCAGTGCCACCGTATCATTACACGACCTCCGAAATTCTCTCGACATGCCCTCGACCGTGCTTACAGATCTCATGCTTTGTGAACCACGACAATCGTGGACTTCCTTTGATGAGAGCTCAGGTGCGTTGGTCACCTGTGACAATATCTTTTCAGGAGAGGTTTGTACCAACATCGGCACGACACTTCCCTTGTCCGCCGGCCAGCTGCTCAAGACTAGCAGAAGGCTTACCCTGGAACCGGTCCGAAGTGCAAGCCACTGTGCAGGCGCGACTCGCCTGTAGACAACTATACAATGGCCGTGCGGGAAAGGTCTGGTTTGATGATTGACCCTTTAGCCTTACACTGAACATTCAGTCCCGACACTCGCTGCGCTAATAGTGGTGGTCACTTCAGGCGCCTGGGCTGCCCCTGGTCAGATACTTCAAGTTGGGGGTCGGCTTTGCAGGCGATCGCGTCCGAAGCAAACGTTTGATTGCGCCCTGCGAGGTGGATGATGAGAGAGAGATCTAGACAGTTTTCTGGAGCATCGAGCTCCCGCACGGGCCCCCGGCAAGTTACTGTCACATCTCGAGTGTAGATTCCCGCTGCGCCTTGGGTACCGGCTACTCAACTTGAGCCAACCGCAGTCAGGACATCTTCAATGAATTCGAACAAGCCAACATGTTGGTAAAGGACGATCCTGCAACAGGATACTTCGCAAACATCGATGATTCGCATGCACAAGACTATTCCCCACTACGTGGTCTGGCGCTCCTGTTTGCATTAATCCCCGCGCTCTGACTGCAATTAAGACACCGTATATCTCGACCACGCCGGCGCAACACAGTATCCTTAGTCACTCATTGATGCTTGTGCCTTTGATTTCAAAGCCCATCTGTATGGAAACCCACGTTTCGAGGCAGACTCTTCGTAGCGGAGCTCAGACAGTATCAGCGCAGCCCGGCTCAAGCTGCTCGAGTATTTCAATGCTTCCCCTGAGCTTTTTGACACCGTATTCGTTGCCAATGCCACGGCTGCCGTCAAACTCGTCGCTGAAGCCTTCCCAGATCTTCTACAAGGGTTCGACCACCGAAGCTGGCGTATTGACCCTGAAGCTGACTTACAACTGTGGGTAGACCATGAACCTTGGTGGCGAGCTCGATGGCCCAAGCTCTTTACCCCCCCAAACCGTCAATCTCAGTGATCAAATTAAACAAGCACATACGCCCAGCAACCCGTTGTATTCTCTGCTGGATGCCGCCGCTTCAATATTGACGGGTATGGCCCTCTCCAGTCGAATCAAGCCCCCGACTTCATTGCTCTGAGTATCTATTAGATCTTCTGATATCCCGACCACGGAGCACTACTCGTTAAGAAGTTATCGAGTGGTGTCACTACGGAAGAGGTACATCGACGGTGAAATAGTCGACCTCGGGTCAACGGACGAGTCCTCCAAGCTTTGGTCCATCAGAAAGGAATGTATTCACGAGGCCCTCGAAGAGGGACTCCGCCTTGCCACAACATTGTTGCGCTGATTGTGCTCCTGACGTCCACGAAATTATATACGATTCTCCGGCATAAGTCGCTCGACATCCTTGGTGCCCGACTGTGCCGATGCGGAGTTGCTTGAGTGAGGCCACTCACAGTAATGGTGCCGGGGAGTGTAGGTTTCACAGCATGGATTATAACAGCCAGGGGCCTGTCATCGGCTTCAATCTGCTTCACCCCCATAGGAGGTATCTCAAGACTAACGTGGTAGAAAGTCTCGCTTCAACAACAAGATCGCCCTTCGAGTTGGCAGCATGTGTAATCCGGGCGGCTATCAGACCTCGTTGTCAATAAGCTCCACCAAATTGAAGCGAAACTGTGACGCTGGTATGCGTTATGGCGACGACCGCTATCTACCCGACAGCTTCCCGGGTGCCATAGGAATGGTGCGGGCGAGCTTTGGCGCGATGAGCTCCGTCAGGGACGTGGCAAACTTCTTGACATTCGTCAAGAGAAATTTAGTCGACAAGCTGGCTGTCTATGAGAGCCTGATCATCATTATCAGGATATGGAGAAAGGAATTCAGTCTAGTCATGATTCGAGCTCGGCCCATGTTCTTCCTTTGCCCAACACCGCAAGCAACGCACCAGGGCAATTGCCGGAAGAGTCGACCTGGGCTGCTGAATGGCGATTCATAAAGAGAGCTTGCGGTTGTATGTAGATCGACGGAATTTGTACTCAGCATCTTCCATGCCAACTGTCCTTCATTCTGGGAACACGGCTCACGGTTTTTGACTTGTCACACCTTTTTCACACGTCTGGAGTGATAAATCCTTCCTGTAAACCGCTTGTTACTACGCTGCTACAGATGTGTCGATACCGTTATCGGCTGAGATCACTTTTTTTAAATTCTGTACACCTGATAGCTTACTTCCGGTGTGCAAGTATTATCTCTTCTACTACTTGGATGACCAGGTACAGGTAGGATGTCGATGGTATCTTACAGGAGTCGCAAACATGAAAAGGAACGGGAGAATATGCGGCGTATCCGCCTCCGTCTCGGCCCTTCACTACAGGCCGACTGTATGATGCTCAGCACCCTCCTGATCTATTGCTTTGACATATCACCCATGAGCATTGAAATGGCTCACAATGCTCCACGGCCTTGTGTCTCAAACGGCAACCCAACGCACATGACTCCCACCGCAATCCACATGGCAGCGCTGACGTAGATCGGCACGACCGAGAAGTTGGTATACGTCCCGATCAAACTGGCAGCTAGACCTCCCGTGCGCAACAACGTAGCTGCTTGACCAGTCGCCAGGCCTCGCAAGGGTGCGGGAAAGCTTTCCGGCGTGAAGGAATACATGATGGCGTAGAATAGATTTCCCAGCACGGATGTCACGCAATTGAAAGCCACGTTCATCGCTTCGCTTGTCGCGCGCGTGTAAGCCATCAAGAAGATCCCAGCCACGATTGCAGACACCGTCATCGAGTATCTCCTTCCCAGGTGGCGCTCTCGAACCAGGAGCGAGGCTGTGATAGGGCCCAGCACGCCGACTGCAGACGTGATGCAGTATATGCGGTATGTGTAGTCCAAAGAGTTCGCACTTGTGAATCGCTGAGCGAGATACGTTGGCAGAAAGTTGAAGTACAGGGGATAAGCCACACCAATGATAAGCCAGATGGCCCAGATGATGGTGGTGTGTTGAGCCAACTTGCGGGTCGCGAATAGGTCCTTGTAGTTGGAGATGTGGAAGTCTGCCAGGTTCTCCTTCAGTCGTTGCAGAGCAGACAGACCTGGCCGGCCTTCGGCATGAGGGTTGGGTGGTAGTCCTAGACTGATATCTATTGATACCAGCATAGCGAGGGATAGTGGCTCTGGTTGGCCATTGCGGCGAGCAACGAAGTTGACAGCTTCAACGGCCTCAGCATCACGGCCCTTGGAAAGCAGATACCGAGGCGATTCAGGCATCTTGAAGAAAAAGATGCGGGTAATGGCAAAGACCAGTGCCAGACCGCCAAGCGTGATCATGATATACCGCCAGCCCATGTTGTCGCTGCGTGAGCACGTCTCAGGGGTCGCGTCTGCCGGACAGTTGAAATTGGCGATAAAAACCCATCCCAATAGACTGACAATCACTTGGCCAAAGTTCCACCATCCGGACAGGGCGGTCAGGAGGTACTGGTGACTGCCGGGGACGAATTCAAGGAAGATCATTGAATCGACCGGCACATTCCCCCCAGCTGCGGTACCTATGAGGAAGAATAGCACACAGAAGCCGGCAAAGTTGCTCAAGCCAGCGACAATGCAAGCACAAACACCACCAATGAGCAAGGTGGCGTTGAAAGCTGGCTTTCTGCCGATGAAGTCGGCACTGATACCCCAGAAAGAAGCACCAACGATCATGCCAACATCTGGAACGATCAGCTGATTGTAATTGCTCAGAAGAAGCCAGAGTCTTACAGTATGCAACGGAGGAGAGGCTGACCCTCGTTACATCTTCAAACTCTAGTCTCACCGTGGGTTGGATTGTCGGCAGGCCTTGGGACCAGCTACTCCAAACAATCAGCAATCGTATCAATATCCTTCCAGCAGGGTCACTTGCAAGTTATCACAAATCCATCCAAACCCAGTCACGACAAAAATTTGCCATTGATACTTTCCCATGCCGATCTCTTCCATGGCCCTGCCCACCAGCTCGGACTTGAGGCGATACGAGTCCGTGACGGAAGCGCCATAGAACTCTCTGTTTGTTTTGTCCTCATAACTTTCAGACAAGCCTGCTTTGATCGAATCAATGGGCTCAAGATTGTCGGGGGCAGCTGCCGCAGCAGCTTCCACATCGGTCTTCTTCTCTGGCTGGGTGGACATAGTGCCGTGGTGTGACAGAATAATTGATGACAGTTGGTAGAAAAGGGAGTCTGATTCTCCGCAACCTTTTCACGGATCTATAACCCAACAGCAGACACCGTATCTCGTCTGTGAGCACTGATTAGGAGCTGACTATCACCAACGGCAGCCTAGACCTAACGCCATGTTTTGTCTAGACCGGATTACAGATAGACATCGGGACAAAGCTACGAAGTTGCCGCGCATGCCGCAGCTAGGGTCTCTCCACGTTTGACTATCGCTCTAGTGGCCTCGCTTACTGTGTATCTCCGTACGCGTGATAGTAGGCGTATCATGCCTCCGCCACTTTATCACCGTCCCCCATCACTGACTAAAGTGGGGTCAATGTCTGGATCAAGTCATGTGATGGTGGCATGGAGGCGAGGCATACACATTCGTGGCTGGACTATGACTTGTTAGGAATTGGCAAGGCTACAAGTCAGGAGGTGCTAAGCGCATTCCTTCTAGCCGGATGCAAGATACAGCCCAGCAAGGGCCTCGTCGCATGGCTTGCTACTGAGAATTCGTGAAGGGATAGTGATTCTGGTTTCGAATCAACGAGAGCGACTATTCATCAAGCTACAATTCAAGAATTTTATGCATGCAGTGCAACCATCTTTGCTTCTCCCGGCATGTTCATACTGCAATTGGCTGAGACGTGGAAGTCACATCTGCCTTTGGCGCCACGGAGTCCTTCTCGGCATTGAACTTGGTCGCAGCACCATAACTCGCCTTGTAAGATCCTCCCACACAGTCCATGACAGAAATTGGCGGATATTTTGCTGGTTCGCCTTCCTTTCGGCAGTTTGGTAGACACTCAACCATGTAATCGGGATTGCCACTGTAGAAGAACGGTACCGAGTACCGTTCCTTGCCGGATTTGTTGATGACACGGTGCAAATTCGATATGTACTTGTCATTGCTCCATCTCATGAACATGTTGCCTAGATTTACAACCTGGTTGGCCTATTAGTACCTCAACTCATTGGGTGATTTTTTTAGCACTTACGTAGGCACCCTTGGTGGGCACGACATCAAGCCATTCATTTGTTGATTTCTCGTACACTTGAAGCCCATCAACCTCGTCTTGCATCAGCAAAGTCACGGAGCCAAAGTCGGTATGAGCGCCAATGCCCCTGGAGAGCTTCTCGTCTGAGTCCGCTGGCTGGGGAGGGTAATGTAGATATCTCAGTGTCGCAACAGCTCCGGTGGTGAACCCTTTGAAGTAGTCTTCCTTAAGGTCGAGAGTCATTGCGAGGATGACGAGAATGTCGCGAGCCAGGGCATGGAGAGCGTTATAATAGTCCATACTTGACTGTCTGAAATCCTCTGGATCCTTCAAGAATTGAGGCCACTGATTCGGGCCACTGTTGAGCTTGCCCTCGGTGAAGTATGGATGAGAGGTTGGCAGCTCTTCTCCGAGATAGAAGCCCTCCTTGAGATCAGGATTTGTACCTGCTTCCAAGATTTGAGAGCCGATACTCTCGTAACCGCGATTCCATGTTGTCTTATCTGACCATGGTTTAGTTTTATACATGCGAGCAACAAGATGCAAAGCCCTCACCTTTGTGGACTTGGTTCTTCTGCTCAGGGGTGCAAGCAAAGAGTTCTTTGACGTTCCGAAGGACTGCTTCCTGAAGTTCAAGCGGGACCTTATGGCCGACGATTTGGAAGAAGCCGTTGTGAAGGCAGCAACTGCGGACTTCGTCCACGAGCTTCCGCTTGGCAGCCTCGTCGTTGCCATAGAACGCTAAAAGCAGTTAGCGAAAGGATGTTTCGGCAGAGATTCTGATGCTCACGCGACATATCAAGTATGGGAGGTGCCTGTGCCATGATGTAGCTGTTAGGAGTTGTGCTGTGCTATGGTCGCTCTCAAGTTGTGGCGATCTTATGTCTACCTAGTCGCTAGAGACTTAGAAATGTTGTTTAATTGTATAAGAACATATGGTGGTCTGAGGTCTGTTGAAGCTCTCGTCCACGAGTTGCGTCGCGACTCCAGTAGGCCCGAGCACGAGAGCCGAGTGTCCACAAATTCTCGTCAAGGCAGTTCTGCGGGGAAATCTGTACGGGTCAAGAAAGTCTGCGCCCATTGCTGAAGGTGCTTATAATGGAGCTCGAAGATGGGGGAAGGTGGGCTCCAACGAGAGAGGTTGCCGAGAAAGATAGGCAGGTCTAGATAAGCATACCCGCCAAGATGCTCTGGAGGGGCTTCTGGCTGGCTGCCGTTATCACGCCCTTGGCATTATTGTTATCTTAGATTGCAAGCGCCATTCGACATGCTGGTCAAGTCTACGGATTTAGGGGAGTGGGTAGGTGAATCTGGACCGAAATCGTGCCACATGGAGCGCGACTAGCTACTAGTTGCTATCAAGATCCACTGTTAGAAACCCTATCACCTTGGAGAATGCGCATAATTGTGTTTGGTCGTCTAAACTCTGCTTCACGAACGCTGCGTGGCAGGTGCTGAGTGTTCGTTCCTCATACCGGAAAAGCCGTGAGACCTGTTGAATTGACCCGATTCCAACTAAACCAATCCCTGTACACATACGTATAAACGTGGCATACCTCCCCTTGCAAGTTGCTACTTCGCTTCGGAGACCGTATACAGTTGGCGACACCTTAGGACCACAGTTCCACAGCAGCAATGACCGCTCTCAACGACAAGGTCGACATGTCCACCGCAAAACATCCTTCGGTGGACGAAGGCGAAGCACCATCCGTCAGCAGCGGTAGCGGCCAGAACGTGACGTTCGACAGAGCCCTCGAGAAGAAACTCGTCCGCAAGCTAGACTTCGTTCTACTGCCCTGGCTCGCGTTTATGTACTTGTTGAACTCAGTCGGCAGATCGAATTTGGGCAATGCGAAAACGGACGGCATGGACACAGACTTGGGCTTCACCGGCAATCAATACTCGATACTGATTCTCATCTTCTACATACCCTTCGGCTTGATGGATCTTCCGTTGGCATTGCTCACCCGCCGTTTCACTGCCAAAAAGGTGCTACCTGTGCTCATGGTTGGATGGGGTGCCATGGTGGTAGGTCATGAATGTACAAGACAGCTGCAGAGGTAGCATTGCTGACACATTTACCAGCTACTCCAGTGTGCGGCCACGTCATTTGGTGGGATGGTGCCGCTTAGGCTCATTCTGGCATCGTTCCAGGCCGGTTTCTTCTGTTCGGTGGTCTTCTACCTTACACTCTTCTATCGACGCAATGAACTTGGCTTCAGAATCGCCATCTTCTTTGGTTCAGCATTGCTTGCTGCCGCGTTCAGTGGACTTATTTCATATGGCGTCTTCCAAATCCACAACCCGACCGTACAAGGTAAGTCTCACGGGCACATTTCAATATAGATCTGACAGATATAAGGCTGGAAGTGGCTCTTCATCATTGAGGGCGCAATAACCGTTGTTGCCGGGGTCATCTCATACTTCTGGCTGCCTGCAAACGCGGAGACCGCCTGGTTCCTGGATGCCGAAGAACGCGCTCTTGCTCGTGCTCGCACACTCAAGGACGGCAGCCATGAGATCTCGCCCGAATTCAGCCTGAAGAGAGCCTTCGCGCCGTTCAAGGAACCTAAAATGATCCTCTGGATGATCATCGCCTTCAACTACCCTGTTGCGTTCGCCACAGTAAGCAACTGTGAGTACTCCTTGAGGGGAGTTTGACCATAGTGTTAATTGCCCTAGTTCTACCTCAGATTGTCCAGCGCCTCGGATACAGTGTCATCAAGACAAACTTGTGGACTGTTGCCCCCAACTGTGTTGGGTTCGTTGTCTTGCTTTGCACGGCCTATTCGTCGGACTACTTCCGCGAGCGAGCGTTCCATCTCGTGTTTGCGCTATCGCTCTCATTGATAGGCTTGATCATCCTCGCAGCCGTCGACCCTCTCACGCAGGGTCGGGTTGCGTATATGGCCTGCTTCTTCGTGGCTGGTGGTGCTTACATTCCATCTGTCTTGGTCCACAGCTGGTAAATTGTCTTCCAAACTTAGCCACGGAGGCACATAGGCGTCTGCTAACTTCAATCAAGGCATAACAACAATGATGTGTCTGAGGACAGCAAGTCTGCAAAGACCGGATTCCTCGTTGGATTAGGAAATTTGGCGGGTATCATCTCGGTGAGTCCATATTCAACATACACCGTCCCCCACACTCTCCGCACACGCATTCTAACCAGTCTTCGGCAACAGGCGAGCACGTTCCGCGTAGAGTACGCGCCGAATTATCTGCCGACACTCATTGCCACAGCTTGTTGCAATATTTGCGCTATTAGCGGGATCCTAGCCATGAAGTACATTATGGTCAAAGAGAACCGACGCCGCGATAAGGCGCAAGGACGAAGGCTCCGGACCGAAGATGTAGATACCAGTACCCTGAAGGATGGTGAAAAGGACCCGAATTGGAGATACTTCACCTAAGGATGGCTCGGCGAGCCTCGTGAAGAGAACAGCAGAGACAAGAGGCATGTGTGCATCGTATTGGCACCAGTCTTCGCCTCTGGGATTCCTGAGCTATAGATGGGGCCCACTTGATCAGATCAACAGTATATTATTACCTCGAAGGTCTCCAGTACAGTGAATGGTATGTGGTCAAAGCCAGGTATTTGATTCATGCCCTCTTTCCAACACACTCTACAAATCTGCACACCTTGACGGGTACGCACGCTGCCTCGACAGCGCCAAAGCTCTAAAAATCTGTTTCGCAGAGAGATAGCCCACCACTGTATCGATGGGAATCAAAGGAAGCCTGCAATTTGGCGCCTGTGCGAACGAACATGCTTGTTACCAAGTTGCTGGAACCTCAAATGTACGTACGACATGATCCTGATGGACCGCTTTAGTAGCCAATCAACACCATGACCTGTACCAGTAAACCACTACCACCATCTAGCTCATGCAGCCAAGAACCCACCATAATAGCCATCAAGCCAGCTCTGCGCTGACTGAGAGGCGTCCGGTATCCGAGCATCGAACCTGCCAATACTGCCCACATACCCATCAGGCCTCACGTTGACCACAGCTACCTCACCCTCGCCTAGTCCGCCCACCCACTTCTCTGTGCAGCCCATTGCCTGACCCTTCACGTCATCCAAGTAGAACGTCCAGCGGCTCCGCTGCAACACCTCTGGCAGATCCGCGATCTCCACCTCTGCTTTCTTTTGCGTCGTTACTAGCGCATACGTCGCCACCTGGGACACCGTCGTGTACCGCTCAGGCTGCACGAACTCCTCTGACTCCGGGCTTGGCAGGTTGAGCGCCACGTACGACTGCTGAGCCGCGGCCGACACGCAGCCGAGTACCGACTTCGAGGAAGCAGCGTGCGCACACACGCTCTCCAGGAAGGCCTTTGCCGCGTGCACGTTCGGGGTGAAGAAGAAGATGCGGAATTGCCCCAGCATCGGTATGTCAAGCTGGATGTCGACGGGGTTGTGGTCGATGTACCTTGTGACCGTGGCCGGGAGCATGAGTGACCCGGCTCGCAACTTGCCTCGGGGGTTGTCCTCAGGCTGATTGAGTACGTTGGGCGCGTAGTGCACGCCCGCGCCGGAGATGAAGCCCACGTTCTTGGAGAAATTGTCGGCCAGCGCCTTGTCGTCTCCGGCGGCGAACGCGTTGGCGTGCTCAAAATCAAACGTGATGAGGTCGACCGCAATCTTCCTTCGTTCGGCTTCGAACGTGCTCAGGAGGCACGGCTGTGCCAGCCCGCGGATCGCCAGATTCAGCTTCCAACTTAGGTTGAAAGTATCATGCATACTGGTGTTCATGCCCTGCGCGGCTTTGGGTGAGTGGGTGTGCGATGCATCACCTGTGATGAAGACTCTGTTCGTGTCATCCGCGAACCTCGCTGCGACACGCTGGCCCACCTTGTAGACGCTGAACCACTCCACACTCTCCCACGTCACAGTATACGGTGCCAAAATTTCCCGGGCGCGCTGCATCACGAAATCCTGCGTTGCCGCCTCCGACGGCATGCTCTCCTCCATGCGCGGGTTGAGCTCGATGTACAGCCGAGTCATGTTGCGCTCGCGTGGAATACACAGAATCGTGCCCTTCTCCTCGCTGTGGATCACGACCTTGCTCCACAGGTCGGGGAAGTCGGTCTTGATGACGCCGTCCAGCACGCCCCAAGGTGCGCGACTGGCTTCGCCCTCCATGGCCACATTAGGCATCGCTTTGCGGACCTTGCTGTGGGCGCCATCACAGCCGACGAGGTAGCGCGTCTGGATGGTCTTAGGAGAACCAGATTTGGCATCATTACAGGTCACAGTAAGTGGGTCGCTAGGACTTGAGCCGTAGGAGTAGGTGCTGAATGGTAGAGACCGGTGCACGTGGACACCTCGCTCGGCAGCATCGTCGATGAAGATATCCTCGACCATGCCCTGGTGTACAAGAAGAATGAAGGGGTCCTTGACGTCCAAGTCTTCGGGGTAGTGAACTTCGCGGCCTGTGCGGCGAAGGGACTCATTTTTGGTGGAATTCCAGAAGCAGATGTCGTAGATGCGTACACCCTTGCGGAGGAGGTCGTCGGCGAGTCTGAACTGCCGGAAGGTCTCGATGGTCTTGGGCTGCAGCCCATCCGCTCTCCCGGTAGATGTCTTGTCGGGTCGGTCATCTACTATGACACTTTTTATACCATAGCGTGCGAGATTCGATCTGGGCAGTAGTTAACACTCACTCTGGCGTCCCAGGCATTAAAACAACGGAGGCCAGCAAGAACCACTTACGCAAGCATCAATCCCGCGGGTCCAGCGCCCGAAATGACCACATTTTCAACCTGGCTTACCGGCATACTGGCATCAAATCCTTCGCCTTCGGCGCCTGGAGACATGTCTGGCGATGACAACTGTGATCTGTCTCGTTTCATTTCCACGAAAACTGATGGCTTATACTCTGGCGCGGCGGCCTGAAAACGATGCGGCCGGGTGTCGTTCCACAAGTAACACCATGCGAGATCAGCAGATGGCGCGGGCGATGGGCCTGAGCCGCCTGCCCACCGTGGTTCTTGCGAGACATGTCCGTGTTCTGGCCTCCCCCACTCTCAGCGACCTGTGTGGTCTGAGTTGCGGGTGAAGTGTCCACCGATAAGAGTGGTGGATTTCAGGTGGGCAAGCCTGTGCTGAAACTTATGGCTGCTGCAGGACACCGTAAGTCGGACTTCTCCTCAACAGTTCGACACCGTTGGGTGGGCGTTTGCCGGCGCCGATACCGCCCCACCCGTACGCATGTTCCTGGTGATGCGACTCCTGGCTACTACTGGCAAACGCTGAGCCTTGGAGGCTGTAGATGTCGCCGCGTGTTGAGTGCTAACATAGGACCAGTGAGGCTTTAGTAAGCCCTGTTCTCTGACGCAGTCATGATACAAAAATATCAGCCCGGGCCCGGGGCTCTGCACTGGGAGAAGATCGCTGAGTTGAAGCGGACGGAAAGGGACACCGCGGTGCGTTCGTATTTGCCCGACAGCGATGCGCATCCTTCAGAGAGCGAAGACCAGAATGATGTATCAACGACGCCAGATATTGAAGAGCTCGTGTCAAGGCTATCGCGTGGAGAGATCACCGCCGAAGCTGTCACGATCAGACATATCAAGCGGTAAGCTAGATCGCTCTGCACATGACTCAATGGCAACAACTGACAAAGTTGTGAAGTATCGCAAAGGCGCAGCAGCAGGTTGGTATCCGAGCTTTGATGATCCTAAGTGTCCATGACTAACTGAACAAGACGAATTGCTTGACCGAAGTCTTGTTCTCGGATGCGCTTGATCAAGCTAGAGCACTTGATGATCATTTCAAAGCCACGGGCGAGCTAATCGGTCCATTCCACGGCGTTCCTGTGACGCTCAAGGATCAGTTCAATGTCAAGGGCTACGATACGACTTTGGGCTACTGTGGCAGAGCCTTCAACCCTGCCGAGAATGATGCGCAGGTGGTCGAAGTCTTGAAGAAGCTGGGAGCTGTGATTCTGGCAAAGACCAACTTACCTCAGAGCATTATGTGGTGTATGTTTCTCAGCCACCCAAAGTGGTGATGTTTTTTCCCACCCTGGACGCACTAACTGGTGCCCCCTAGGCGAAACCGAGAATCCGTTGTTCGGTCTGACGACGAATCCTCGAAACCCAGACTTTACACCTGGTGGTTCTACGGGTGGCGAAGCATGCGTGCTGGTGCTAGGTGGCTCGCTTCTTGGATGGGGCACGGACATAGGTGGTTCCATAAGAATTCCTAGCCACATGAATGGCCTTTATGGCTTGAAGCCAACTTCAAGCCGCCTCTCATACTCGGGTGTACCAGTATCAACCGAGGGTCAGCAGCATGTGCCATCAGCTATTGGCCCAATGACTCGGAGCTTGTCGTCTCTTATCACGACTACCAAAGCAGTCATTGATGCCAGGCCATGGACAGTCGATCCTGCAGTTACCCCGATCGCCTGGGATAAAGACATGTTCGCGGACGCACAATCTCGACCTTTGACGATCGGAGTTATGTATGATGACGGAGTTGTCAAGGTTCATCCTCCAATTGAGAGAGTCCTTTATCAGATGACGGAGCGCCTCAAGGCTGCAGGACACGAGGTCGTGAATTGGAATCCTTCTCTTCATGCCGACTGCATCAAAGTCATGGACCAGTACTATAATGCAGATGGGTGTGAAGACATCCGCCGTGATATCGAAGCTGCAGGGGAGCCGATGATCCCCCATGTTGAAGCACTTGTCAACCGTGCGCCAGCCATCTCGGTGTACGAGTACTGGCAACTCAACAAGCAGAAGATAGCCTTACAGAAAGCCTACTACGAAAAGTGGAATGCTTTTGTTGCTCCAAGTGGTCGGAAGGTGGATGTGCTACTGACACCGACGATGCCGCACACAGCACTTCCTCACAAAGGATGTCGATGGGTCGGCTATACAAAGGTATGGAACTTTCTAGACTATCCAGCAGTGGTCTTTCCTGCAGGTGCGGCAGACAAAGAGCTGGATGGGCTGCTGGATCCTAGTCATGTGCCTCGCAATGACGCGGATGCGTGGAATTGGAGCCGGTATGACGCAGAATCCATGCACAAGCATCCTGTCGGCTTGCAAATCGTCGCTCGAAGGTTTGAAGAAGAACGCGTGCTCGGCGTGGCACGTGTTTGTGAGAGATTACTCCAACAGGCATCTAGTAAACCACACGGAGAAGATGAGAAGATCAGACCCGACTGGACCGTGCTTTTAGGGCAAGGTATGACCGGTGGCATGTTAAATGGCCAGTAGATGACACTTTGTATGACTGTCAATACATACAGTGCACCCGTTTCATTCATCTACCATTTGGTCACACCGCCATCTACACACAGATCTTGACCTGTCATGTATGAACTCGCGTCACTTGCCAGGAAAACGCATCCGCCCCGAATGTCGTCCGGCATGGCCACTCTTCCGTTCATAATTTCGTCCTTCCAGCTCTCAAGTAGATGGGGGAACTGCAGGTTTGTCAGCATACCCCAAGCAACACAAAGCGTGCAGACTTACTGGTGCTGTCATCTCGGTGCGCACATAGCCAGGAGATATGCTGTTACATCGAATGCCGTATTGATTCAGCTCGGCAGCTATGGCCGGACACATGGCTCTCACAGCTCCCTTGGTTCCACAGTAGGCACTACTCCGCTGGCTTCGAATCGCCATGTAGCTGGCGATGCTTGCGACTAGGACGATGCTTCCACACTTAGTCTTGTTGGCGATCATCTGCTTAGCTGCCAACTGCGCCGTGTGGTAGACTCCCATAACATTGACTCCTATCAACTTCTGGTGCTCCTCGTACGAAGTCTCCAGGAACTCCAGATTTCTGTTGATACCGGCGGTGGGCACACAAATGTCGAGCTTACCCCCAAAGTCGGCCTGGAACTGTTCAAAGCCTTTCTGTAGACTTTCCATACTGCTGACGTCGACTCTGCAATTGGTCAGTATGGGCGTTCCATCACTCTTGATTAGGACAAACCGACATGTAGTGCTTCGTCTTGACTCCATACGTCTTGGAGATCTCATTCCATCCTGCAACAGGCTCGATCACATCGAAGGTCGCCACATCCGCACCGGCTTCTGCGAGACCTTCAGCAAAGGCCAAACCGCAACCTCGTGCACCGCCTGTCACCAGCGCTGTGCGGCCTTTGAGAGAAAACTGGCATCATCAGTGAGGTTCCGATACTGTCAGCAGGACATACCCTGCTCATGTTGTTCAATAACTGTACTCAATGTATAAGATAGTGAGTGCTTGAACATAACAAGTTTCGGTGTTGCGACCTCGAACCCACTGCATGTACCGAACATCGAAGGGTATTGCCAAGATTTCACTGCCTGCATTTCTGTGCCACCCCACCGCCCACTCCACGCACGGCGATGCGCGTCGGCTGAACTTTCGCCTCGCCCGGTCACACATTTGTGACAGGGTCCACAGAAGTCCACGTTAATGGCGTCAGTAACCGGACTTCTCATGGGCTTTACCCCTGCTCGAGCACGAACAGGACACCCCACCTTTATCATGACCGTCTGCATCAGGTAACATGTTTTCTCCAAGGTTCCAGGCGCGAGTTCCGAATCTCGACACTGCCCTCGCTTTGTGTGCTGCTACATTGTGACCCAACTCCCTCGGTTTGCAGCACTCGATAGCGACCATATCACTCTTTGAAGCCTTCTTAGACAACACAATGGGCAAGAAGCGCGTACTTGTATCGTACGGTGTCGACATCGACGCCGTTGCTGGCTGGCTCGGTAGCGTGAGTGCTCTAACAACGTCCCAGGCCCGTATCGCTTGCTGACTCGTGCCATAGTATGGCGGCGAGGACTCAACGAGCGACATCTCTCGTGGTCTTTTCGCTGGCACTCTCGGCACCCGCCGTCTCCTCAAACTGTTCGAGAAGTACAACATCAAAGCCACGTGGTTCATCCCAGGCCACTCACTCGAGACTTTTCCCGAGGAATGCGCCAGTGAGTCCCCTGACGGAAATATCGAATTGGAACATCTTTGCTGACGCAGACTTTCCATCGCAAAGTGGTGCGCGACGCAGGTCATGAAATTGGTCTTCACGGCTACAGCCACGAAAATCCTGTCGATATGACCTTTGAGCAGCAGAAAGATGTGCTGGATAAGACGTACCGCATGATCACAGAGTTCTGCGGCAAGCCCCCTAGAGGTTCAGTTGCACCTTGGTGGGAGGTGTCGCCAGAGTCGACGGAGCTCATGCTGAGGTGAATCCCTGCTCTACTCGTAAAGCACTCTCATCGGCTGCTAATCATGTCTGGTAGCTATGGTATTGAGTACGACCACTCCATGTCTCATCACGACGCGCAGATGTACTGGTTGCGATCCGGGGACGAATGGACCAAGATCGACTATAGCAAGAAAGCAGAGGAATGGATGAAGCCACTAGTCAAGGGAAAAGAGACGGGCCTGGTTGAGATCCCAGGTTCATGGTACATCGACGACCTACCACCCATGATGTTCATCAAGAACTCGGCCAACTCACACGGCTGGGTCAACCCCAGAGACGTGGAACAGATCTGGACGGACCACTTCGACTATTTCTACAGAGAGTACGATGAGTTCATCTTTCCCATGACAATTCACCCGGATGTCAGCGGGAGGCCACATGTCCTACTTATGCACGAGAGGTGAGAGCACCCATGAATCTTGGCCAGCGCTCGCTGACCCTAGTACAGGATCATAGAGTACATCAACAAGCACGAGGTCAGTCCACAACCCCTCCTCTGCCTCGATATATAGGCTGACGTTTTTGCAGGGCATCGAATGGGTCACGATGGAGCAGATGTGTGATGATTTCAAGTCAAAGAACAAGGCGCCAGAGGGTGCCATGATGCCAGCGCCAGCTGGCCAGATGCTCAAGAACTAGACGAGAGCCATGCATAATGAAATCAACTGATGCCCGTTTGCGCCTGCGGCAAAGCGCCAAGACTTTTACTGCCTGAAATTCCTCGCTCTAGAATGCCCAGCCCACCGCATACCCATGTCGCATGTCCGCACCAGATTCCAACACACGATCACTCTAGCATCGATACCCGGTGAACCGCTTGTTCGACGCTCCCATTCTTCCCACCGGGAAACAGTCGGCCTCAGACTAGTCCACCTTGAAAGGCCATCTCCGTGCCGAATGTACCCCGGATCTCCACCGCTATCTTACGGGATCCATACGCTTCAATACCGGCCCACTATCCCCCATTTCTGCCCACTCTTGACCCTGTCGCTTCTGTTGCGTTATCCACCAATGATTGCACGAGGATAGTAAGGCTGGCCCCCTCCACGTAAGATCCCCATCGTCGTAGCACGGACCACTGCTGGGGTGCGCCTGGCTCCTCTTTCATGCGCGAGTATGGAGTCGTGCTTATGCAGATCACGCACCGTCGATAACAAGCCCGAGTTGGTTCCGTATGGAATTGAACGGGGCCGTGGGCTGATGTTGCGATAGCATAGGCACGTGTGGCACAGCGCCTCGGCCTGGCTTTTGCAATTGAAGGGCCTATAAGCGTCCGTAGATGTGTCATTGAAACACACCCGCACAACGTCGCAGAACAGGTGACAGGTGCAGAGGCTGAGGAAGACCTCATCTAGAAGTCCAGGCACCGGCCTTTCCAGCCCGCACCCCGATCGACCAAGCCGAAGCCTATCGTACGCGGCAGCCCCGAAGGGTATACTACAGCGCCCCAAGTAAGCAACACCAGGCAGAGCAGACACCAGCATTAGACACCATGGCTCTTCGTTCCTCAGGTATCAGCGGATACGTCGTCAAAGACAAGACGAAAACCACCGCCGGCGAGACCATCATCAAGCCTAAGCCGCACATTCAGCGCGATGCGTCCACACGCCTCGAGGTACGCTCCCTGCATCGATGCGCCCCCTCTCAACAACCTACTAACAAGACCCTCACAGATCATCGTCGTAGGCGCTGGCCTAGGCGGCGTCGGCAGCGCCATCGCGCTCCTCCTCGCCGGCCACTCTGTCACCATCCTCGAGGCCGCCGCGCAGATCGCCGAGGTGGGCGCCGGCATCCAGGTCCTGCCCAACAGCAGCCGCGTGCTGCAGGAATGGGGCCTCCGGGACATGCTGGATCGCTATGCCACCGAGCCCAGCCACGTCAACATGCTGGGCTGGAAGGGCAATCTCATCAGTCGCATGAGTACCGCCGAGTCTGCCGCGCCGTATCCTGGCACCGTGTACTGGGATTTCCATCGTGCGAATCTGCACAAGTGTTTGGTGGAGAGGGCGGTGGAGCTGGGCGCGAAGTTGGAGGTCAATAAAAAGGTGTCCGATGTGCGGCCGCGAGAGGATGGGGCGACGGTGGTGCTAGAAGGGGGCGAGGAGTGGCGAGCGGACTTGGTTGTGGGTGCGGATGGGATAGCTAGCAGGCTGCGAGAGATCATGGTGGGTAAGCCTGATCCGCCAACACTGACGGGGGACCTGGCATACCGGTTGCTGCTCAAGACAGAGGATATGAAGAAGGATCCCGAGCTGCGGAGCTTCATTGAGACACCGCAGGTGAACTATTGGCTAGGGCCAGATGCGCATGCAGTCAACTACGTGCTGCGCGGAGGCGAACTGTTCAATATGGTCCTGCTGGTGCCGGACGACATGCCTGAGGGAGTCAACGTCACGCCGGGTAATGTGGCCGAGGTAAGACGGCAACCCAGTATCTGGAAGCAAAATCCCTAACAAATCTACAGATGCAAGCCTTATACAAGGACTGGGACCCCCGAATAGTCAAACTGTTGGCTCTATGCGAGAGCGTCCACAAGTGGCGCTTAAGCATACGAGAAGGCATGGACTGCTGGAGTCATCCCAGCGGCAGCTTTACGCTGCTCGGAGACGCAGTGCACGCCACGCTGCCGTACCTGGCGTCCGGAGCGGGCATGGCACTGGAGGACGGCGCCGTGCTCGGCGAGCTCTTTGCCCGAAGCAAGAATCCCAAGGACCCGGCCGAGAGGCGTAGGCTGCTCGAGCTGTACGAGAAGTGCCGAAAGCAAAGAACAGAGATGGTGGTACGAAGGGGGAATTTGCAGCAGTGGCTGTATCATTTGCATGACGGCGCAGAGCAGCAGGAGCGGGATCGTAAGATGCAGGCGATGGAGCCCGGCGAGGCACTGGCATGGCGGGACAGCAACTTGGCGCCCCAGCTGCTGGGGTATGAGGTCGATAAGGACGTAGATCGATATTGGTACAGCGAGGGAGAGAAAGCCAGGGGAGCGGTGGGAGACGATTCGATCAGGGCGAGCTTATAGCAGACCTCGTTTTGAGGAGTTGAAAAATGTCCTTTTTATGTATGAAGAGCAATTCACAAAACTTCTTGCTTCGCCATCAACCCCTTCAGGACCTTCATGCCCTCATGCACCACCGCCCATCTCACATTGCTGAGGTGCTGTGCCATGACGATAGTGAGACCCCGTGCCGAGTACTTGCCTGCTATCCGCCAGAGTCCTTCCGGTACCCCGCTCGTCATCCCAGAGACGAGAGCATTCATCTCTGCGTTGGCCTCATCCAACGAACTCTCATCGGCGTACAAGCCCATGCTCAGGCTCACCGCATCCTCGCTTCGAGCATCGTAGTTGGCAGGGGCGGATGTGCCAGGATCCTCCCTGCACCCCCAGTGGAATGCCCAGCACGTAAGGGTGGCCAGGTACAGGCACCACGGATAGTGGAAGGCGTTGTTCACGTTCCAGTTGTCGAGGTTCATGATTCCATCTCGGAGCAACTGCGCCGCATGCCATGCCGCTGTACAGGCCGACGTGGTGCCGGCCGGCTTCTGCTGAGCCCAATCTCGGACTTGCCGCCGCGATCGCTCGTAGTCCGTCCGGCTCACAGGACGGCCGATGATGTGTCGAGCGCCAGCGCTGATTTGCAGATCGAGGATCTCGATGTTGAGGATGATGTGGGCGGCGTGGTAGATGGCAAGCGTCGAGGTGGAGAAACGCTGGAAATCAGACTTGACATTTGGGTAGTCGGTGGCTCTGTTGAGCGACGATGAGATATTCAAGCAGTAGGTATCAAAGTCGGCCTTCCAGGTATCGTAGGAAGCACCAATTCTTGATCGCCAGTCGTCGGTACCAATCAAGCTGCCGCAGCCAAGAGATGTTTGGTCGCGGCGTGTGAAGTCCCAGCTCACGCTCATCAAGCCGTGCAGGACGAGAAGGCGAGATAAGGCGTTGAGGTTGTGGCTCTGTGTGGGTGCTGACGGGGACATATACGACTTGAGGACCGACAAAAAGTGTTTGGGTGCCGGCTCTCGTCTGACGTGCTGTTGCCATTCCGACGCTGTCTCGGCTTCGAACACCGTCGGATTGCAGGGCAGCGCAGTCCGCAGCTCAAATGAAGACATGCAAAGGGACTGGGAGAAGAGGACTGCATGCTGGACATCCCACAAGAAGCACATTTGTGCCAACCGCTTCCGCTCCTCGTATTGCATAGCTCTACGCCAATGGGTCTCGAGATTCTCTGTGCAGTCTGTAACATTCATCTTGGGCGCCTGGACAGTTTGGCAGTCACTACGGCGGATAAGGCTTGGTTTTGTCAGAGAGGGTACTGTTTTGGAGGCGGTGAACTTACTTGATCAAAAGACCGTGGAACAAGTGAGACATGTCGTGCTGCTTCTGGCCAGCCCTCGACTTGCCGAAGCATTCCACGAGCAGAATAGTCTGCAGGATCCACAGCTCTGGTGTTGCGGTGAAAGACATGTGTTGGAAGATCTGCGCTCTCATGACGTCGTGAATACACACTGCTAGTCTATGGGCTGATTTGTCGCCATAGGTTGAACCCAGTAGTAAGACGGCTAGGAGAAAGAGAGTCTCGACTTGCGCAGGGTCAAACGTGGGTCTGTGGATCAATGGATAGCAAGTGTTGAATCGAGTAAAGAACAGGTCACAGTAGGTCTGGAGAGACGCAAGCGAGAGAAGTGGATGGTCGCGATTTACCAACAAGCCATCGGGTGTTTTGGTCCCGGCCTGGACGATGAGGTCGACAACCCGGCCCCTCGATAAGTCGTCGATCTGAGGCATACTTCTGAATGTGCTGCATGGGTGAAATGACTGTATCGAGGTCGATTCGAGGGACGATGCAGTGAACGGACGCTGATATGGTGGTGATTGCTTTGGAGCATGCTGAGCCGCGGAAGTATTGCTGGATGCTAATGAGTAGTCACTAGCGGATAGAGCTTCTGGCGACGTTGTTACAGAAGACTGGGCCGCTTCCGACAGACGCTGAGAATGAGTCTGGCTCACAGCGGGTAGACTGGGTGGCTCCTCGGAAGAGAGAGACTGATATTCTTGTTGCGCTAAGAACGCTTGCATTGGTAGCGAATGCTGCTGTGATTGCTGCTGTAAAGGCAGGTGAGGCGTTCGGAGACCATGAGAGTTTGACTGATTTGCAGTCCTTACATTGGGACCATTATTCAAGTTGGTCAGTGCTTCGTTGGTCATTTGAGGTCCCCAGATATTCATGTGTACCGGTGCTGGGGCTTCATAGCTCGGGTGGGTCGCGCTGACATCAAAGAGCCAGGTATAGTTGTTCATCGTCGTATAGGGCATGTTGAAGGAACTCGCCGTGTCGGGCGCGAATGCATCGTCCCACACATCCTGGCCAGAGGTAGGTATTGACTGTGAGGGCTTTTGGCCCCAGGAAGAATTGGCAAGGAAATCGTACATATCATTTGCACTATGCTCCCGAGCAGGCATTTGACTGAAGTCGAAGACCTGGTGGTCATGAGTTGTATTCATATCATCGTTGTATTGCATCGGCTGGTCCATGAGATCTGTCCCAGGCTGAGATTTCGGCGGAGACGGGGGCGCTTGGACGTCCGCAAAAGGAGCTCTGTCTTCTTCCGCCAGGTTCATTGCAATATCATCCCCGGAGCCTTTGTCCAGATCGGATTGACTTTGCAGAGCAGGGCGCTTGGTCACGATATTGCCATCCGCATCTCGCCACATGCGCTTCCGAGTCTGGAGATCCTGGCCTCTGCCTTCTTGATCTCTTTGCCGGTGGCGGGCGAGGTGACGATCCAGCAGGTCCTGACGTTTGAAATGTGCTGAACATCGACCGCACGTACTACCTTCTGCGGTGTGGTTGAGCATGTGTCGCTGAAGGTGGTCTGACCTCGAGAAGGACTTCCCGCAATCTCCCCAACTACATATATGTTTCTTAACCGGTGTATTGGTCATGGCGTGCTTGAATTTAGGACGGCGCGCGAAGTGCAACAGCACCTGCGAAATCCGTTTCAGTAGAACCGATTAACAGCTATCATGCGCTTGCGACAGTGTACGATTGAATGATTGACAATGGCGACGACACCTTTCAAAGTCTGAAGTAACGAGACCTGGGTTGGGACTCGACAGCGTGAGGAAAGAGCGCAAAGGGAAGCGCGTAATGCTGCGACATCAACGAAACTGTTGATCTTCGGCCACATTAATCGAGATAAAGCGGTCGAGAATCGAGACTGGATTGGCGTTGGTGCTGATAAGGGGTTTCCACAGGGTTTCCACAGGTTGTCTTGGGCTGCATGATTAGGGTATAGTTCCAGGCGCGGGGTACACCCCTGTGGTTTAATTACGTGTCCCAACGGACAGGATTGACTAGCCATTGTAGGCAATTGGACCTCTTGGAGTAATGTGGAGATGTCATGTGCCTACATGGATGTTCTAGATGCTCCTGTACAATGCTATGCTATGCCTCATGCTGCGAGAGCCCGCCAGACCGCCCTGCAATATCTTACGCAGTGACTTCTTTCGAGCCTGGCTCAAAGAACGGGTAGTCGACGTATCCTTTTGAAGGGGGATCGGCGCCGTAGAATGTAGTGCGATCGTAGGGGTTGAGGGGAAGGCCTTCGGCAAGCCTCCTGGGCAGATCCGGATTTGCGATGAACCATCTTCCGAAAATGATGGCATCGGCGTCTCCGGACTCAACTTTAGGAGCAGCATTGTCGCGGTTGTAGTTTCCAGCTGCAAGGAATTTGATGTCACCCTTTGCGAGAATCTGGCGGAAAGGTGTCAGGGAGTTCTTGTTTGAGGAGGTTTCCTTCTCGAGAGAGCCCAATTTCGCCGACTCGTCGAGGACCTCGTCAAATCGCGGCTCGACCATATGCACGTAGGAAAGTCTGTTTTCTTTGGGGAGACTCGCGAGCTGTTCACAGAGGTATGCCCAGTGCTGGTTGGGGTTCGAATCACGAGTATCTTGGAAGTAGCTGCAAACCGAGTCAGTTTTCGCCTTGAGATCAAGAGCTGGGTGGGGGTGGAAGAGGACCGGGAGTGCTGCGACTCTAAGGTACTTACTTGTAGGGCGACAGTCTTATGCCGACCTTGTCTGCGCCAATCGCTTCGGTCACAGCTTTGATGACCTCGATGGGAAATCGACATCTCTTCTCCACAGAGCCTCCGTAGGCATCAGTGCGGGTGTTGACATTATCGTGCAGGAACTGATCAAGCAAGTAGCCGTTGGCACCGTGGATCTCGACTCCATCAAAACCGGCCTCCAGAGCACGCTTCGCCGCGGCTGCAAATTCCTTGGTAGCTTCCTGAATGTCCTCAACGGTCATTGGCTTAGGAGGCGTATTTGCGTAAGGTGCCCCGGTGAGGGCATTGCCAGTGATAGGAATGTCGCTGGAGCTCACCGCGGGGTGACCGTCCAGAAAATCGGGTACGGTAGCGCGGCCGACATGCCACAGCTGGCAGTAGATGAAACCACCCTTAGCATGCACTGCATCGGTGACTCGCTTCCAGCCGGCGATCTGGCCGGGGGTAAAAATACCAGGCACGCCCTTATAGCCACAAGCGAGACGGCTGATTGGGCATGCTTCGGTCAGCTGGAACCCGCCCTTTGAAGCTCTCTGGCCATAGTACTCCACGTTGATGTCCGAGCACACATATACACCAGAAGATTCCTCTGGCGCGCGCATGCGCGTGAGAGGCGCTTGAAGAACTCTATGCTCGAGATCGAGGTGGCCTAGCTTTAGGGGCTTGAACAGTGTGGTCTCGTTCAAGGGCTTGAAGCCCGAGGGTGATACTCTGGACGGCATCGTGGCGGCGGAGGAACGTTGAGAGTGACTGGGAGTGTTCGAAAGCGAGTGCAGATGCCCTAGGAATGGCTATGCAGGATAGGAATGGAAGATGAATGATGAGTTGCAAGGGGAAAGACGTTGGTGCAATCGGCGAAAAGGGTTTTGGACATCACCATGTCGTGCTCGGAAAAACCTAACCTGGGTCCATGTCGCTCCAGCCTCAAGCGTCGACATTATGGAGTAGCGCACCTCAACTTCTGGACCATTCTGGTGTTGGGGCATGTAGATTTGTGGTCGTGGAGACAGTATGGCAGCAAGGTGGGTGAACAGCGGACACATCGGCGACGTGAGAAGTGGGCGGTGTGCCAAGCATACGGCCTCTGTTCCGCGCCATCTTCAGGACTTTCTGGAATACGTGTCTCCCCCACTTCTCACGAGAGATAGACCTTCGGTCCACTGAGCTTCTTCGCTGACACATCGACAACGGATATGTGCGGAGACTGGTCCAAGTCTGTGGATCGGCGTACATTCATCGACATGTGTCGACACTACGACGTTGTTCCTAGTTGCCCACGGTGGCAAAGACGCATGTGCGTAGGTCTCGCTCAGCAAGCGGCGCTACAATCTTCGAGCTAGTGTAAGGTGAAAGGGGTCTGCCACTTAGCCACTGTACTTGACGTCCTGCCACAGCTGGTAGAGACTGTAACGATGAGCCTACCTTTCACCGCGAAGAGGGCGACGATGCCTACGGCGTTTGAGAACCTCCAGCCTTTGATCGAGGCGGAGTTTACCCAATCGACCCTGACATTTTACATGAACGGCTCGAAAGTCGAGCTGAACAACCCTGATCCGGCGTGGACACTGCTTGACTTCATCCGATCGCGACATGACAGCAAGGGAACGAAACTGGGTTGCGGCGAGGGTGGGTGTGGCGCGTGCACTGTCGTCCTGCAGACCTACCACTCCAGAAAAGGTCGACCCGTGCATATCGCTGTGAATGCATGTTTATATCCCCTTGCTGGCGTGGTTGGAAAGCATCTTATCACAGTCGAGGGGTTGGGGAGTGTCGAACGACCACATCCGTTACAGGAGCGGATCGCCAAATTGCATGGGTCACAATGTGGCTTCTGCACACCAGGAATAGTCATGTCTCTTTATGCTCTCATACGGAACGCTTGGGACCCACAAACCCAAGTATTTGACCTGTCGGCCGAAAATATTGAGTTGGAGGGTGTCTTGGATGGAAATCTCTGTAGGTGCACTGGCTACAAGCCGATCCTACAAGCTGCGAAGACATTCATCAAGGAAGACCTCAAAGGCAAAGTAAAGGAGCCCCAGCCAGGAATGGTCGCCGTACCCGTGGATCAGCTAGACGATGATATCCCATACAAGTCCGAGGAAGCTCCCGCCAACAGTGGCACATCACGCCGCAGCTGTGGTAGGCCAGGCGGTTGCTGTCGAGACCGACCAGCAGCCTCAAGCCGCGAGAGCTCAGCAGATGGCGCATCCAGCGACGCTACCAAGAGCAGTCATGATACCACATCCAACACCAGCGACGAGATTGATGTCGCCGGCGCAGAATACGCAAAACCAATAAGACAACGCGAACGGAACCCGTTGCCAGGGGAAGAAGGCGAGGGCACAAAAGCCGGCACCAATGTCGACGCTGAACCTCCCAAGAGCGATGACGGGCGTCTCAAGGCCACCTTTGCTCCATATGTGCCAGGAACGGAGCTCATCTATCCACCAGCTCTGCGGAAGTTTCAAGCGGAACCCGTTTGCTACGGCAACTCCACCGCGATATGGCTCCGACCAACGACTCTCGATCAAGTATTGAGGATCAAAGACCTGGAACCGACAGCAAAAGTAGTTGCAGGATCAAGTGAGGTGCAAGTCGAGATCAGGTTCAAGAACTCCAAATTTGTGATCTCGGTCTTCATTGGTGACCTCCCTGAGCTCACAGCCACCGCTGTGCCGGAAACACCAGAGGACCTTGCAAGTCTGAAAGAGCTCATTATTGGTGCAAACACATCCTTGACAGAGGTCGAGTCGGTCTGTCAGTCCCTTTCTCAGAAGCTCGGACGACGAGGTTTAGTGCTTGAGGCGTGCAGAAAACAGCTGCGGTACTTTGCCGGCCGGCAGATTAGGAACGCGGCTTCGCTCGCTGGCAACCTTGCCACGGCTTCCCCGATCTCAGACTTGAATCCAGTCCTGCTTGCCGCTGGCGCGACAGTGGTCGCAAAGAGTCATCATGAAGGCGAGATGATGCTACCAATGGCCAGCTTCTTCAAATCTTACCGCACCACTGCTCTACCAGCCAATGCTCTCATTACCAGCATTCGTATTCCTCTCCCTTCTCAGGAAGAACGACAGATTTTCAAAGCCTACAAGCAAGCGAAGAGGAAGGACGACGATATTGCAATTGTCACCGCCGCTTTCTGTGTAAGGCTTGATGAGTCCGGCAAAGTGGAACATATTGCTCTGGCATACGGGGGTATGGCACCGCTCACGGTCCTAGCAAAACGTTCTATGGCCGTGCTACAAGGGCAGCCCTGGTATGATTCAAGAACTCTGGATGCAGGCATGAAAGCAATCTCCCAAGACTTCAACCTGCCTTTCGGTGTGCCAGGCGGCATGGCCACCTACCGGAAGACGCTTGCTATGTCCTTCTTCTTCCGATTCTGGCATGAGGTCGTCGTCGACCTGGAGCTGGGGCAGGTGGACAAGGATCTCATCGAAGAGATCCACAGAAACATTTCTTCTGGCACACGAGACAACTACAACCCCCACGAACAACGTGTAGTCGGCAAACAAATCCCACACTTATCAGGTCTGAAGCAAGCGACTGGTGAGGCAGAATACGTCGACGACATTCCACACCAGAACCGCGAGCTCTACGGTGCCTTTGTATTCTCGCCGAGGGGCCATGCAAGAATCGTCAGCATTGACTGGACACCCGCGATTGGTCCAGGCCTCGCCCTAGGCTATGTCGACCGTACATCAATCACTCCAGCGCAGAATCGATGGGGCTCGATTCGGAAGGATGAACCCGTCTTTGCTGAAGACGAAGTCGAATCGCATGGTCAAGCTATAGGGCTTGTCTATGCTGAGACCCAACTCCAAGCTCAAGCTGCCGCCAAGCTCGTGAAGATTGCGTGGGAAGACTTGCCCACTATCCTTACCATCGACGAGGCCATCGAGGCTAACAGCTTCTATTCACACGGAAAAATGCTTAAAAAGGGTGCCGCTATCGAAGGAGACATGAATGAAATCTTCGCCAAGTGTGACAGGGTGTTCGAAGGCGTCATCAGAATGGGCGGTCAAGAGCACTTCTATCTCGAAACAAACGCTGCTCTCGTAGTGCCCCACACCGAGGATGGCAGTATGGACGTCTGGACATCAACCCAGAACACTATGGAAACTCAAGAGTTTGTCAGCCACGTCACTGGAGTTCCATCTAACCGTATCAACGCCCGGGTCAGACGCCTTGGGGGCGGCTTCGGTGGCAAAGAATCCCGCAGCGTGCCTATCGCCTGCGCGCTTGCCATAGCTGCCAAGAAGGAGAAGCGTCCTATACGTTGTATGCTCACCCGCGAAGAGGATATGATGACTTCTGGTCAGCGACATCCATTCCAAGCACGCTGGAAGGTTGGCGTCATGAACGATGGCACCCTTGTTGCCCTCGATTGCGACCTATACAACAATGCTGGGTTTAGTTACGACATGAGTGCGGCTGTCATGGACCGTGCGTGCACTCATGTTGATAGCTGCTACAACTTTCCGCATGCATGGATCCGTGGCCATGTCTGCAAGACCAACACACACAGCAACACCGCTTTCCGCGGCTTTGGTGGCCCACAAGCCATGTTCATCACGGAGACCTACATGACTGCTGTTGCAGATGGTCTAGGTATGTCTGTAGATGACCTGCGAGTCAAGAATCTCTACAAGGAGAATGATCGTACGCCTTTCCTCCAGAGGATTGATCAAGACTGGCATATCCCTCGGTTGATGGACCTCACACGAAAGGAGTGTGACTACGATGCTCGTCATACAGCCATCGAGTCATTCAACGCATCTCACAAGTGGAAAAAGCGTGGCATCTGCCTAATTCCCGTCAAGTTCGGAATCTCCTTCGCGACCGCGGTACACCTCAACCAGGCCAGCGCCAACGTCAAGATTTACGCCGACGGCTCTGTTCTGCTTAACCATGCCGGAACAGAAATGGGTCAAGGACTTTACACGAAGATGTGCCAGGTCGCCGCGCAAGAGCTGAAAGTACCCATCGATGCCGTCTACACCCAGGACACCGCAACATACAGTACCGCCAACGCCTCCCCAACCGCTGCCTCATCTGGCTCCGACCTGAACGGCATGGCAATCCTGGACGCCTGCACCCAGCTCAACGAGCGGCTGGCGCCGTACTGGGAGAAGTTTGGCGCCGGTGCCACAATGAAGCAGGTCGCGCACGCTGCGTATCTGGACCGTGTCAACTTGAGCGCGACTGGCTTCTGGAAGATGCCGCGTGTGGGTTACAAGTGGGGCAACTACGACGCCAACTCCGTGCTGCCGATGTACTACTACTTCACGCAGGGTGTCGCCTGTACTGAGGTGGAGTTGGACCTGCTGACCGGCGACCACACCGTTCTACGGACCGATATCAAGATGGATGTCGGTCGCTCCATCAACCCTGCAATTGACTATGGCCAGATTGAGGGCGCATTTGTGCAGGGGCAAGGGCTGTTCACTATGGAGGAGAGCCTGTGGACGAAGCAGGGCCAGCTGTTCACGAGGGGTCCAGGAACATATAAGATCCCGGGTTTCGCGGATATCCCACAGGTGTTCAACGTAAGTTTCTTGCAAGGAGAAGATTGGAGCCCGCTGCGGACCATTCAGAGCAGTAAGGGAATCGGCGAGCCGCCTTTGTTCTTGGGTGCGACAGTTCTGTTTGCGCTGCGAGAGGCGCTCAAGGCGGCGAGAAAGCAGAACGGTGTGACCGAGACGTTGGTTCTGGATAGTCCGGCGACAGCGGAGCGCTTGCGGCTGGCAGTAGGGGACGATATCTTGAAGATGGGGACAGTGCAGAAGAAGGAAGGCGAAAGCAACTTCTTTGTCAGTGTTGCATAGGGTAGCTAGGATATAGTATGGCAGCGACACGATAGATACAAATGAAAGTGCGAAAGGCATATCACACGGTCTCGGGGGGCAGTGATACCACGCGCGCCACAACGGTACACCTCAGGCAGTAAAACTCTTGGCGAAGCAGACAGCCGCACCGAGCTACATCTAGTGCCACGAATCCCTAGTCTGTTCTATTGGTTCCTCATGCGCATGTCAATACCCCTCATGACAGTATACAAAGTCTGCAAGACGGGGACTTGTATCCCTTTCTCCTTGGCTCTCCGCACAGGCGTACCCAAGATGACGTCCACTTCCAAAGGCCGACCGTTTTCGACATCCGTCCGCATACTGCTCCCAATCGGCGGCATAGCCAGTATCTTCGCGTTTAGCCGATCGATCAAATCATACTCAAGCGGGACATGGCAAGCTCTCGCCACATCGATCACCTCCCGCATCAGCTGTCGTGTCATGGGCGTGGCGTCCTCAGACGAGTTCAGCCAGTCGTGTGTGCTAAGCAGGGTCATGCTTGTCAGACTATTCCATGCTGCGTTCCACACAACCTTCTCCCAGCGTTGAATCTGAACGTTGGGCACCACCTGGAACACCGTCTTGCCTTCGGTCAGCAGCCTGGCGAATGCTTGCAGTCGCTGCTGCTCGCGGCTCGAGTCGAGAGATGTGTTTGGAAACAGGCCTATCTGCATATCTTCTGATTTGGTGTGCTTGATGACTCCCGGTGAGGCCTGCGTGGCGCCTACCCAGGTCACGCAGCTGAGAATTGTGTTGTTGGGAAAACTGGCACGGAAGGGGTCCTCGTTCCCAACACCATTCTGGATGATGACTAGCGTCGTGTTGGGTCCCACGGCGGGAGCCAGGCGTTTGGGGACGGCGTCCTGATCTATGGCTTTGTGAGCGCACACAATGTAGTCAAACGTCTTGCCCGCCTCCGATGGGTCACGCAAGACTTGGACGGGTGTAATAGTGTGCTGCCCATGGTTTTCGGACGTGATTTGGAGGCCGCGCGCCTTGACTGCCTCATAGTTAGAGCGGCATACCACTGAAAGCTGGACCTGTGGTGGGATGCTCAAGATGAAGGCGTAGAAGGAGCCGATTGCGCCCAGCCCGTAAAGTAAAATGTCGACGTGGTCTGACATGATCGTTGGATCGAGTCACTATGTGGACGTGATGGCTGAGAACAGGTTGCCTCCGCGGCACGCAGTACAAATTCGCATGTGTAGTCGTTTGTCTTGAAGTCAACGTGGTCGGGGGCCTTCACGCCGAGTTGTCGCGCCCCCGTGTGCGGAGAGACATGGATTCTCGTGGGGGCGGCGGCGCGGGGGTGACCGAACCCCCGATTCGGAGTAACATGAAGTTAACCCCACTCCGCAATGTTGACAACCTCCACGGGATTTCCGATTTGTGTGAAGCCATCGCCTAAACTTGTGGGGCGACCTTGGTGGAAGTATGTAGCGTCGACCAGCGCCTTGAGAGCGCTTGGAACACTACCGCCTTCAACAAGCAGCCAACTTAGGCTCACAACACAGATTGAGGCAAGACTCGATGGCGATAAGTGGAGGGGAGGTGGCCAAGCATGCCACGAAATCCTCCTGCTGGATTGTGCTTCACAACAAAGTATGGGACGTCACAGGTATGGCTATAATGTTCTTCTCCACGGGTAATGGTTCCTGACATCAAGTCGGCAGACTATCTCTCAGCACATCCCGGCGGTGAGCAGCTGTTGGCTAGGCTTGCCGGCCAGGACGCAACTGAGGACTACGATGCGATGCATAACCCTGACCTTGTAGCATCCATCCTCCCACCATCATCCTGTATAGGGGAATTTGACACTTCAACTACCCACAAGCTCAAGCAGCGGCCCCAGAATCCCGAGATAAACCACACTTCAGAACCGGCCAAGGCAGACCATCTATCACTATCTTCGATCATCAGCGTGGACGACTTTGAAATTTCTGCCCAGAAGCACCTCAGTCCTACGGGCTGGGCCTACTACGCATCTGGTGCTGATGACATGTACAGCATTGCAGACTGCCGACGAATCTTTCGCCTCATGAAGCTTCGCCCGCGAGTACTGCGTGATGTATCTGCAGTAGATACGACCGTGTCGATTCTTGGCCATCATTCATCATTACCAGTGTACATCTCCCCGACTGGCTTGGGGAAGTACGCGCATCCAGATGCAGAATGTGCTTTGGCACGTGCAGCCGGCAAAGACAAGATTATTCAGGTGGTGCCAACGGCGCCTAGCAAGGGGCACGAAGAGATAACGGCAGCAGGTAATGCGCATGGGACGACCATGATGTTCCAGTTGTATGTCAACCAGGATAGAACGAGAGCCGAAGCCACGATCAGAAGAGCCGAAGAACTAGGATACAAAGCGATTTGGGTTACGGTTGACTCGCCGGTACTAGGGAAGCGCGAGATGGACAATCGACTCAAAGCTAAGGAGGGGACCTTCAATACCTCTGCTGGTGTCGCAAAAAGCAGTAGCAGCGGCTTGCTGAACCCAGCTCTGGTCTGGGAAGATCTTGACTGGATCAGAAGCATTACCAAGCTGCCATTGGTTTTGAAGGGTGTCCAGAGCGTTGAGGATGCGGTAATGGCATACAAAAGGGGTCTCAACGGCGTAGTACTTAGCCATCATGGAGGCAGAAGTATCGATACCGCCCAAGCACCACTGGTCACGTTGCTGGAAATTAGGAGGTACGCCCCGCATCTGCTGACAAAGAAGGCACCGAATTATGGGCAACGGAAGTTCGAAGTGTATCTTGATGGTGGCGTTCGACGGGGGACGGATGTCGTTAAGGCTCTGGCTCTCGGATGTACAGCAGTGGGGATTGGAAGGCCATTCCTGTACTCGATGACCGGTGGCTATGGTGAGGAGGGTGTCGGGCATCTGGTCTCGCTGCTACGATCTGAGATAGAGACCAACATGGCCCTCACTGGAGCCAGCAAGGTAAAGCATCTGGAGCCGGGCATGGTGAATTCGAAAAGGGTGGAAATGGAGGTCATCGATGGCGGTTTAGTAAAACTGTGAAGTATTTCGAGTACATTTTCTGTTCAACAATCTATAGACCTACCATTCTCGAATCGATCCATCAGGTCCGTAGAATTCCTTGCATTGCCAGTAGCCAGTGTCTTTAGCTATCCGCCGAACTGCCTCTTCGTCGACTTCTATACCGAGACCTGGCCCGGTGAGGACCTTGATGTACCCATCTTCGATGTCAAAGACCTTGGGGTCCTTGACATAGGTCATGAGATCCTCCTCGCCCGCCTCAGTGTTGTAGTGCATGCCCAGAGACATCTCCTGAATGACAAAGTTGGGGATGCTGATTGCAACTTGCATGGACGCGGCCAGAGCGATCGGACCAAGCGGACAGTGAGGAGCAATAGCCACGTCATATGTCTCTGCAAGCTGAGCGATCTTCTTTGTTTCTGAGATGCCACCAGCATGGGCAATGTCTGGCTGAAGAACGTCAACGCATGCGTCCTCGAGAAATCTTTTTGCGTCCCAGCGGGTGTAGATACGCTCGCCGAACGCAATTGGGATAGTAGTCATGCCTGCCAGCTGCTTCAGTGCCTCTGGATGTTCTACCAGCAGCGGTTCTTCGATGAACAGAGGCCTGTGGGGCTCTAGCGCTCTTGCCAACTGCTTGGCCATTGACTTGTGCAGCCGGCCATGGAAGTCAAGCCCTGCGTCTAGGCCAAGTGCCTTGACTTGCTTCAGACGTTCCACAGTCGAATCGAGCACGGCCGGCGAATCTAGCCAGCAGACATCCTCTGTGGCATTCATTTTGACACAGCGGAGACCTTGAGCGATGCGAGCTTTGGCAGCGACTTCCACATCTGCAGGCCGATCGCCACCGATCCATGCATAGACCTGCACTTTGTTCCTGACCTTACCTCCGAGCAGCTGATATATGGGCACATTCAGACGACGAGCTTTTAGATCCCATAGAGCAATGTCGATACCGGATAGGGCAGACATGAAAACTGGGCCACCTCTGTAGAAGCCCAATCTCCAGAATGTCTGCCAAATATGCTCAATATCACTGCATGTGCTGTCAGTGATTGCCCACTGGACTTGAAACTCTAGCACACTCACTCTGCGACGTAACCGGCAAGTCGGTCAGCCATTTCCGACAGAGCACCCTCGACGGCCTTGTCGTGGCCTTCAAGGGTCGCTTCACCCCATCCGTAGCCTCCAGACTCGTCAGTGATCTTGACAAATAGCCATCGTGGTTTCACGCGGAACCATTCGATCGTCTTGATTCGAGGTAACGGGTCATTGCTGCCCTTGTGGTGCAGAGCGAGTTTCTGTTCAACTCCGTTCGCAGCCATCTTCTCTGTATAGTCGATATCGCTGGTGTATGAGCTATGCTTGCCCTGCAGATTTGTCTCTAGTAATTCGAATCGTCAACAGCGAAGCCTGCTAGTTTTAGTTGGGGTTAAGGATCACGGCACTCGGCTTCCTTTCCGACTTCATGGTGGCAAATTTTGGCCAACCCCACGGCAGTCTCACGAGGCCCCCAAGCGCTCCAAACCTCACCCCCATACTGGCGGGATGCTTCTCCATCAAGTCTCCGCACAAGCAAAGCGAAGAATTCTTGGGGTTGGCAGGGTCTCCCCAAAACGACTGGCACCTCTGGGCATCGTCTAAGTTTTGCTTGAAAGTGGATTGACTTGGAACCGGGTCGCCGGGTGGTGACTTGCTAGGTACTCGCCTAAAGAGATTGACACTATGCTGGGGAAGCCCCCACGCAAATGCTGTTAACATCAGTTGGCTATTAATTTCTTCAAGATCCAGAAAGTTTCCCCGTGATTCCTTACTTACTAAGACCCAATATATGCTCCCATCCATATACTTGCGACGCCGTCACTGCCTTTGCATCAAACCATAGTCATTGTCTACTTGATTTTCCTCATCGTTCCATCAAATTACTCCCGCAAAGAAGCACGACTCTCCACGCAATGGAGGCAGAGAAGACTCCTGCTCCGTTAGAGGTCGAAGCTGTCGACAAGCAACACCTCCAAGGACAACATGGTCCCGCTTTAGAAATGCCAGCCAGCCTGGCAGCCCTGAGCCCGTCGGAGTATGAACGAATCGGCAAGAAAGCCACGCTTAAGATGGACTGCATTATCATGCCGATAATGGTGGTAATGGTAGGTTCCCAATTGTCTACGTGAGGTTTGATAGCCGCTGACCGTCTACAGTACATCCTTAACTATCTTGACCGGCAAAACATCGCCTCAGCTCGCCTTGCAGACATCGAAGAGGATCTGAACATCACCGATGTGCAGTATCAGACGTGCGTAAGCATTCTATTCGTCGGATACATCCTGATGCAAGTTCCGAGCAACATGATCGTCTCAAAGATCAAGAAGCCTGGCATATACATCTGCGGAGCCATGGCCTTATGGGGTGTCATCAGTGCTCTGATGGCTGTTGTCAAGAACTACGCCGGCCTACTGTCCGCGCGCTTTTTCTTGGGATTCATCGAGGCGGCTTTCTTTCCAGGCGCGCTATATGTGAGTCTTGAAAAACGTCGATCCATGGCGTTAATTCAGATGCAGAATCTAACCAGAGCTTCAGTTCCTGAGCATGTTCTACAACCGAAAGCAGTTTGCTTTGAGAACCGCCATTCTCTACAGCGGAAGTCAGGCCGGCAACGCATTCGGAGGGTTGTTTGCCATCGCTATTCTCAAGCTCGATGGCAAAAGTGGCCTGGAAGGCTGGCGATGGGTAAGAATGTACCAACAACGGACTTTGCGTCATACTAACAGCTGCAGCTCTTCCTCGTTGAGGGTATCATAACGATCGGCTTGGCCCTAATCTTTGCACTGATCTTGCCTAACTCCAACAAGAAGATCATGACACTCTCGCAGATTGAGTGTGAGTGGGTGCAGTGGAATTACGCGGCCGATCTGGGACAGGAGGACCATAGAGAAGAGATCAGCGCATGGCAAGGCCTCAAGCTGGCCATTGCAGACCCCAAGACATGGCTGTTGATGGGTATTCTCTACAGCTGCTACATTGTCGGGGCTGTTACCAACGTAAGTGACTATACTGCCGGCAGAGCATTCTACTGACTCTGTTACAGTTCTTTCCCAGTGTCGTCGGAGGGCTTGGATACTCCAGAACCAAGACCTATGGTCTCACAGCCCCACCATTTGTGCTCTGTGTGTTCACCATGCTTCTCAACGGCTTCTGGTCCGACCGCACGCAACGGCGTTTCCTCCATATTGTAGGACCTCTTATCATCACCTTGGTCGCCAACATCATTGCAGTGTCTTCATTGAGCATCGCCGCGCGATACGTGGCGATCATGCTGCTACCCGGGTCGTTCTACGCTTCAGCCGTCGTCATCTTGTCCTGGATCACAGGCAGCTTGAACCAGCCGGCACCGAAGCGCGCGAGCGCCATCGCGCTGATCAACGCAATTTGGTACGTACATTGCTCCCCAGTCACGGGATGTCCTACTGACACGCTTCTCTGCAGCAACACGCCCAATATTTGGGGAAGCTACCTTTACGGCAATGCCCCAAGATTTCTGGAGGCCTTCATCGTCAATATTGCTGCCACCGGTCTGGCTATCGGCTTCGCCACGGCTACTTTCTTCTATCTGCGCAGGGTCAATGCTAAGCTTGAGCAAGGAAAGTCAGTGGGCAAGAACGGGCCAACAGAGGCCCAACTAGCTGCCGGTTTCCGCTACACCCTCTAAGGCATCTCGAATGGTTGAAGAAAAAGTAAAGTCGCTGCCTGAGTACTCGAGATGTACACTAGACCACCTCATTTACCTTTCGTTTAAATAGGACGTTCAAAAGGTACTGGTACTGTGTGCAGTCATATTCCAGGCCACTCAGGTCCGGGTCCTGTGGTCGCCTCCAGATCAAGACTAACAAGAAACATTCATGCTAGCCCGTCTTGCTATAAACGCTGACGGCCCACCGCATGCCGCATGGACCGAGATAGATCCACACCTGCGAAGTAGTCGTGGGGGTGTGGCATGACGTCTCGGCGGCCACCCCGTGCTTCGGGGGAAAGTGGCGTGCCACCCCGCACCGCAACTCCGTCTGGCATGGTGGTCCACCTGGGCCCGAACTCTGCACAGTATTCAATCGCGAACTAAGTCCGACAGCAGTCGCTATTTCTCGCCAGGTAGGAGGGGATTCAACGTTGCCTCAACAAGCGTTCAGGACTTCACACTACCCAATATCGTTCCAGCCGCCCGCCGTACAGGCCAGTAATATCTCCAACGGAATCCAAAGACGCCGCAGGAATTCTCCGCGACCATGTCGGCTACATCGCTGCCCCAGCTCTTTGACCTCTCCGGTCGCACCGCCGTCGTTACTGGCGGTACGCGTGGTATCGGACAAGCCATGGCACTGGCGCTCGCCGAAGCCGGCGCAGACATCATCTTGGTCCAGGTACGTCCGTTCGTTGGATGGGCTCGATACCGCGAAGCTTGGACGCCTTGGTCGTACTGACAATTCTTGGACAGCGTGATACATCCAACACTTCGACACAATCTCAGGTCGACACCCTCGGCCGTTCCTGTCAGATCTACACTGCGGATCTGGCCTCCGCGGGCGACGTTGGCGGCCTCGCCAAGCGCATTCTGGCTGATAAACACGACGTCTCGATCCTGGTGACGAGCGCGGGCATCCAACGACGGCACCCTGCGCACCAGTTCCCGGACAGTGACTGGGCTGAGGTCCTGCAGGTCAATCTCAACACGGTGTGGACTCTGTGTCGTGACTTTGGCGCTTACATGCTCACTCGACCGGGACCGCGGAGGGGGAACATCATCAACGTGGCGAGCTTGGTCAGCTTTCAAGGTCAGTGCTCTTGCTTTCCGATGGGGACCAAACCTCGTAGACCAAAACATGGGGATTGCATACGGTCGCATCCCCGAGCGAGGATTGGACTTTGCTGACTGGCTGACCAGGCGGTCTGAACGTACCTGCGTACGCCGCCGCAAAAGGCGGAGTGGCGCAGCTCACGAAAGCCTTGTCGAATCAGTGGGCGGCGGAGGGCATCAACGTAAACGCCATAGCACCGGGCTACATTGACACAGATATGAACGAGGCGCTGATGAAGGACGAGCAGCGCAAGAGGCAGCTGTTTGAGCGGATCCCTGCGCAGAGATTTGGCGTGCCGGACGACTTCCGAGGCCCGACCGTGTTTCTGGCCAGCAGCGCGAGCGCGTACGTCTCGGGAGAGATCATGCTGGTGGATGGTGGATGGATGGGGAGGTGATGGTCTGGCTTGGAGAGAGGGGAAGCTGTTTTCTGATATGGTAGGGGTAAGGGATGGCGATGCTCAAGCTTTTATTCGTCAACGTCGGCGTTGTGCGTGAGGAGATCTTGTGTCTGCTCGCAGCCTAGTAGGAACTATACACCGAGCCGTGAGAGCGTATAGTTGACTCCTGAATGCCTGGCAAGCAATTGGGAGACCGCACCAACTGCGACACAGTGGCCAGCATTCACTGCCTGAGATCCTGCTTTCTGATTGGCTGGAACTGAAGGCAGCGACCAGGTTATTCCTCCAGGCCATTTCGGTAGATGCACGACTAACACAACTATCTTCCGTGACCCTGATCGTCGATCTCCTTGTTACAGTGTCCTGGCGACAGTAACTACATGCATGTCGTGTGGTGAAGCCAATGAAGATACCAGCGTAATGCTCTGTTGCTCTTGGCGAAAATCCCCCGCAGCTCAAGTTTATGTCAGCAACATCCAACCTCGGCCACCTGATCCGGGTCTTGCGAAAGCTCTGGTCTTGCTCGCCGTGTCTTGGAAAGTGTTGAGAGCTACAGACAATCAATCACAGACAAGCAACATACCTCCGCCCTGCTTCAAGCGCAACCGCCGGGCAAGCATGGGCCACCTCCGCCCCCCGCCCGTAACCGACACGCTCATCACGTTTCCCGCACCTCACATCCTTCTAGTTACGCTCAACCGCCCCAAGAAGCACAACTCCATCACCCATGGCATGAACTGGGAGTTCGACGCACTCTGGCAGTGGTTCGACGAGCAGCCTTCCTTACGTGTCGCCGTCATCACGGGATCCGGGCAGAAGGCCTTTTGCGCCGGCTCGGACTTGATTGAGATCGAGGAGGCGCAGAAGGCGAAACTGCTCGGTGGCGATGGGCCCGAGCTGGCAAAGCACGCGCATCCGCCGTCGGGTTTTGGTGGCTTCAGTCGGAGGAGGGGCAAGAAGCCCGTGCTGGCTGCCGTCAATGGCCTGGCGTTGGGAGGCGGCTTTGAGATTGTGCTGAATTGGTATGAATGGGAACCCGTACTCACTATCACAGTATCACCACGGCTGACATCTCTGCAAGTGATATCACAGTCGCCAGTCCCAAGGCGTCGTTCGGCCTGCCGGAGATCCTCGTCGGCGTCTACGCCTATGGCGGCGGTCTGCCCCGGCTGGTGCAAACCGTGGGCCTACAGGCCGCGAGCGAGATTGCGCTAACAGGGCGTCGGGTCAGTGCAAAGGAGGCCTTGGACCTGCGTTTGATTGGCAAGATCGCCATGTCGCCGGAGACCGTGCTAGAGGAGACGCTTGAGCTGGCCAAGAAGCTGGCGGCGAACTCGCCGGACGGCATCATCGTCACGAGGGCCGCACTGAGGGAAGCGTGGGAGACGGCGAGCGTGGAGCGGGCGTTCCAGATCACGCATGACCAGATGTATGATAAGTTGATGAAGAGTGAGAACTCCAAGGAAGGTTTGGCGGCTTTCAGGGAGAAGCGGAGCGCGAAGTGGACGGATTCAAAGTTGTGATACGTACAGTCTTCAAGATACCAGTGCAGCCGATCTTCCAGTGCAGCCGATCTTACAGCTTCGCCTTCAGGTTCCCATCATCCGTCAGCTTCTCTATGTCAAAAAATGGCAGGTACTCTTCCAGCACCTCCCTCTCCTCCGCAGTAAACTTTCGCTTCGTCAGACCCTGCTCGCCTTCCGATATGACCGCCCTCAGTGGGATCTCAAGCCGTTTCCCGTTCACATTATACGGTATCCGTTTGACGGCGAAGATGAAATGTGGGACATGCCTTCTACTGAGGTCCGTTGCAACCTGCCTCCTAATGGCCTCGTCGAGTTCTTTCGGCACTGTTCTTTTCTCGCTGGGCAGCTGTAGGAACAGATACACCCTCTCAGCTGCATCTGTCTCGCGTTGCTGCCCGACGCAGATTGCATCCACGATCTGACCTTTGAAGTCGCGCTCGAGGATACTGTAAATCTCCCCACTGCCAAAGCGAATGCCAGAAGGATTCAGAACGCCATCACTGCGCCCGGAGATGATGAGGCCACCGGTCTTCGGGTTCTGATGCATGAAATCGCCATGCGTCCATACGTGGTCGTACTTTTCGAAGTATGCAGCGTGGTAGCGTTTACCATCTGGGTCGTTCCAGAACATAGCCGGCATGTTTGGGAACGGTTTCTTGCAGACGAGCTCTCCACTCTCGCCTGCTGGTACGGGTTTCCCCTCCGTGTCAAAGATGTCGACGTCCATGCCCAGGCACTTGACGGCGTTTTCGCCTGCATAGACGGGCAGAGTCTGGGTTCCATGAACGAAGTTGCCACACAGCTCTGTGCCTCCCGATGTAGAGATCTGGCAAATCGGTCCGAACGACTCGACGATCCATTTTGACATTGAAGCTGTGAGCAGCGCACCGGCACTGGGGATCTTGTCAACCTTGGACACATATGGCTTGGCATACACGCCGGCCTTCTGCAGCTCCGAGAAGTACCGTGGGCCTGCACCAAACGATGTCACTCCCTGGTTCATGATCGCTTCAAGGCACTTCTCGGCGGTAGGGTAGAACGGCGAGCCATCATACAGCACGATCTGCGCGCCTGTGAACAAGGCCCCAATCATGATGTTCCACAGTGTCCAGCCTATTCCGGCATAGTGGAAGTGCACCGCACCGGGTCTGTGGTTGTAGTTGAGCATATGCTCTGCAACATCTGTCAGCGGATCTTACCATTCTGGTAGTAAGCAACAGGTAACTGACCTTTCATTCCGTTGACTATCAAGCCGCCTTGCGAGTGTACGATACCTTTGGGAGTACCGGTGGTGCCAGAGGAAAACATGACTACGAACGGTGTATGGAAGGGTAGTTGGGCGAACTCCAGTTTGGCGCCTGTGCCTCGTCCAAGGAAATCTCTGAACGGGGACCAGCCTTCTGGGGTATCATGTGAAGTCCCCACAATCTCGGCCCCGTTTGGTTTCTCAACCTGTGACCAGACAGCATTTATCCGGTCTGTGATGCTGTGCCGTTTGCTGTTGTAGCTATACGCAGACTCCGCAAACAAGACCGTCGGCTTCAGCTGTCCAATGCGGTCGAGTAGTACACGCTCGCCAGCGTCGGTGGCAAATGACGAATAGATCAGACCGATTGACGCCGCAGCTAGCAGCAGGCACAGTGACTTGATGGTGCTACCTCCGATAACACAGACCACGTCCCCCTTCTTCAACCCAGTCGCTTTCATCGCATCAGCGAACGTACGTGTCCGTTCCCTCAGCTCATCCCAGCTGGCTTCTTCTCCTTTCCACTGGTTCTCCTCGTTGATGGCTTTGACGGCAATATTATGTCCTGTCCGGGACAGGAGATTCTCGGCGTAGTTCAGGCGTGAGCCTTCATAGAATTGTGGGATCTCGTCTATTGGTATAGATTCGTCGACACCCCGCTTGGGCTGGACCGATGCCTTTATGGGAAGAAAGTCCCAGAGGGACAGCCAGAAATCGTTGGGTCTATCGACCGAGAAGCGATGCAGCTCATGGTAGTCTCGTAGCGATAAGCCAAATCGCTTGTTGACGGTATTGCGATAGTCATCGAGAAAATTCTTGAAGTTGGGCGGGGGGGTATAAAGCTGAGGCGCCATATCAGCCCACAACTTCGGTCTCTTTCGTGTCCAGCGTAGTGGTGGTCCGATAGAACGGCGTGTGGCTTGTCATGCAAACGCCAAGTGTTCCGAGGATGTACGCTTTTTGTAGTCTTAGTGCAGGCGGAGATCCAACGCGTTCCGACGACTACATCTGCAACTCATCAAATGTAACGTATGTTAGGCTGAGCAAGATATATTTACAGCCGTGAAGTTTTGCGGAGCTGATGCCATACCCGAGGTGAGGATCGAGCAACGAAGCTTTCCGGAACAAAGTCCGAAACTCGGAGGACGTTGCCAAGACGTGTGTTCGTGTCTGCGGTCATAAAGAGCGCCCATGATCTCCTTATCCAGACACACGGACTGCAGAGGAGCGACATATTCATTGTCCCGGTGTCCTGCCGAATACAAATCGATGCTTACTCAACAGCAGTGATGCCACGAGCCGTCCGCGGATCGCAAATGCCAATCAGACGCTGCTTGGGCGATGGGGTATAATGCAGGCGAGGCAGGCTGTTCAGGGTTGGGCGGTAACGGAGGGGCGACGTGAAGAGACCACCATGCGGCATTTCATCAGAGTGCTAACTGCTGAGGAAACCTATAGCTCACTCTGTAGCACTGCTAGCCCAATTCGAATTCGGCTATGAAGATTGTACCTGGAACCCATTCATCTCACGGTATTGTTACGCTCAGTGGAGACCTCCACCTCCTGCACTCCAACCGTCGACTTGCCCTCCTCCTCGGTCTCTTTCTCTCGCTGCTGCAGGGTCATCTCGGCCACGTGTGCCACACCGGCGTCGGGACCATCGAAGTACTTCGCAATCTCCTCCATGGGGGTGTAGCGTGTCTCCACGAAGTACAGGTAGATGATGACAACTTCAAAGGCGAGGAAGACACAGTAGAAGATGTAGTACTTCCATGCAAGGGCATCGAGGGCCGGCGAGTTGGCGTATTGATTGAAGAACTAGGTAAGCTGTTAGCACGAAGAAAGACTCGTTGGGTAGCATATGTCGTACCAGAGCAAGGGTGACGGTGAAGTTCAGCCACACGTAGCCCTTGGCGCGAAGACCGTAAGGCAGGATTTCCGTAGTGTAGGTCGACATCAAGCCGGACTTGAAGTTGTAGAAGAAGTCATAGACTAAGAGCAGTCAGCGATGGAGGTCGCGTAAGAGGTACGGGAGGTAAACTCACAAAAGATCATGGCGACAACACCGTTGCCCAACCCATCCATACCAGTGATAGCATATCGTGCGGAGATGATGGTGATGATGGTGAAGGCAACGAGCATGCCAACCGTCGAAATCATATAAATAGGCCGGCGACCAAATCGATCAACGTAAAGGGCAAATACAAAGTTGACCACAAGAGCGGCAGCCTTCATGCCACCGTTGAGACCTAGCTGCTCGCTGGGAGAGGTAATGCCGATACTGATGAGAACCTTGGACAAATAGTACGAGATGATGCCATTGCCGGACCACTGAGAGAAGAGACCAATTGCGGAGATGAGACCAATACGCTTGCGGTTGCCGGGGGTCTTGAGGAAATCGGTCCATCGCGAAGAGCGGTCCATTTGCTTGTCGAGCGCGAGGGCAGTTCGAATCTCGGTGTACTCGAGTTGAACGAACTCGTCATCCTTGTTGCCATCGGCGTGGTAGTAGGCGAGGACATCAAGCGCCTTCTCAGGCATGTCTTTGTCCACATACCAACGGGGAGACTCCGGGATCCAGTAGAGGAAGCAGAGGATGATGATAGTGCAAACGCACTGCAACAGCGATGGCAGGCGCCAAGCCCAGTTCGATGGGATTTTCAGGGTGCCGTAGGTCGTCCAGGCGGCAATGAAAGCGCCGGAGTGGTATGTACAGCCCATGTAAGTGGACAGAATAGCACGATCCTGTGGGTGCGACAGCTCGGCGATCAACAGCGGCGCAGAAGAGAGCGTAATGCACATGCCGAAACCGAGCAAGAAGCGGCCGCCGACGAACATGCCGAAACCAGAGGCAGCAGATTGCAGCGCCACACCGAGAATGAGGAAAAGGCTGCCGATCAGAATACCCATTTTGCGGCCGTATCGATCGACGATGAAGGGGCAGAAGGGGAGACCGATGAGAGAACCGAGAGACATGCAGGCATTGAAGAAGCCCAGGATAGAGCCTTTGGGGTAGTCGAAGTACTCTTGCCAGTAGGGAAGTGCTTGAAGACCGTTCATCATGGAACCGTCGAAGCCATTTGCCGTGTTGGTTAGGACGAGGATGACGATGTACTACGTTGGGGTCAGTAGGATAGTCGCTAGAACAGCCAGAGATCTGGGACTCACGAAGTATAATTTCCGAAGACGACCATTTCTCCACCACTTGACTCGGGGAAAGGTGCGGCCAGCAAAGAAGAAGTGGCCCTTTGGTGGCCTCTCAGGCACCAGACCGTTGCCCTTCGAGCTGGGGATGTCGAAGAGTCCCATGACGAGGGTATTGGCTAAGGAGAATGCCGACTGAGGGTTGCCCTGGCAGTCATTGAGGGACAAGCAGTGAGTAGATATAGTGGAAGTCGAGCTTCAAGCATGCTCGATATCAGCCGAAAATCCTCAAGTCTAGGACACCCAGCTCATATGTATGAGTAACGATTGGTGGTCGTTCACAGGCGGGACCAGTAGCGGGAGACGAGGACGCGATCTCGACCACATGGACCAGTGGCTCCATGCCGAGTCCAGGGATCTCAACCTGGACGATCTGGAGTACGAAGGTAGGCAAGGATGCTGCATGGGCCCCCGGAACCCCAGGTTTTCACTCCAACCCCGAAGTGGCAAAGACCTGGACTTGGCTGACTCTCTCCGCCGAATGATCAATCTCCCTGGAGAGGCCAAGAATTATCTATGCTTCGACGGGCGGTAGTCCGCTGTCGCTTGGTCGGATTGCCAAGCCATTGCTTGAATTTAGCCAGAATTCCACCACCGAAATCAAGCTGGCGGTGCCGCTGTTGCTCGATAAAAGAGTTCCTGTATTCAGCCGGGATGTCTGGGCCGGGTGCTGAGATACTCGAGTGAGACTGCATGCACTAGACCCTTCTGGCCGCTGTCGTCAAAATGTGGTAGATGGTGACCTCCGGCAAATATCCCCTGGCTCGAACGCACCCGTCCACCCTACGCGGCACGGACGTGGCTATCACAATCATGGAACGGGCAGGCTGAGCAAAAATGAGCCTGGAAGCCTTCAGTCGCTTTTTGGCGACAAAGCAGACCACAACCTACGCGGATCAGTTGAGCCCGCGTCCTGTTTGAGAATATTTCCAGTGGGCTTCCAAGCATTAGCACGTAAAATACGAGCCAAGAGGCTGCCATCGCATCAATGATGCTGAAATGTTCATTGACGCCTGATGATGCTGTGTAGTCTGGCCATACACCGGTGGGGTATCATATCGAAATGCTCACAAACGTCAAGGACCCTGCGTCCTCGTCTAAACGCCGCTCGTCTCCTCCCCTTCTTGATCTTGCTGCACGAGTTCCTCCCACCCTTTCGGGCCCGGACCCTCATACAGGCCAGGCCGCTTGCTAAGGACCGTGGCAATGCCCCTGTGGATCTCAATTTGAAACGGTTCAAAAGGGAACTTCTCGCCACACACGCTGAAATAGCCGCCGTCTTCGTTGTGAGACCCCTTCTTCGGCTTCGCGTTCGGGGCATGTTTGCCGTACTTGGGTATAACACGGAGCGCGCTGATTTTGCGCACATTGACCTGCGCCATGTCGAAGAAGTTGTTTTCTGGCACAGCCAGTAACATTTTGACCGACTTGAGCCGTCCAACATCACCATCGATCGTGACCAAATCGAGAAGACCATCTGAGGGAAGTGACGCGGGAAAGAATGGCGCATCGGCAGCCATGAAGCACATATTACCGCTGTACAGATTGCCCAACTTGTGGTAGTCTCGCATCGGCGTCCAGCCATTGCCTGTAGGTATAGGATCGTTGATCGTTCCATATCGCAGAGCGGGCAACCCTCGTTCTCGCGTGAGCTCCCAATCCAGGGGCAGCTTCTTTTGCGCTTCACGTGCAAAATGCTTTTTGATCTCGTCCTTGTTCGTGATCTCTTCTTTCATGGCGATTTCTGAAGGGTACAGCTGCTCGCCCAGCAGTCGTACCAGGAAGCCGTAAGTGAAGCGCGCCTCGCCCATCCAGCGAATGTTGTCGGTGCCCAAATCGCTTTCGGCAACAATACCTATCGTTTGGGAAAGGAAAGAAAGCGTGCGCTTATCACCTTGACTCACGCTCGCTAGATCGAATGGAGAGCGTATGCCCTTGACAACAGCCAGTGCCGCAATAGCTGGGTCCCCACTGCCGTTGAAATTCCAACTGAAAGCATTGCCACTTCCACATGGGAGTTGGGTTACAGCGATTTCCTGCAAAGCATCGGCTCGCGGATTCTTGGAAAGACCGTTAAAGCACTCGTGCGGCAGACCATCTCCAGAAGCGCAGGCAAGCACGTCATAGCTATCCACATCCAGCTTCGAGGCGATATCAACGGCATGGCCGGAGTAGGCTGTTCGCTCAGCGTCCACCTCACATTTCGCAGCGGCGAAAATCGGCTCGATACGTGATGTGTATAACTTTGCCGCCTTCCCAGTGCCACCGAACGGGTTGATCAGAAGTTTTATCCGCTTCATCTTCTTCGCAGCGCCATACGCGCGATCCATCAATCTCGTGACCCATTTGGTGGCTTCATCCGAGTCGGTTTCGAAAGGGTAATGAATGTAGGCAACATTGACGCTCTTTTTGCTGGGCTTCGCATAGTGGATGACAAGTTCGATCTTGGTCACTTCTGCCCATAGGATATTATAGTACGGGATTGAACGTGTATTGGCGGTGCCTAAACGGTAGACATGTCAGATGGTGCGAGCAGGAACAGCACGACCGCAACGAGACGTACGATCTGGAAGCAGTCCACAGCAGCGGGTCTGGGACGAGCCATAGAGCCCTTCATCAAGCAGAATCAACGAGTCCGTCCCGAGAGTGAGCGTCGCGTTGCGACTGACGGCGAGCGTGGCCGAAGCAACCAGATCTCGTTCTCCGCTCGAAGACTCGAGGGCGGCATGATCTGTGAATGGGTCTTCGGCGGCCATTGCAACGGCAATGAAGAAGGAAAATCAAGAACGACACGCGAAGCGAGAGTAGACATGGCCCGCGCCAGTAACGCTGGGGTGAGACCATGCGGTGCCGGCCTGGCCGGCCGTGTTTGTCGCCGTTGCAAGTTGCCAAATCGAGTGATTACTCCGCAGACCGGGGATCAGGTATTCGCATCAGCTGTACTCCGTATCTTGCTTATGCCTCGAATACTTCTGCAGCAGGTCTCAGTCTCGTGAACGGCTATCACGTAGCTCGCCTCGATTTACTCTACACGCAGTCTTTCTGCCTCCAGGAAAAGCCTGAAAGACGAGGTGATACTATACGAGTGAGTGCTCGTATCTAATGTAACCCGCCGTCGTATCTCGTGACGTGACTTTTGGTAATCTACCTCAATAAGTCCCGGCTTTCAGCCCCTTAAGCGACCCCAGACTCAATGCCAGACCCTGCGATCGAGATCGTATCCGCACAAAGCCCACGATACTACCGTCCGCTGTCTTCTCAATACTCAAGTTCGCCAATGCATCCTCCCCTGCAGGCGTGTTAGCAATGTCGGTCAGTCAGCACGTTCTTAGTACTTACCAAAAACACTCCGCGCGTAGAGATTGGCGCTCAAGAACTGACAGTCACCCTTCAATCCTGCATCTGGAGTAAGGCATGTCATGTTCGTGCTCTTCATCAGATGGTCAAGGAACTCGCGAAGCGTCTTCGATGACGATTTGCTGTTGATGTTGACCTTATTCTCCCATTCAAACTCGGTCCACATGGTTCGGAACGCCGACTCGGTGCAAGTTGCCGGTTGAATATAGTCCATGATATCCGCATGCACGTCGTTGAGAATTACCACGCGTGTATCGGTACCCGACGGGGAGTCGTAGATAACATTGCCGAATATGACGCCTGTGTCCGTGCTGGAGACTTTGATTGTAGACTGGACGTTCAAGAAGTCCTGCGGTCCAAGGTTGTGCGTCGTTGGTCGTTCCACCACCTTTAGGTCGCCCAGCGTCGCAAATTCTACCGACAGATTTTGTAGTGTGTCTTGTGTCTGGTTAACAAGGAGCACATCCAGGATGATGTCAAACTGATGCACTTTGACGTATGCTTCGGCGTAGACAGGATCTGAGAAGCCGGTCAGCTGAACTAGGCGACTGAGCTTGGACGACAAGTCTTCATAGGCGCTGTCTCCCCCTGTCGCTTTCTCCAGATCAATTTCAATCTCATCGGCCCCATCGCCGGCCCCCTTTTTGGTGAGTTGGCGTATTGAAAACACATCATCGACTTGCACAGCAGTCTTCGCCTTTTCCACCGCGGCCTTTTCAGCACGCTTTTTCTCCTCAACCTGGACCATGGCTCGGAAAGCTTGCCGTGTGTCATCGAGAAACGACGTCTCGAGTTCCTTGTGCTCAGAGAACTCGGCCAAGGACCGCACACAAGACATGATTCGGTCGATCGAATCTTCATCGATGGGAGCCTTGACAAACTGCGACTGGCCAACACGGATGATGGAGATCATGATCAACATGGCTTCTGCTCGCAACGCGTTCGTTCGTTCTTGCGACGATGAAATTTCAGAATGTCGCATCACAAGTTTGGTCAGGGTAGACGATAGTACAGACGCAAGGTAATAATCGCCATCCAGAATTAGCTGTCGCAAGGGTGGTTTCGAAGCAGCCTTGACAGCTTCTAGCCGAGCATTTGCGGTCGATTCGCTGGTCAAAGCACTCTCGGTAGCATATGTGCCGTCCGCAAGTACCTTGCGGCTAGAAGACGATGTTTTCGTGCCGTTGACCTGCTTCGTCTCGGGATCCTCGCCATCAACGTGTTCCTCGAGTAGGCGCTGCTCGCTGGCTAGAATCGGAATCTCGCCAATGCTAGATCGGATCCGTTTCCACGCCTCTCGGATGTCTTCTTCCGTGAGCGAGTACTCACCGACAACCCAGAGCGAACCACGGTAGACCTTGCCAGCTCGCACCTCGCCCAAAGTAGATACGAGCCTTTCCACAATCGAGGAACGAAGCTTAGGGAACTTCTCCACCACCTCTTTGACGAACGAGATGACGTCCACAGCGGCACTGTTGTTAAAGTCGACAATGAAGTCCATGAGCACGTCCACCACACTAGCAGCGATCTCAGAGAACTTGATCGCGCATTGGTGAATGGACTGGATGAGCAGTTGACGATATTCGCTGTTTTTCTCATACTGCTCGTTCACCGTCTTGCTCAACTCCTTCTTCAGGAGCATGACAATCTCCTCGACGTTTTTGCTTGAAACCATCTCAAGAGCAATACCAAGAGCCTTCTTTCGGACGTCAAGATCTGGACTGGAAAGCACGCGAAGAACCTCCATGGTCAGATCATCAAGGACACCCTCATTCCGTCTCCGGAGTTGATCAACGCGGTCAAGAACAATAAGCTTGACATTATTGTCCGCCTCTTTGATGCTAAGCTCGATAAGTTTGCCAGCTGCTGCCTTTACAGCAACCGGATTGCTCGTGAGAGATGTCAAGGAAGTGGCAGCCTCATAGGTGACGGTGCTGGCATTTGCTTCAAGGAGGTCGAAAATCAGTCTGAGGTAGCGGGCCTTGTTGGCCTGGTTTTGGACAGCATCTTTTCGAATGAATTCGAGTTCAACAAGCTGGAGTAGTTCATCGGCATTCGGTACGCCATCTAGAACACCGCTCAGATATTCCAGGGCCTTGTCATGACTGATGGACATCAAGGCAGCAAAAGCATTTCTCTTGCAGGTAGTGTCTGATTCGCCGGCAAGGAACGTCTGTAGCATGTCTGGCGCATCCGGAATGAGGTTTTGAGCATGTTGATAGACGGAAGCGAGAGCCCAAACAGCATTCTTTCGTACATAGGCATGGCGGTGATCCAGGCAGGTCTGAGCGGCGGAGAGTAGGGGTTCGATCAGTTCGGGCTCGCGCAATTTGGCAAGGAAGCGTAAAGTGTTGCCTCGCACGAATTCATTAGGATGTTGGAGGTCGTTGCGGATGCCGTTGCTACCCAGCGTTAGTCTTGAGCCTCCTTGGGACATTCTTGACCTACCAGACGAGGATCATCTCCTGCTTCAACTTGCCATTGGCGTCCAGCTTCTGGCAAATCTCATAGTAGAAGTATAGTAACTTCTTGAGCGGCTTGCTTTTCGAGGGCATCACAAATCGAATAATGTGCATCAGCAGGTTAGGCATGGGGTCGCCGTTGAGCATGATGGTGAGGATCTTCTTCATGGTGTCAACTTTGGTCTCATCTGTCCCTTTTTCCAGCTGCGTCTTCAGATCCTGTTGGCTCGGCTGGTCCGCTGCATTGTCCATATGGACCATACTGTAGGCACCGTCAAGGAAGGCCATGGCTGCAGCAGGAGCGCGGTCGCGCTGAGCACGGGAGGACGTCGGACTCGGTCAAGGAGGGATGAGGTGGCAGACGTGATCGGACTGTCGTGAACGCTCAGCGCATGTTCGGTTGGGCGGGCGAGACTAGCGGCAGGGGCTGTGTACCAGCGGACGATGTAATGAATGTGTTCTGAGAGAGATTGAGGGGATGTTAGGACGTTGTCGTCAAGGCCATGGTGGCATGTTGGCCGCGCTGCACTTTGTGGATGCAGCGGAGTCGCAACGCAGCCTTGGCATTGAGTGCGGCTGCGGGCGCAGTCTTCAACCCTCTTTTCTCGAAACGACCATGTAGTGTATCGCCAAATCCGAGTAGCAGTACGCGGTCGCAATCGGACTCGGACTCGCAAACATGGATGGGTCCCATGAACCCTTCTATATTCGCTACTAGTAAGCGACGCAGCCCTGCATGTCTGAACCGCGGTTTCTGATGAGTCTAGCTCTGGTCACTCAGGCCGCTTTGGTCACGAGTTTCTTGGTGAGTCTGCCACGATGAATGAACTTCAGGGCACGAAATAACAACGGCAGAGTTCGACTTTCGTGTTATTGGCGACGGACGGAGCGCGACCGCCCGTTATGCCAACAACTCCAACTACCGCAATGACTCGCTCATCCGCAAAGAAAGTGCGTCTTGTAGCCATGCTGCACACACATTCATCTGACATGAGTTGCAGTGTCCGTTTCGGCGCTCATGATCCAGGAGATCAAGCGTATCATAAAAGACAGCGAAATCATGAAAGAAGACGACTCTAAGTGGCCGCAAAAGAACAAGGATGGCAGGCAAGAACTCGAGATTCGTGTGGGCAGCGAGCATATTCAGTTCGAGGTGAGGATCGATAAGGCGCAGCATGACGGACACCACACCGCTGACTGTTCACTAGACTGCGAAGATTGGCTCACTTGTGGACGTGACTGACTCTGCAGATCCGGAGGGGCTGAGGGTCTTCTACTACCTGGTGCAAGATCTGAAGGCGCTCGTTTTCTCCCTCATTTCCCTTCACTTCAAGGTGAGAGTAACATTTGTTCGCGTTGACCGTATCTAACCCAGACTCCAGATCAAGCCTATCTGAGTAGGCTCCGAGAGCCATGCAGGAACTCCTTCTAGCGTATATTGCGTATGCACCGAAATGTATGTGCCGCCGAAAACCCTTACAAATGGCCTAAGCCGTGTATCCGTACTATCGTCCACAACAATGGGCCAGTCTATGTCTCTAGGATGAACAGAACGGACCAGAGGGCTTCATGGCTGAGCCTCAACCGCGGGTACCATATTTCTCAGGCAGTGGATGATGGACTCCGACAGTCGGGGACACGCCCCCGCAGTTGACGCCACGGGCGGGAGCCACCAGCGCTGGGGCTCGCCGGACTGGTCAGGCTAGAGCGGCCTAACAATCGCTCGAGTTGCCGATTGGGTTCAAGCTCGTGGCTTCGAGTCTTCGAGTGCTCGAGTCCTCGTGCACTCCACCTCAACAACGTGATCATCTTCGCCTTGCATCTTCTTCGCATCTATCCTTTCTGCCGTGCGCATTGAGCTCGACTTCACTTACGGCTCGACACTCGCCCAAACCCTTCCTCTGCTATCCGGGCACCTATACTGCAGCCAATCCTCCCACATGATATTGCCGAGTCTTCCCATTCAATGCCCACGCATGCGATCAATGCCTCGTCTGATGCCGACCCCACTGATATAACCCCATCTGCCGTCGCGTGCCCTCAGACTGCCACCCCAACCACAAGTCAAGATGTCGCACCTATACTAGATTGCGAGAGAACGTCTCCTGCAATGTCTCCCCCGGCTAGCGATAATACGGCTGCGGGCATGTCTTTTGTTCAAGAACAGAGCTTATACATGCCTGCTACGCCCCCGCGGGTCGTGGCTGAAGATGAGGAGAAGGACAAGCCAGACACTCAGTCCCCGTCAGAAGACTGCGCGGTCAAAGCTCAGGATTTGTCCGATGTGCGGTTAGCAGACAATTCCGCCAATGCGCCCGAATCCTCGCCGGCGCAACGGACACAGACTCCGGTTAATAACCAGTTGCGGACGCCCTCGCCCACCGTTCCCTCCAGTAGCCCCAAGTCGACCGGGTCGAGTGCCTTGCCTTCAGTTGATCACGAGTTGAGTCGCACCTCGGAGGCGCAGGCCTGGGACTTCACTCATACGCCGCTCTCCACCACAATACCGTCTTCACTCTTTAGGCCTTTCGCCAAATATACTGGCACTCAGCAGTCAGACCGTCAGATGTATAACGTCTGCGTTACTCTCCTCACCATCGATATCGCTCAAGCCACCCTCTCCGGCTACCTCGAGATCTGTGGACTGACGCCAGACCACCCAGAACTCACCACCTTTTTCACCGGCGAGATCATCGGCGGACCTAAGCAGAAGCATTCCTTCCGCACCAAGGACCCAAGCTGGGGAGCTTCCAACAAGACCGACATGACCCACTGGGCCCGTTTCCCGGCATGGAGGCCTCTGAGTGCGTACGCCAAAAACGACATCGAGTTCGTTCATCCTGTCGATGGTGGAGATTGGTGGCAACAAGAACATATCTTCATGCGCTGGAAGGAGCACTTTCTCGTCCCCGACTATAAGCTACGGAGTATCCAAGGAGCTAGCTTCGAGGGGTTTTACTACATTTGCTTGAATCAGATGGAGGGGAAAATCAGTGGCATCTACTTCCATTCCAAAAGCGAGAAGTGAGCACCCATACCACCCTTTGCACCTCTATCAAGTAAGTTGACTAACTTCCTTTCAGGTATCAGCAACTAGAGCTGAAGCATGAAGGCTCATTTCCTGCCTGGAGCAGAGGTGTCCGTCCAGCGGTGGAGTTCAGGTAATGTTTAAATGGTTGGGAAGGACGGACGCCTGTATATGAACAGGAGCCAAGCGACTGATTAAATGGTGGATATGACGCATTTCTTGCAGCCTCTTTACTGCCGGCCACACGGGGAGCGTTCACCCTGCAGCCCCTGAATGGATAGCAAGCCTGTGAGTATTTGAGGTCGCTCTACAGGACATATTCTATACCCCATCCTCTTCAATCTGTTTCGCCTATCTGATCCTTCTGAGTGATTTGTAGTGGAATTATAAAATGGACAATTGTTCTGCATCATCTGGTCCTGTTGACAACTAACGTAAAGCATTCTAGCTGTGCGCCTAAGTCGTTGCTTGACTCTTCAGGCTAACAATAGGGCCTGAGGATGTTGACCGAGAGGTTTGCGAACGGGGGAGAGGTGATGTCGACGTCAGTGCTCGAAAATGCTGCTGGAACGGGTATTTGGACGTTGACACTGTCGGAGGAAGTAGCTGAGGGGAAGATAGAGTCGTGGCCGGTGGTGCTAGGGATGAGAGTGCGGCAAGCTGCCTTGTGCTCATACCAATCCGCTGCTTGACAGCCTCTGTCACAGTACTTTGCTATCTTGCATCTGGCACATTGCTGTAAGGGACGATGAATCTCTTCTTCGGTCTTGAAGCAGGCTGAACACCTGCTGAAGGTGGATGGAGGAGATGGCATGTTGATATTAGGCTTAGGGAGGAACGGACAGATGTTGATATGGGCGAATATATGTAGCTCATGCCTTTCAAAGAGCGCGTGGTTTGCAAAAACGATGCAAGCCCTTCATATACAGAGGTCAACGAGAACTGCACTTGAGGATATCGAAGTCGGCTCACCCTGATAGCAGGCTCTCTTTGTACCGCAGGCAGTGAAGGGAGCTAGTTGGTGCTGCCGTGCTCTATGTCCTTGAGCCGGCTGGCATCGACGCCGTCAGAATATACCCCGTTATTCTGTGTGCCATCATCTCGCCACTCTAGTCGCGGGGACCTTTTCTAGAGATCTGCTCGCCCAACAGCCGCATTTGCATGGGCATGCGTGGTCGACCACAATGCTCGACCATGTTAGTCTCTGCAAGGGTTGACCGGGAGTCCGTCTCATTCACACGCCTGTGGGTCATCACGACGGGCGCATTTCAGATTTGCTCACTTTACCTCTAGCAGCTTGCGCATTGTCCAAGAGCTAATCCGGGGGTCAGAAACGGCTTTGGTGTGTACAGCACATCGCTCAAGTGTCACTGTTAGCCGCGGGGAAGAGATGGACCGCCCTAGGGGGCAGCGTCTGACACGGATCGGTCAGAGATAGATCCTGTTATGGATTTACTGCTATGCGCTCTCCTGATGGATGTGCTTCAGGTGGTGTGATGATCGAGCGTTGCTCGAGCACATGCTCAGACGTCGCTGTCCATGTCGCCCGCTTGAAGCATTGGCGGGGAAGGCTTAAGCTTGGCCCCACCCGATCACCAATCTGGGCCCGCCTGGGCGCCGGGACGCGATACCCCGGTAGATGCAGTAGTTCAAGTCGTTTGCTGCAGTGCCATTTCTTCTCGCTCGCTTCGCCTGCATCGACGACGAAACCAACAAGACTGCGCCTTGCCACTTGGGTCGCCTCCCCTCACTTGGATCAGTTGACTCTGCATTCTTTCTTTCACAGATAACGCGGTCTTTGCTCTCCCTCTTCACCAACGCATCCGCACCTTTGCTTCACTGCTGCGGATCTGACTTGCAAGGCTGGCGATCGGCGTTGACCTCATAGATCGAGAATCCCTGTCTAAGCGATCAGTCTGAAACTGCGACCTTCGCCCTAAGGACCATGATATAGCGAGATGGTAAGTGGATGCCTTGCTATCATCAACTTGCCGGTGACCAACTCTTACAGGGTTGCTGTGGCTCCCGCCCCGTCGATGTCGACGACTCTCCAGCTGCCGCACCTGCTCAAGCCGGACGACCTACTCAGCAGCATGCCATCACCTCTGAAACAGCAATAAACCCCACCTCGAGCACTGCGCGACGGCGCACAAGCAACCTCGAGCCCCAGATCTCACGTCAGTCCGAAGAAACCTCTCGCTCAAGAAGTCATGTCTCACTAGCAGAGCACTACAATCTACCCCTCCAGAAGCCGAAGCCGTGGGCGTCCAAGTCGCGCAGATGGACCCCATCGAGTCTGCGCCGTGAGCGCTACGAATTCTTCGAGACACGGGTCACTGGTCACCGCGAGATATGGGGTGCACTACGGCAGGTCGCTGAAAGCGTACGTGAGAATGACCTTGCTACCGCCCAAGGTATCCTAGATGCTATCAATGTCACACTGCCAACCGGCCGGCTGGAAGAAGGCGGCTACGATGAAGCAGGCAATCTATACCGCGTTCCCGCTGCTGTGCTGAGTGACCCGACCAATATTGCGCCCGACAACGAAGACGATGTCGAGACAGACACTATGGTCGGCGCTACCGATCTTCAAGAATCGGCCAAGGTCATTGAGGAGGATGACGATCTTGAGAAAGACACCATGCCGGCGTCGCCCACGAAAGAGGAGAAAGGCAAAGCACCTCTCGAGAAGGATGCAATGAGAGTCAAATGTCGCCTGTCCGACCGTGGTGGTCCAGATGTCGTCGTTCCGCTCGGAAAGACGCAGAACGTCGGAGCCCTTGCGCGACTTGTCAAGGATGAGAGTGACGTAGGTGATTCTCTACAACGATTTGGGTACAGCTAACGTCAGTAGGTCCCCGAACACGCTCGCATCCGAGTTGCATACCTAGGTCGCATCCTCGACGAACGACGCACGCTCCAGGACCAAGGTTGGAAGGAAGGTCAAGTCGTGAACGTTCTCATTTCTGGTGTATTCAGCAGCTAATCAGCGAGTCTCTCAAGGAGGGCTGGATCCTCCAAAAGTTGCCGGCAGTACTGCCTAATTTGATTGAGCCTTACTAGACTGTGCGGATCTCAGTGCTGCGACAAGGTAACGAATCTTCCAAGGTATCATGGTTTCTCTTTCTTTTTCACCGTCACAGCGGACGACTGTTTATATCGGCGAACCCAGAGATCGGCAACGCTGTATATAGTTAATATTAATCTCCTCTATTACGTTGTCGCTCGTTTCAGACTGTCGAATGTTTGGGCTGCCGGGAAGTGTGTGATTCATCATGAGCCATGATCGGAGGATACCGTATCTGTATAGAACTGGCCATCTGCTGCATCCGCAGCCCTCCTTGAACCGCGAAAGATCAATGGTAGCTTGTATTAGAGCAATACCAGCCCGCAGGTTCTGCCCCGTGACGCCTCAATGCTGGTTGCCTTGTCGCCAAGCCCCTAAGAGGATCAGTACTCGTGGCGCACCTTGATCGCCTACTCACGCATAGCGACTTGGACATTCTCGTACAGCACGTCTGGACTACCATATTGTCACTAAATGGTCCTCCCACTTACCGACCACACCCGAGCTTCAGTTTGCCGTGATTAGCGACATTTGCGAACGTCTGTTCCTCGAGATAAATTTGCAACTCTCCCACCCGTCTTCTCGAGACCCCGCGCACTCTGTCTCAAGTGCTGCCGACACGCGCCTTCAATCACGATTCCCATTGTACGCCTCTTGTATACACACTCATGATGTTCTCTGCTTCTCCCGAAACCCGACCTTCGCCCTCACCGATATCCAACCTCATCACCACCCAAACCTCCCACCTTCCACACCCCACCAGCTCCCTCCTCGCCCTGCCCCTCGAGATTCTCCACAACCTTCAGCATCAACACTCTTGGACCAGCCTGACGGTACACTGCATCACCGCAACCGGCACGCTCCACGACTTCCCCTCAACCACCGGCCCCTCACCTTTACCAACCGACTCCGCCACCACCACCACCATCCTCCTCTCTGGCCTTCCACCCCGCCACGCCTACATCCATCCCGACCTGCAGACCCTCCTCCTCAAGCACTCGCTCAACGCCCACAGCGATCTCGCCGTGCAGCGCGAGTGGGTCCTCCCGCTGGGCCTCGGCGCGAAGCCAAGCCTCGCATGGCTGAGTCGCGTGTTTGACGCGCTACCTTTGAGGGACGAGGTGCGTTTACGTGGGGATGGAGATGGGACTGGGGATGGGGACGTGAAGGGGCCCGAGGAAGAAGAGGTGGGGAAGCGGCGGTGGCTGATGCAGAGACAGAGGGAATTGAACGAGACTGCCGCCGTCGAAAGGAGCGGCGGCGGGAAGGAGGAGGTTGCAAGCCGAGACGACGGATCTATGGGCGAGATTGAGCGGCAGCAAGATCAAGATGCTGGTGTTGAGCGAGGAGAGGGCAACGGAGAAGACGTCGCGGCGCCGCAGCCGTCGGGGTCAATCGCGGCAAAGGAGGATTCTGGCGAGCAGAGGTGGCAAGATGGAAAGCGTCTGCTGCTGGCGATGAAGGGTCACGATGGCATGGGCGGCGATGGTACGGTGGCGTACTACGTGTGCTTGGATGGTGAGGTGAAGCCTAGACAGCATGGTTGAGCGCAGAGGAGCTACGGAATGAACGATCTGCTTGGACCTTTGCCGCTGGTGGACTTATTGCGAATATTCAATTTCTAGGGGGCCCTGAGGAAGGAGAGGGGCGGGATGCGTTGTTTGGCGTAGTGTAGCGCGCCCGCTATCATTCAATGATGCTACAGCATTCGTGTCAATCGATGCCTTGCTCGCTATATACCCAACCACTAATCTAATTACCACAGAGGTCGCGCACATAGGACGACGATCCGGCTCCGCAGTCCAGGACTAATTAAGACCGTGTAAACCACATATGGCCTTTGACCTTTTCAGTCCGCTTCGACCTTCTCTCATGCTTGCTCTCCTTTTTTGCCAACTTCTCCTCCTCCTTCTGCTTCCGGTCCTGGAACTCTTCGACAGACTCCAAAACATCGTACTCTTGTATTGGGATGCCTTCTGCCTTCTTGACCTTCTTGCCCTCAATGAAGACACAAATGCCTGCGAAAATACCTGTGAGACAGCCCAATGTTATGAACAGCCCCACGGCCCAGCTAGGTCTGTTGAAGCGGTTGTAGCCCCACATGAATCCGGCAAGGAAGCATTGCAGAATAGTATTCCACATATACATCCAAATGACAAAATCTAGCGTCCAGCTTCGCGAAGGTTGAGCGCGGAGACCAGTGAGTGGTGGGTCGGGCATGGCTGTGGCGGGAAGTGGAATGGCCGGATTAGCCTCCAACTCAGCAATCTCCACCTCGCTGTACGGCGGTGGACTGTCATCCGTGCGCGGATGTTTCTTGGTGTATACGGGAGGCGGGGCGACGTAGTCAGGCAGCTTCTCTGAGCCGGGTAGGCGATACCAACCCCGGTATAGGCCGGCCAGGATGCGATGGGCGGAGTAATCTTTCCACACGCGCCAGCGCATTAGGTAGTAGAAGTCGCGGAAACGCCAGGGAATCAGGCCAAACCCGGTGACGCAGAAAAGGGCGTTGAGGACCTGCGAGTCGATCTCAATCCAGATCTGGCGGGCGGAATGGTGCTTATCGGAGCAGCTGGGATTGCACATGGCTGGTGCAGCGTTGAGAAGTAGGAAGAAGATCATGGCGCCCCAGGCAACAACGTTGAGGCCGTAGATGGTGATGAGGAAGCCGAAGGGCGTAAGTACAAAGCGGCCGAAAGCTTTGCTGCCGATCGTAGTTGACTGCCACCAGGTGTGTTTGGCGGGGAACCGGTAGCCGTTGGGATAGGTCCCGGTCTCGTCTGGTCCGGGGACATTGTCAGAGCCGGAAGCTGATTGTTCAGAGGAGTCTACCATGTCGGGCTTCTCGGATATTTGACTAGTAATGTGATCAGTAACGGGCCATATTGAGTTTATTGCCAACTTACTTGGACGAAGGCAACTGAGCCACGGTGGCATGACGCTCCTGCTGGCTCTTGCTGGGCATGTCACCAACGTTGGCACCTGCTCTCTGAGTGTTCTCCTCTTGCACAGGCTCCTTGAAGGCGAAACTCCCTCGTCGAGGAAAGTACATTCTCGCTTCACCATGGTCTTCGCTCGCTCTTTCTGTGATAGTCGGCGTGATAGGTGACGGGGGAACGTTGCTGCTGGCTCTCGTTCGTGTGCTTGCTGAACTGGTTCGGGCCAGTCTTCGACGGTGTATCTCGTGAGGGTTGGTCCCACGTCCCTCTAGTTGGCCTTCGTGACTCCAGCCATCGGCAGCGAAAGAGCCGTTCCTAATTTCTGCAAGTGACGGAACTTTCGAAGTCACCTCGCCCGTCGCTTGCCACATTCCCAGAGGAGGGTTGGAGTTGAGGAAGGACTGGCGGATGGAAGAGGTACGGCGTCGCGATGGCGAGTTGGTCGTCGTCGAGGCTGCGCCATAAGTGGCGTTGCTGCCGGTATCTGGCCGTTGGGACGTCTCAAGACCATTCTGTGGAATCTGCTGGTCTGTCGGTACTGATTCAATGGGCGACAATGCAGGGAACGGTTCGACTTTGGGTTCGGTAGGGTTCGCCATATTGGGCTCGTGTTTAAAGTCCAGAGAGGCGGCCTGAAGTTGGCAATTGGTTGCGGATGTCGCTAGCAACGCATCTCGAGGGTCTACTAAAGTACTTGAGGTTATATGATCGTCTTCGGTGCGCCAGGTACCGTGAGCTGAAATGCAAAGTAGTATTCACAAGAACAGAACGGCGCAGGCAGAGACTAAAGTTGGTTGAAGATGCTTTCGCTTTCGCAAGCTGGAGGAGGCTTGGGGCTTGGGATCTGCTGCGCTACCAGCCGCAGGCCACACACGGCGCCAATCATCACAAGGCCCGGTCCAGCTTGGACAAAGCGCATCTCGCAACTCAAAGCATCCTGTCTGCATATCTCTCAGCTGCTTGTCGGTCTAGGCCTGAATGAGTACCTGCATCGTGAGCAATCTACTACCTCAGAGCAGACATTCGGAGAGACAAGTGTTAGTCAGTGCCTCCACCGGCTGACTGAGCTCAATGAATTGTGGATGTAAACCCTTGATTGACTAGTCAGCAACTACTCCAGATGGTTTAGGGGCATGCAGATTAGGCAGCGGGCGGCTTATTTACACTATTAGATGACAGTCTTCATTAACACGGGGTAAAATAAGGCACTCTGGGCATGAAGCATAGCAATTTTTGCGATAAATGGAGGATGTATGGTGGCTTTGGGGGTATCATATGCATTCGTACGTTATGCTATCGTCTCAGTAATACAGTCCAGGCCTTGTCCACCTGTGCCTTTATTAATCCACGCAGACATTGCCTTTAGTTTAACGATGAGTCTGGTTGCCGCCATAGGTCTTGGAACCATCCATGTCGCTGTCAACTCGAGGGTCAAGTTTGTTCAGCATATCGGAGTTGTGAGGACCAGCAGTCTTGTTGGTATTACCACTGCCGGGTGTAGCGCTAACACCAGTACCGTGAGTGCTGTGACCAACGCCAGTGGATCCAACACCAGTAGAACCGACGCCACCGTGAGTGCCATGGGTGCCAGTTGATCCAATGCCGCCATGTGTACCGGTGGTGCCATGGGTACCATGGGTACCAGCGGTTGAGCTGCCATAGCCAGTGTTGCTGGCAGCGCCCATGTTGCGAGATCCATCGCGGTCAGAGTCGACTCGAGGATCAGCCGAATTCATGAGGTTGGAGCTGTGAGGTCCGGCATTAGTGGAACGGGGGTCGTTGCCGTAACCAGCACCGGTGGTACCAGTAGTGCTTGAGCCGTAGCCCGCACCTGTGGTGCCAGTATGACCTGCACCATAGCCTGCACCAGTAGTGCCGGTGTGACCTGCGCCATAGCCAGCGCCCGTGGTGCCACTGTGGGTAGCAGCTCCCATGTTGCGAGATCCATCACGATCAGAGTCGACACGAGGGTCGGCCGAGTTCATGAGATTTGAGCTATGAGGTCCGGCATTGGTGGAACGGGGGTCGTTGCCGTAACCAGCACCGGTGGTACCAGTAGTGCTTGAGCCGTAACCCGCACCAGTTGTGCCAGTGTGACCTGCACCGTATCCTGCACCGGTAGTACCGGTGTGGCCAACACCAGCTCCGCTGCGGATGTTGTCACGGTCAGAGTCGACACGAGGATCAGCCGCATTCATGGCGTTGCTACCATGAGGCCCAGCGTTGGTGGAGCGAGGATTGTCAGTGGCAGCATTGTCTTTCTTGTCGGAGTGGAGAACCTCCTTTGCCTTGTTGACGAGTCCAGACATGTTGGTTTGTGTGGTGAATTGTTATGAAGATGTACAGAGTTGTTCAGGAGTTTGTGGTGTAATGATGAGAATCGTATTTCGTGCATCGAAGAACTGATATAAGTACTTTCCGTATATGGCGCAGATTTCGCGTTTGCCTTCCGTCATTCCTGGTCAGGTAGCACATTGCATCATAGCAGCAAACGAAACTTGGTATCACTCTCACGCGAGAGCCTATCTTAGACGCTGGATAGACGCATGAGCTCCCGGTTTGCTTCAGGAACATTCGCCGTCTGTCGATCGTGCCCTACGGTGCCGGATTCTCGATCGGATTGTGGCTGGTGAGCGCCTGATTGGTGCAGGGAAAGAATTCCGATCGCTGTGCCACACCATGAGTTGCCGCTAGTCCCGGCCAGCGCTGCGTCATTGGCGAGTGGTGGCTTGGGAGACAGGGATGTTGACGCAGCGCTACACGGCTAACTGGTTCCTGCTGTTCCACCCCTCGTCATACCCACGTTCCCTGACCTCAAAGGTTCTCAGGAACGGATACGTTGCATGGGTTGAGGACATCAGGCTGCGTCAGCTTCCGCTGGAATCAAGGCAGACGAGAAGCTAGGGGCTGCCACAAAGGATGTTGGGTCGGAAATCGCGGGTCATGGAGCCTACGCCCCTCATGTTGTCTCGCCATTGACCACATACTTGACCACTGAGCGCTTCAGAACGTCAACCTCTCGTAGAGTTTTGGAAAAGACTTCCCGATACTGTTCGAGACTTTCCTGAACCACCTCCGTTTTGGTCTTCCCACCATCGCAAATGGCCTTCATCTTGAGCTCCATCTCTTTCCGGAGAAAGGGCTTGCTGACACTGACGTCGAGGCCCACATTGTCGTAACCCTCTACCAAGGCAACGCCCAAAGTGGTTGGTATGAATTCCCGGAGTTGCGTCCGCCCATTACCCCGTGTCCGTGTTTGGACGTACATGCGCTCCTGGATTTTGGCAATGTGTTCAGCCATGGTTGCGTCAGTGCCAATGCCGTTGGCATCCATCAGGCCAATGAGTTCAGGTTCGGTGAGGTAGCCGGGTGGAGTGGTCTTGCCTTCAGTCATGTTCGCTTGGCTCGGTTCAAAGGTCTCATTCAGCGCGAAATTTGGTAGCTGCTGGCTGCTTTCCCACTTGTCGTAGGGGTACACGTCCAAGTAATTGCGTTCCAGGACCAGCAAACCCTTGGTGTGGAAATACTCGCTTGCCCACTTGATCTCGATATCCGTGGCTTCGCCTTTGGCGTCATCTGAGCAGCAAGCGAGGAACCGCCGAACAACAAAGTCGTGCACCTTCCTCTCATTGGCATTTAGCGCTGTGCCAGCTACGTAGTTGACAGGGTGTATGGGAGGATGAGCCTGATCGTTGTGTCGCCCCGACCTTGGCGTCCGGAACGCGCCGTCAAGGAGCCGCTGCGCATACTGGCCCCAGTTGGTGTCTCCAGTTTGCTTGCGGATGACGCCGTGTAGGTCAAAGTCTTGTGAGAATTGATCAGTTTCTGTTCGTGGATAAGAGATCCAGCCTTGCTGATACAACTTTTCTGCTATCTTCATAATTTCCTGGCCACTCATCCTCAAGAAGCGGCTGCCCTGCATCTGAAGCTCGACGGTGGTTAGCGGCAGCGGCCGCCATTTGGATGTGGGCTTCTTCTGGACCTTGCTCACTTGAGCTCTCTTGGCGTCCAGACATGTTTCAAACAGTATGGTAACACCGGCTCGATCGAAGAGGTGCACACGGCCCCAATGGAAGTTGACTTGCTTGTCCTCTTTTTTGTGCATGACCTTGATGGTCCAGAAGGTCTCGGGCTTGAACTTGCGCACGCGATTGTACCTCTCAACGACGAAACCAAGAGTGGGAAATTGACATGATCCGTAGCTGATGATTTGATCGGCTAGTTTGTCCGTAACATTCTGAAGCTGCAGCGTCTGAAAGCGCGTAAAGGCGGCGCCTATCCGGAGGTCAAGTTCGATGCGGGCGGCGACGGCTTTTGCCTGACGATCGTCCAAGTCGATAGGATTGTGCGCTGCTTGAATGACGTGAGCGCGTTCTGTATTGCTGAACTTGGCACGCTTGATCACAATGCTTGGATTTCCTTTCCTTGCTTCATTGGCCACCTCGGTGCCGATGTGTTCTCCCTCCCGATCGCAGTCAGTCCAGATGAAGAGCGTGCGGGCGTATCGAGCTTGATTTTGGATATTCCTGGCAATCGCCTGTTTATCAGTATCGACTTCGGTATGTGTGGCAGCTTCGAACAGAGCACTTGGCTGGCAAGATTTCCAGCCCTTGAACTGAGGATCAAACTCGAGGCTGGTCAGATGGCCCAGGACGCTTGTCATGACAACAGAACAGTTGCCCCATTGACGAAAGTTGAACGTGAATTCGTAGTTGCGAACATACCGATTACCGGCAATGCTGTGGTTGCTGAGCTGGCCACCAGCTAGATGTTGAGCAACCGCCTTAGCGATGGCAGGCTTCTCTGCTACGCAGAGTATCTTTGGTGGCATCTTTCATCCTGGCTTGAGGAGGTAAGATGGGCTATAAGGGCGAGCAAGTATCATGCTGTGCCGCGATGCTGGATGAGGTCGCACATCGAAGTGGCTGCCTTGCAGAGATAATCCCAAAAGACAAAAAGCGCGACGCGTTAAAGCAGCATGGCGACGCGAAAGGCAGCTCGCGTACAATTGCCTTCTTAGTTGTTCGGTGACTGCACCGTCATGATTCGAGCCGCCATCTCGACAGACGTCACGACAAGGTCAATACGACTTTATGGACCGAACATTTGGTCGCTGGTTTCCGACTTTTACCCTGTAGCCTGTTACATTGATCATTATTGACAGCTACGTAGTGGTCCAGAGCCTACCCCAGACTATTGAAGTTTGCCCTTCGCGCCACTTCTGGTACACCACGATGGCTCTTCCCGTTGTGAAGAACGTGCTCGAATGCGCCGACTATTCTAGCACACTCGAACCCTACCTCTACGAGCTGAGGCCGCTGCCAGGTGTTGTTGTTGAGGCCCTGACCAATGTTGCCGCTCTCGAGCAGGTCTACCTCGACACCAATCCGGCCATTACCTCGATCGCCTTCTCGCTAGCCCTCGCACCTATCTTCCTCGTCGTGTCCGAAGTAAACAAAAACTATTCGCAAGTCGATCGGATGTGGTCAATCTTGCCCACCATTTACAACGTTCACTATGCATTCTACGCACATCTAGCTGGGCTGGACACCACAAGAGTTGGCGCAGTTGCCCTGGCTAGCACTATCTGGAGCACGCGGCTGACCTACAACTACTTCCGAAGGGGAGGATATTCGGTTGGAAGTGAAGATTACCGCTGGGCTCTTGTGAAGGAGCATATTGGACCAGCCGCCATGTTCGTGTTGAATGTTATTTTCATCTCGCTGGCTCAGTCTTTGCTGCTTTGCGCAATCACCACACCAACCTACGTCATGCTACTGTCTGAACGATTGGTAGATGCAGGCGCGGTATCAGGCTGGACTTTCGGCGACACCTGCGCGTTTGCCACCATGGTTGGCCTGGTCACGGTGACAGCAGTCGGAGATCAGCAGCAATGGAACTTCCAGAATGCGAAATCGGAGTATCGCCAGACAGGCAGGGTCACGGGAGGTTTTCATCGAGATGAGCTTGAGCGCGGCTTTCGAACTACCGGCTTGTTCGCCTATGCGAGAAAACCGAACTATGCGACCGAGCAAGCTCACTGGGGCATGCTATATGTGTGGTCTTGCATCACTAGCGGGACATGGTACAACTGGACCGGTATTGGGTTCGTAGGGTATCTATTCTTGTTCCAAGCCAGCACTTGGCTCACTGAGCTCTTGACCGAGCGAAAGTACCCAGACTACAAGGTGTACAGAAGACAAGTGGGCAAGTTTCTTCCAACAAGTCTTGCGCCGCCCAAGTTTGGGAAGTCAACAGCAAGGATCACAGATGGCTCGCCAAATGGATCAGCCAAGAAAGATGTCGATGCAGTGCATGCGAGGGAGAGATACAATCTGCGATAGCATAATGTAGCGCGGTCACTACGGGGCCTTGATGTGAGGCTATAGCGCGTCGCAAATATATTTGCATGAGCCTCCGACTCGGTCTAATCTTCCACCGAGGTGACGAAAGCACACCCCCAACTGTACTCAGCACACGTCTTGAAAGGCTAGCATGCACGTGTCGAAACCAGCATGTCGCGTAAACGTCGCAATACATCATCACCAGAGTTGTCTCCATCACCACATCGTAAGCGTGTTGTCTCGCCATCACTGTACGACGATGCGGAAGATTCGGACGAGCCACAGGCCAGTAAGGAGAAGCCACAAGTCAATGCGGTCTTTGGACAAACTGGCGCATTTCCAGGATTAGGGGACGAAGATGATGGAGAGATGTTCTACGGTCCTGCGAATGATGGCATCGGGTACCTGCGCATGGTGCGGTAAGTCAGACGTTGATTGATGATTTGATGCCTGCGCTGAGACCCTATGAACAGACACTAATGCCCAAGTGCAGATCCGAAGCTCGAGGAGTCCCTATCCTGCTGACCGCTCCCCGCAATGACCGAGGTGGATTGGATGCGAATGGGGAAGAGCATGTGAACGGAGGGTACTGGGAAGATGGCGCATACACAGCAGCAGCCTCCACCCCTCCACCGAACAGTGCAACCAAGCTCTCACCAGCGCAGAGCAGATACTATGACTCCCTCCTTGCGCAGTTTCGCCTTTTGCAAGCTACGTTGAGATGCACTCCCCCGCTGGAAGCCGTGCAGACACTCAGCGCAGAAGTGCCAATATCGTTTCCAGCAGACTCAAAAAAGGCATGGGCACAATGGAAGCAGCATGTACAGTCGGCAGACCCAAGCATGGTGCAGATGGCGTGCATGGACGTGGACAGTGGCTGGAAGCTGCTCAAACTGCTGAGAAAGATGATCGCTGGGGTCACGCTGCAGCCTCGGAGGGTTGGGACGTGGGCATGGGCTGTACTAGGACGGTGTCCGGACTCGGGTCAAATGGTCAGCGAGGAGGTCAGCGAGGTGAGGGCACTCGGCAAAGCAGCAGTTGCGCTATTGCATGCAGAAGACTTAGACGCAGACGACGAAGAAGAGCCACAAGCAGACGAAGCCGAGGGGCCTCTCCCCGGTGATGCACAGTATCATGAGAAGACGACGATTGAATCAGCGAGTAGAGTGGCGTTAGACATGATCATCACCATTGTGGGCGAAGTTTACGGACAACGAGATCTATTAGAGAGGAGGGAGATGTGGCAGCGCTCAGAAGCTTGAGATCTGTCATTGAAGGCGAAGCTGGTCGGCCTCGATAGCGAATCTGCCTGCGCACATGACAACAGTCTAACGATGCGGGCGTTTGCCAGTGCTCTCAGCTGTTAGTTGTCTCGGAAACCTGATCTGGAATCTGCGAAACTGCGAAACTGCACAACTGCAACTACCCGTCCGCGCCTTCCTTGCCCTCGCTTCGCATTCAATTCGCAACTTCACAACTCGCACATATTCGTGCCCATTCAGCTGACATCTCTTCAATCTCACCTGCAACACTCTATTCCTTGTGGCCACTGGAGCACAACGATATCTCACCAACCGGAGTTCCCTGAACATGTCTGACAACGATAACAACCCCAACATCTCGTGGGGTCGCTGCTTCTTCGACAACAGCGGCGATGAAGCCCCTTCACGATATATCCCTTGCGGCAACGCCAACTTCGGACATGTCGCGTGCTGCGAGAGCCAGGACATGTGCCTGTCATCTAATGCTTGCTATAACGGTCAATTCGGAGTGACCTACCTCTCAGGCTGCACCGACCAAGCCTACGATGATCAGACATGTCCGGACAAGGGAGAGTATTTTGGTGAGCATACATACCGCAACCTATACCTGCAAAGATTGACAAGCAGTAGATGATGCCTGGGTGGGGCTCTCTTACTGCAACGGCACCTCAAACGAATGGGTTGTCTGCGAAGCCAACCGAGGTACCAGTACGGTCACCAAAGCCGAACCTTGCTGGTGTCCATTGACTTCGCGTACGGTCGCGTTCAGCGATGCATCCCGACTCGCTGATGTGGTCAGTCTCGGCACTGCAACCGGAGAGGCAATTACCTGGAAAGGAAATCATGAGCCTAGTTCACTGGTGCCCTCTACAGTTACCGAGACCGACAGCATATCGTTCAGTCATATTACCCCTTCAAGCACCACTACAAGTCCAATCTATACACGAGCGACTGCTGCCAGCTCGACATCATCATCAGCTGTGACCTCCATCGCACCTCCTTCGAGCTTCGACAATGTCACCAATCCTGAGGCTGACGGACTGAGCGCTGGGGTAAAAGCGGGCATAGGCGTAGGGGCAGGACTCGGCGGCATTGCGCTCCTGGGCATATTCTTTGCGCTCTGTCGTCGGTATGAAAGCAGAAGGAACCAAAACCCAGGCGGCGACAAACCCCAGCCAGCCAGTGCACAGCCATTACCGCTTTACAGCAACCATGCCCAAGGTTATAACGACGATCTGCAGAGTCCAGCTTGGTCGGGTCACAAGTCGGAGCTCGATGCGGTCGGCACAGCCTCCCCTTCACCAAGGAATGCCGATTTTAGCAACGTCAAACCCGAAGTCGAAGGTAGCCCAGCTGTTGGCAGTCCCGGGCGACCCTTGACGAATGGTGGGTTCGAGATGCCACGCCAGAAAGGTCCTGTGTACGAGATGCCAGGTTGATGTCACGGCTCCCCGCACCGGCTATTGCTCCGCGTCTGGATGTCGAACAGATCCGACGACAAATTCACATGAGCTTCCACGTCGTTTTCTCATGCTCTTGTCCCGGCTTGTTCGTATCTCACTATCTCGACACATACCGACTCACTACACCGCTGGCAGAATGTCGACGTACAGAGGTTCTACTCCCAACAACATTGATCCCCGCATTGTGGATTTCTACGCAAACTTCTACCGCATCAGCGATGACCCATCCGAGCAAGCCCATGTCGAATATGCGGACTCGCTCACCAAAGATGGAACTCTGGTAATGGGCACAAAGAAAGGCACAGGGTACGACAACATCCTCGAGCTCCGCAAAGGCCTGTGGAGTGGACCTATCAAGACGCGCAAACACCACCTGAAGCAGATCTTTCCCTTTGGCGATGACTCCAAGAATGTGATGTTGCATGGCTTTGTGGATTATGGGCTCAAGAACGGCAAGGAGGTGCAAGTCGAGTGGGCTGGCAGGGCTGTGCTCGTAGAGGAAGAAGGCAAGCTAAAGATGAAGGAGTATCAAGTCTACCTCGACTCGGCGCCGGTGCTCAACGCTGTCAAAGAATAGAGTCAAAATTAAGATGTACTTTCCACAAGGAGAAGCGATGGACGTTCATTGACGTGAGCGCGTCACCGCCCTCAAGCTGTCTTGCTGTCGTGTGCCGAGGCATATGCGTATCTAGCTATCCAAACTACGGCTCGCTGTTAGCTGTCGCGTTTACCGCCCATTGTCTGAGGAGTGGTATGCCCCTGCAATCATGAGTGCGACGAGTCAATAGTGACCAGAAGGGGAATAACAGCCAAGTTCCTGACCTTTGAAAGGGGATGGCGGGTCAGACTCCGAGGCTGCTCTGCTCGGCCCTAGCTTCAGGCCTCCGGCTCTACCTATATCTCAGCCGCTCTCGACACCTGCCGTCCGGATCATCCTAGTAATTAGGGCTACCGACTCAGTCCACTTTTTGAGCTCCATGCATGTAGAAGCGAAGAATCGAAAGCGTCGCAAAGCACCCAAAGTTCGGACTGGCTGTCTAGCATGTAAGCAAGCGCGCATCAAGTGCGACGAGGCCAAGCCGGATTGTCTACGATGCAAGAACTCAGGGAGAGATTGCAAATATGACCCGGTGAGAATCTGGACATTCGAGCCTTCAGCAGTATCGGCATCCAAAGTGATCATTCCATCCGCGAAACCCTCGCCCGTCCGACCTCTTCAGTGGTTTCCGCCTGAAGAGCGTCAGGCTTTGCAGCATTACGAGCGGCGCACTGGACCATGGATTGCCAACTACGCGCCACCGGAAATGCGGAAGCTGTGGGAAGTCACTATACCACGCTGCGCTCAAGCTCTCCCTGCAACGCGGCACGTTATGGTTGCTGTTGCGCTTCTTGACGAGCCGACGCCTCATCCCGACACGTCCAAGCTCTTAGCCAGATCGCAACGAGTGCTCTATCACTACAATCGCGCCATACGGCACCTTACCGGCTCAGTAGCCCCGTCGAAGCTCGACATGACCTTGACGTCTGTGCTCTCATGGCTGCTAGAAGTTCTCGGCTTCAACTCAGGCACGGCCAAGATGCACATCGCCGCCGCTGACAAGCTCGCCCATGAGTACCGTGACCCCCGTCTCTGCCGCTTGGCCAGTTCCAAGACGGAGACAGATGACATTATGCAGATCGACATCCCTGCTCTCATCGATTTCTGCCAGAGCTATCTCACGACAACGCCTGCAGCCGGCAACCGGAGCACACCAGACGAGCTCAACACAGAGACTTCAGCCAATCCAGTTCTGGCAGCGTTGCTGCTGAGGCAAGGACTGTGCCCGATTTCGAAAGCGGAAGAATTCAAGGAGGCCTGGGAGACGTATTTCACCACCTTGCAACCTTTGATGCCTGGAGGAATGACTGTGGCAGAGGCTGATGACTTTATTGCGTACTGGAAGGTTGCAGTACTGCGATTTCGGTACATCGCCACGGTCCCGTCCATAATCGTGCTATTGGGCTATTTGATTGGCGCGCTGGCGCGGTGTTTACTCCCTTCAAGAAACAGCAACGAGCCTTATTCGATAAATTGCGGTGCTGTCGACTTCATTCTAGCAAGAGCCACCGACATGACAGTCATGCAGATGGAGCCAGATCATAGTCGGATGCTGGAAGAGATGCTGTGCTTGACGGCCACCACGGTTATGAGGTTTGTCCCCAACCATGAGCAGTGGCTGAAAGCCCGCGCGGTCTGGGATGCATGCGAGCGGCAGATTGACTTCTACGCGTTGAGCAAAAGGGATGGCTATCTCGATGACCTTGAAAATAGCAACAACGATGCTTCGGTAGCCTAACAGGCCACAAGTCCAACATGAAGTCCTCTTGTGACTGGGAAACCCCGCAAACGTTTACCCGCGCACGATTCCACTGGCGTGCCTCTGGGCAAGCAAATGATACAGTGGCTACCGGGAGGGACTGATTTGGCACGACTTCGCCGGGATCTGGCTGTCATTGTGTACCTCGAACATTGGCAGCGGACCAAGCACTCTGTAGCTGGGCCGTGTTTCGGCCGGTGCTGCCCCGAGGGCGACTGCCGCCCACCAGTGCGGGGTGCCCCCAAGGTGTAGTAAGGCGGGCAGAAGGCCACCAGGCCATCTCCAACCTCGGGCATCAAGATCCCCCTCCAGGAACCCGCACCAACATCCCTAGGACAAGCCCTCGCGGCCTTGGTACGGCTCGACTACCGGTTGAGGTCGCATGATCATTGGAGAAAGGGCAGGAAGCGCTGCTGCACCATTCTGTCAGCAGTGAATCAGAAGCTGCCTTTTAGTAACGGGGCGTCCCCTTCACTGTTGACCATTCCGACGTCTCCAAAATCACCATCGTCAAATATGCCCTGCGAAGAACCCTGTAACGGCTGCAAAAAGGATTGCAAAGATCGCAATGTCGATATCGAGGATTGGGAAACCGAATTAACAACCCTGCGAGCACGTACCAAGGAGCTGGAGACCAAGATCGCCAATCTCACGACCGATGCATCCTCCTCCAAATCCAAGCTGCGTTCTGCACAATGGTTCGACAGACCCGACGACCGTGGAATGGCTGCCCTATATATGGACCGTTACCTCAACTATGGCCTGACTCGCGAGGAACTGATGTCGGGGAAGCCAATCATTGGTATTGCACAGTCCGGTTCCGACATTGCTCCGTGTAATAGGTACCATCTGACTTTGGCGAAGCGTGTGCGTGAGGGAATCCGGACTGCTGGTGGCATTGCATTCGAATTTCCCACCCATCCTATCCAGGAAAGCGGCCGGCGGCCGACTGCAACACTTGATCGCAACCTGAGCTATCTCACATTGGTCGAATTGCTGTACGCATATCCTTTTGATGGCGTTGTCCTGCTCACGGGATGTGACAAGACAACACCAGCCTGCTTGATGGCGGCGGCCACCGTGAACATTCCCGCCATTTGTCTCAACGTTGGGCCTATGCTAAACGGCTGGCTTGACCGCAGCAACGAACGCTCGGGCAGCGGCACCATTCTGTGGAAGGCCCGCGAACTTCACGCAGCGGGCGAAATTGACAATGAGACAATGATCGATATGGTGACCTCAGGAACTCCAAGCCACGGGCACTGCAACACGATGGGTACCGCAAGCACGATGAATGCACTCGCAGAAGCCCTTGGTATGACTCTTCCCGGTGCTGCAGCTATTCCCGCACCGTACAAGGAGCGCATGCAATGTGCGTATCGCACAGGTGTACAAATTATGGAAATGGTAGAGAACGATCGCAAGCCCTCGGACATTATGACAAGGCAGGCTTTTGAGAACGCCATCGTGGCCAACACTGCAATTGGCGGCAGCACTAATGCACCCATCCATCTGAATGCTGTGGCAAAACACGTGGGTGTGCCACTGAATCTTGATGACTGGGATAGCCTTGGCTTCAACATTCCATTGATCCTCAATATGCAACCGGCTGGTGAGATGCTAAGCGAGGACTACTATAGGGCTGGTGGCCTGCCAGCTATCATGGCTGAACTCGTTGAAGCTGGTATGCTACCCCACCCCAATGCCTTGACAGCCAACGGCAACACTATGGGGGAAAATGTAAAGGGCAAGCAAACCTGGGATCGTGTCACCATCCGTCCTATCTCTGATCCCATGAAGAAGGACGCTGGCTTCCTCCATCTCAAAGGCACACTCTTCGACTGTGCCATTATGAAAACATCCGTCATCAGCCCTGAATTCCGCAAAATCTTCCTCTCTGATCCCAACGATCCCAACGCGTTTGAATGCAAGCTGGCCGTTTTCGACGGCCCTGAAGACTACAACAAGCGACTTGAGAGCGCCCCAATCGACGCCAAGACGATCCTGGTGATGAGAGGCGTCGGACCACTGGGCTATCCCGGAGCAGCAGAAGTTGTGAACATGCACGCGCCAGCGCATCTACTGAAGCAGGGTGTACGCGAGCTTCCTTGCATCGGCGATGGGCGGCAGTCCGGTACTTCAGGCACACCATCCATCCTGAACGCGACCCCGGAAGCTGCGGATGGCGGAAACTTAGCGCTCATCCAAGATGGTGATAAGCTGAGAGTGGACCTCAACAGACGGAGAGTTGATATCCTGGTGTCGGAGGACGAATTGAATCAGCGGAGGAAGGAGTTGGACGAGAGAGGCGGCTACAAGGGGCCAGAAAGCCATACGCCGTGGCAGGACATCTTCCGTCGAGAGACTGGTGGACTCAGCGATGGCATGGTTCTTAAGCGGGCTGTGGCGTTCCAACGGGTGGCCCAGACTGCTGTGCTCAGAGACAATCACTAAGTTGGCTATTTTGCTGGGGATAATGGCCATTGGGTACTTCGTGCGACCCACGTGCGGAATCCAACCATGACTTCTTGCAAAACTTCAGACGTTATGAGCACACTTGTCCCTCCCTGGCGGCACTCTGATGCACCCTCTGACCTGAGGCCAGATCGTCTTTGTCTCCAACGTTCGAGATCCGAGGTGAGAGGCATCCCGACTTTTGGATTCACGCCTTGATACTCTACAGTCGGCATCTTCTAAGCCGGAGACTGTCACAGATCCTGAAGTTGCTTGCAGATGTGGCACGCACCTAGACTATTCCTCAACGGCAGTCGCCACACGCTTGAAGGCATCCACCGTTTCTCCATGCTTCACCGTTCCATCGTGTAGTGCTGGTAACACGTGATGTCCCATACCGTTGTCAGCAACATAGCCTACAAACTTGTCCTTGACCCTGCTACTCAGCATTTCAAATTCATCGACCTCCCCGCTGCTTTGGAGGAATTCCATCACTGCGCAGTCCGCATCGGCCTCGGCATCGTAGTAGAAGACACCTGGCACAGAGACATCGCTGTCCCAGATTTGCCAACTGCGGAATGTTGGCGGCAGTTCCGGAGCCTTCACTGGGTTGTGCCCGAGTGCTTCGACCTGCGGTTTGCTGGCGGCTTCGCGGTCCCTAATGTCCTCTGGTTTCTCCCTCATGTTGTTAATACCTGAGATGTGCGAAAGCTGCTGCTTGATCCACGCCTTGGGAATGCGCTGCTTCTCGTAAAGGCGTATCGCCTCATCCAGCGATAGCACCCCGCGCACAACCTCGGATATCACTCGACCCAAGAACGCTCCGTCCTCCATCGCTGTCGCCGCTCCCTGCGCCATGTGGTTCTGCATGCAGTGAGCAGCGTCGCCTAACAGCACCAAGTTCCGCTTCGAATTCGACCATGTCTCCAGGCGTGGCATGGTCAGGAGTGGCCATCGTTGAGTGTAATCTACCAAGGAGATCATCTTCTGCAGCACCGGATGGTAGTCCTTGTAGTAGCTACGAAACTCGTCGGTGCTGACTGCTTCAGGTTTCGTAACATAATCATCTTTGCAGAAGGCGGTGACGATATTGCATTCGCGTCCCCCGGAGATAGGGTATGTGAGTATATATCCACGTGGGCCGGTCCAGACATCGCCGCCGGCGCTAAGTAGTCCGCGCGCCTCAGGTGCGGCAGCGTAGATTGCAGAATAGGAGAGCACCCCACGGTAGGCAGCTACTTTGGAGGTTGCTTTCGCTGTCACGCCGGGGAACAAGTGCGCTCGTGTGACAGATCGGATACCGTCCGCCCCAAGAGCAAGATCAAAGGTATAGCTTGCACCATTCTCGGTGGAGACGGCGACGCTCGGTCCCGAGTCGTGGATTTGCGAGACACGTGCGTTGACGATCAATTTGCACCCGTGGCGTTTGGCGGACTCAGCCAGGCCGGCGTGCAGGTGGTCGCGGCGGACTACCCACCATGGGAATCCGGTGTTTCTGACCACGGCTGTGGTGTCGGAGTGCTCAATGAGTGTGGCATCGGGGCCCCAGCGGGTATTGCACTCTTTGAAAGGCACGAGGTCATCGCCAATAATCTTGTCCACGCCCCATCGGATCAGGAAGCGGGATACATTGGGCAGCACCTACAGAGTTGAGCGGTTGATCTGTCATGGTTGACTGTTGTGAAACTCACCTGAATGCCGGCACCGATCTCTCCAAGCTCGGTCGCGGCCTCGAGAATGGTCACGTCTGCGCCTGCTCGTGCAATTGCAATAGCGGCAGTTAGGCCGCCGATGCCGGCTCCGATGATACCTACGCGTAGTCGTGAGTTCGCCATGATGGTTCCTGATCGTATTGAGCGAGTGAGAGTAACCCTTCTTATACCTTGAACCAGGCTACAAAGCCGGAAGATTGACGGACCCCTTTGTGATCTAATGCAACATCTTCGGATCCTGGAACTCCGTGTTCCTCGTCGGTCGCTGCTATGATCGACTCATACTCGCTTGCGCTTGTGTGACGTTTTAGAGGCACGTCAAGTGTCACTGCCCCACGGGTCCATAACCGCGGTACAGACGAAAGCTGTGCAGATCCATGATGCATTACGGTCTTGGAGTGGAACGGAGGATTAGCCTTGCCTCTGGCCGCGAGGACCTAAAGATAGCATGCGGCGCGTCCTCGTTTGAGCAATCCTGTTGATCCACTTCTTCCAAAAGCAGTAGTGTTTTTGCGTCCAGCATTTGGATCTCGTTGGTACGTAAGTTAACTACGTTCTGAGCTTTGCTTGGGAGCGAGGCTCCGTTCACGAATGGATCACACGTACATTCAGGCCAACCATTCCGGTCGGCCCATTGATAGAGTGGGAGGCGCAGGCGGAACTGGCGTCAATCAGACGCTGGGGCCACTTGGCGAGCTGCAATCCCGGTCGTTGAAAGATGATCCACTTCGGCGCACACAGCGCTTGATTGGGCCTGGAGTCGGTCAATAGTGTATGTAGCATTTATGTGGCTGACGATCCGACTCTAGGAGTACAACATGGTCCAAATGGGCATTATAGTAGACAGATTGGGCTACTCAACTTCACCGCCTGACTTAGTGGTTCGGGCTTTCGCGCAGCTGGGTTCCACCGACGGGCCGAGCGGCTGGTTGAGGCTGTCTCGCCCGTACCTGAGGCCGAACGATTCGCGGTGAGGCTCCACCAGACTTGCGGTGCACGACAGCAGAACAAGCAGAATTGGCTGTCAAGGGCACTCTATTCGTATGATACAGTAATCTCTACTGCCGGCACTCACGCCCCAATAATATACACAGTTCGCTCGTACGCAGAGTGAATTGATTTGGTGTTGCTATCTTTCGGGAGAGTACGTCATCCCTAGGTGCACATCAGTCTTCACTGACCACTGGCGGCGTACGCGTCTGCTGGAACCAGTAGTCCTTGTATTTGCCATTCTGTTGCAACAGAAAACTGTGAGTTCCTCGTTCGATGATCTTGCCTTGGTTAAGCATGAGGATCATATCGGCATCCACTATGGTCGACAGACGATGCGCGATGACAATTGTTGTCCTTCCTGTGGTCAGAGAGCGTAAAGCATCTTGGATCTTCGATTCAGTCTCGGTGTCTAAAGCAGAGGTAGCTTCGTCGAGAAGCACAATCTGTGGGTTTCTCAACATGACTCTCGCGATGGCAATGCGCTGCAACTCGCCCCCTGAAAGCTTGACGCCTCGCTCTCCAGCCTTCGTGTCATATCCTCTCGGGAAGCTCATGATACGGTCGTGTATTGCAGCAGCCCGACAGGCACAGTGGACTTCTTCGACTGTGGCGTTGAGTCTGCCATAGCGAACATTCTCGAAGATCGAGGCATTGAACAGAACCGCATTCTGAGGCACGAAACCGAAAGCCTCACGTAAGGATTGTACAGTGACGTCCCTGAGATCCACACCATCGACTTTGATCGAGCCTGATGCAACATCGTAAAAGCGCATGAGCAGCTTTAGCACTGTGGACTTTCCACTGCCTGTCTCGCCAACGATAGCGATTGTCTGTCCCGGTTTGGCGCGGAAAGATACATTCTTCAGCGTGATTTGCTCGGCGTTGTATCCAAAATCCACATCTGAGAATTCGATCTCCCCGGATAGGAAAGAAGGCAGTGTACGTGGACCGTCTTTGATATCGGATGATTGCTGGAACAGTTCCAACAAGCGCTCTGCGTCAATGAGATCGGATGATAGTTGACGGAAATTGTAGCTTAAATGCCATAACGGCCTCGTAACGCTGTCCCAGTACACCTCGATAGCCACAAAGATGCCGACCGGGCTCAAACCAAGTGCGATCCTGTATGCTGACAGAAGGGCAGTGGCCAGCCTGCCGGCAATTTCAATAAATTGCTGCGCAGCGAAAATGTAGATGGCGACATCATTGTCCCACTGACTCGATGAGATCGCCGTGCTGGCTGTGTCAAAGAGACGTTCGTGCTCGTGGCGATGACGATTGAAGAACGATACCGTGGACCAGTTGCTAATCGTTTCGTAGAGTAATTGACTCTGTGATCTCGAGTCCGCTGCATAAGTTCTTCGTGCTTTGGCCATGACGATAGAAATGGTGTAGGTAACGAAGCTGAATGCTACACCGACATATAGCACGATTACAGCCCCATAGATGCCCAGAATGGCATTCACATACCAAAGCGCGACAACAACATCGATCAGGAAGGGAGCCGTCTCCAAGGCCAACATACGTAGCAACGAACTCATGGAGCCTGCTTGTTCCACTGCCTTGATCAACTCGCCCGAGGCTTTGCTATCGTGAAAGCTCATGGGCAGACCCATGACGTGGTCAAAGGCTGCGACACTGAGACGCAAGCGTGTCCGGTTCGACACGCGAATCTCGAGGAACTCGCTGAGCGCAGGAAGCCCACAAGCCTCTTGCAGCAGCAGTTCGTAGAGGATCCAGAGCAAAATTTCCTGTACTGGCACCGGACCGCCAGCACTGACGACGAGATAGAGCTTGTCTACGACGATGCCGAATTGTCGTGGGTAGAGAACATTCAGAGCCCGCTCTGCGAGTATGTTGAGGCCTATAACACAGAAGTATGCCTGGAGTTTCCGTTCGGCCGATGGCCAAAGGTACGGCAAGAAGACTTTGAATTGAGCGAGGTATCCAAACAAACCACCTTTTTGCTTCACTGCGTCCTTGTGTGCGGCCGAAAAGATAGGTCGCTCACATTCGGACTCGTCGTCGTCATCAGATTCGCCATCGTCGTCCTTGGGCATTGACTGGTATTTCATGCTGCTGTTCGAACTGCTAGAGCTTCGTGAAACAAGGAGACGCTCTGTTTCGTCCTGGGTGGGTGGAATGGATCCTCGAGAATGTGCAACACATGTCCCACAGAGGCCAAGGAACAACAGCAGCCTGGCGCTCTCTAAAGCTGGATGTATGTGGAAGCCGGTGTGCGACTCGTAGCTCCGCAAATGAACTATAATGCTAGGCACCTCCAGGACAGCATTAACGATAGCTGCAGCGCCGTACGCTCTCCACGAAGGATGGGACTGGACGAGAAGCAGTAGCGTCAATGTCAGCCAGAGGAGTGTTCCAAGCAGCGACTGGGCACCGCCTGTATTCTCCGTCGTGTGCTTATGGTGGCTTGCAGCAGTGTGAATATGGAGTCCGCTCTGGACCAGGAAGGTCACTGTTATACTGCTTGTAAGACAGATGATGGTATATAAAAGTCCCTGGGATCTGCCGCCTGACTTTGCAGCTTCTGTCGGTGAAGTTGAAATGTACGCTGCAGTGAAAGCCGTGGCAGCACAGCAGGGCACGGTAAGACCGTAGGAGTCGGAGAAAAGAACCATTGTGTAGTCAGAGTCCAAAGTGACGGTTAGGGTCGGTGATTGTCGCAGTGCGATGCGCGCAGTGCGATGGCTGTCTCGGATCGTAATAAAGCAGGAAAAAGGACCCTTTCACGGCCTGCTTCGCGAGCGTCAACTCGAGTCGTTGGACCTTCAAACGTGTGGCATTGAAGGGGAGTGGCCTTATATGTCGATGTGTTCTGCGCGCGGCGACTGGCGATTTTCCACAACAAAGTCTAGATCATTAATGACTCGAACGACAACCAATCGCATAAACCACAACCTCCAGAGTAGCTCCAACACAGGTAAAGGGCAGCCGTGCCATGCTATGGCGAAGAAGCAAATGACCCTCAATGAAGGATGATGAGCCTGATTTGGATGAGGTGCAAGATTATGATGCACAGTTGCGACGCCTACCGATGACTCAAACCTTCATATGTCGAACGGAGAAGGGTTCAGCTGTGCGCCTGGGCCCAGAGCGGCGAACATAGCAACCCAATGCCTGCTCATTACAGCAGGAACACAACGAAGCGGCTAGCCTACAACAAGCAGATGACTCACGAAGAAGAGGGATCGCGGCGCAAGTTGTCTCCAGATATCTCATACGTCTGCCAGTCCAAAGGCAGCGGAAATTTCGGTCGCCAGCTTAGGCCTTGCTCGGATCGGTTCCGCCCCTTCTGAAAGCCACAGGCGCCACGCGTGGGAAGACAATTCTCCATTTAGCGACATCGCCACACTGAAAAGAGTCAAGCTCTCACGAGGTTGAGAATCGGCTTCGAAGGACTGTCTACATGCTCAACGCATGCTTAGTATACCAATGCCCGTGCGACGATGCTCGACGTCTGTAATGCAGATGAGCGGCTCGGGGCGCGGCGCGGAGGCAGCTTATCGCCACTGCCGTAGTGATGCCGAGAGCCAAGCGCCAACCCCCTCGGTAGCTGCTCGGGCTCTTCTTGCTTCGATATGACTGTGAGAACTTGCATCTCTTGTCTGGAAGGGTCTGCAAAAGCTGTTCAGCAGCCAGCTCCAAGAATGGCCGACGAGCTTCCACCTTGGGACCCAGAATGGGCTGCTGTAAGATTGTATGTGCGGAATGCGTACCTCCTAGCTGACGTCACAGTTCGAGGCCGCCATGGGAGGTCGGCCGAAGCTATCTTATGAGAGCGCACAGGTCAGCAGAGAGCAGTTTAGTCACTTATTCGCGGCACTGGCAGCTGCCTCGCCACCAAAACCCGACTCTATCAAGGAAGAAGTTGTCCAGATCACTCCCGAGCGGTACGTAAAGATCTACACCCCCGCGCAGGCGTCTGGACAACTCCCTGTTGGACTCTACGTCCATTCCGGCGGCTGGTACGCTGGTGCAGTCGAATTCGAAGATGGACTGTGCCGCGACATTGTTCAGAGGTCGAACATCATTCTCTTCTCACCAGAGTACGGCTTAGCTCCTGAGAACCCTTTCCCTGACGGTCTGAACGATGTCTGCAAAGCATATGAGTGGATGCACGAAAACGCTTCGAAGTATGGCGGCGATCCGACTCGGAAAGCCGTCATGGGTGGGTCCGCAGGAGCCAATCTGTCGGCTTGTGTTGCGGTCAAATACGCCTCTGATCATGCCTTGCGGCCTTCGGCTATCTTACTGGGCGCCATGGCATCGTGTGACCCACGAGCGCTTCCCGATGAGTATCGACGTCGTTTGACACCTGAGAAGTACAAGGATCTTCCAATGATTTCAACGCAGGATATGATCACAGCTCGAGGTAAGATGCTCATCGCATCGGGGCATATATGCTGACGCGTGTAGAATGGCTCAATGCTCCCCCAGATGACCCTCTACACTCGTGCCTTCTACACCCGAGTGTCAAGCTCCTGCCTCAGACCTACATTGCGGCTTGCACAAACGATCCTACTTATCAGGAAACCATGTTCTTCTACGAAGAGTGCAAGAAGCACGGCGTTGTCGTAGAAGTCAAGGAATTTGTCGGTTGGCCGCACTTCTTTTGGGGAATTCCTACTTTAGCCGCCACCGAAGTCTTTCAGAGTGTCTGGTGTCAGAAGCTCAATGAGATGCTCGAGACGGCGGCTGCCTCATAGATCTATGGTAGAACTTATCATTCAGTACTAGTGCTTCACATACCACCGGTGACCTCGATCACTGCACCATTGACCCAACGACTCTTCTCGCTAAATAGAAAAGTGACGACGTCCGCAACCTCGTCTGGCTTTCCAAGACGGCCCATGGAGATCCTCTGCTCAATACGCCTCACTGCATCTTCTCCTTCCATCACCGAAGCATTGGTTGGCGTATCAATGGGTCCCGGCGCGATTACGTTGACCCTAATTCCCTTAGGTCCCAACTCCAGCGCCATGGACTTTGAGAATCCAATCACTCCGAATTTGGTAGCATTGTAAATTGCGAAACCAGCCGAGGCTCGGATGCCAGCAGTGGACGAGACGTTGACGATAACTCCACCAGTCTGAAGGTGAGGAATGCACGCTCTGGTCATGTTGTACGGGCCGCGGAGGTTGGTGCTGACGAGCTTGTCCCAATATTCGTCTGTGGTTTCGGCGAGCGGACTTTCAGTAGGGTTAACGCCTGCGCAGTTGAAGAGACCGTCGATTCGACCGAAGTGACCAACGATACGAGCAACAATCTCATTACACTGCTGGCTTGAGCCTACATCCAAGGCATAGAATTGATGTTCACCTCCCAACTCGCTACAGCCAGTCTTGACTGCGGCCTCGTTGATATCGCACAAGGCGATCGTCGCACCCTCAGCTGCGAGTGCTTTATAACTGGCGTGACTGCTGCGATCAGTGGTGCGAACTCCAGTACGATCGTGCACACACTAACCCAATCCCACTGCCCGCGCCCGTCACAACAATGATTTTACCACTCAACTCAGTCATGTTTGTCATTTCTCAAAGAGGTAAAACATGGTCGTATGAAAGTCATGAGGGGAAATACTCCATGACGTGGGTCTTAACGGAAAAGTGCGATTCAGCGGCGGCAACCGAACGATAACAAAGTCTTGGACTTTTGTTCAACATCTAAACACATTCGGGACCTCAAATTGACTCGACAACTAACCGAAACTGATGTGAGCGAACACAATTGGAAAGACTGTGTTGGACTATCGCCAAGAGAGTCTTAATTGTTCGTTCGCGATGTGTGTCTTCCGCGAGCCACCGCTATATTTGAGACTATGATTGGGCTAATTGCCCTTTACACGACCGTCAGGCTGACCATCCTTGCGGATGCCTCCATGCTCGGTAGGCTTGTAGTCATCACCATCGCTGCCTCCAGACGCTTGCCCTCCGGCAGTCCCGCCAGTCTGTCCACCCTTCTTACCGGCCTCGACGGGATCAACCTTGCCGCCGGCGAACTCGCCGCCAACGCGCTGGTCAGGCTGACCGTCCTTGCGGAGGCCGTCGTGCTCTGTGTCCATACTTAGTATTGATTGCAGAAGGTCGACCATGGGAGGCGTCCTGGGAAAAGATTATACCTGTAGGTTTGTAGTCGGACATGATGTGTAGACTTTAGACCGGTGGAAATGAATTTGGTTCGTGAGTGGGATTGCTGGGCTTTGATGAGGAAAGACGTGGATAGGACGGGCTCAAGCACAGTATTTATGCTTCTGCAGGCTTCTCTGAGACTGCAACAACGACATCATCATTCGGTCGGAATTCCCACTGTAAAGTGCAGCTGAGACCGTGATGGGAGCTGTAATGATTCATGATAGCAGTTAATCAGCCGTGAAGGGAGGTACACAATCGTCACCAGCGAAGTCGTCACGCCAGTAAGCGTGAGGGTGGTGCCGGGAACGGAACGTGCTTCCAACCCCAGATCGCTGGCACATTCCCCTGCACGCGAGGAGATCGCTCGCGGGTAGATCGAATGTGGGGAAAAGAATCTCGTTCCTGCAGGCGGTTGTACTCGGATCTTCAGGCGGCCGCGGCACAAGGCAACCATGCTCAGGGGTCGCGCTAACCGTGTTTAGATCATCTTGAGCGTCATCATAATTGGTTGACATGGTGAGGCCCGTCATGATTTTCCTGTCGGCTCGGACTGGGCTTCCGTCTAATTGTCCCTGTTGCATTACTGCGACGCAGTGATGCGATCCGTGGTTGCTCGTACGCCCAGAACTCGTTGGCGAGGGGAACCCGGCCATGTTTCCATGTATACAGTCACGGGCAAGCATTGGTTGACATTTGCCTCGATGTGCACATCTGAAGGGCATGGTTGTAAGTACATTTGCTCTTGCTGACTTTGACCACACCTTCCGAGCACGTAACGTACGTCAGTCTGTCCATTGGAGGCTAGAGACTTCACCAAACCACTCCTTCAGCCACAAATCCCTCCTTGATGATCACCGAGAAGGAAGACTACGCGCTCTCCCGTGTCATTCTGAATTCTACAGGTTGGAAGAGGCAATAGTGATGCCCCGGCGAATGTCCAAACCAGACCGCGGAGCAATCTGCATCAGTGACGAGACGCAGCCCGTATCGCCGCTTCGGCCATCGGTGCCCATGCCTCGCCAACGAACTCCTCAGCAAGATGCAGGCATTGATAAGCTCACTACGATTGCGTGTGGGCGTGAGGCTATCAGAACAGTTCAACAAATGAGTAGACTGGCGGGCACGAATGCATGTACAAGAATCGGGTGATGCCAATATACATCGTTACTAGATTTTGAGAGATTGTTTTGGTTCCTGGGCTACGCTACAGACCTGATGTCGCTTAAGGTCTGGGCCAAATATGATGATTCAGCTCAACGCAACCGGAATGCAAAGAACCGGACGTAGACTCCACCAGCCTAAGAGGGAGACAGCCAGCAGAGCTTTCCGGCTGGCGTAAAGGATTCCCAGATGCCGTACCTCGGCCCTTTCATAATGCATCACGCAAGATGACCTCACTAGCCTTCTCGCTGAGCATGAAGATGGCGATGACTGGGAATGAGCCTGGCACATTCGGAAACGCAGATGCATCGACCACGCGTAAGCCTTCGGTCCCTCTGACCCGGAAATCTGCGTCGAGCACAGCATTGGGGTCATCATCCGGCCCAATGGCGCAAGTGCTCGCTGGGTGGTGCGCAAATGCTTGTGACTTGATGTAGTCCTTGAGTGCATCGCCTGTCAGATTTTCGCCGGGGTAAACCTCCTCGATGGGGGTATATGGGGTCGGAACAGCTTTGAAACTTTCTCGCATCCTCTCCACACCTTCAGCCAGCGCCTGCAGGTCTTCGTCTGCACCGTCAGTGAAGAATCTGAACTGAATGTCTGGCACATCTCTTGGGTCTGATGTCAATAGAGTAACAGATCCCGCTCGATTGCGGGGATTTGACTTCACGACGGTGTGTGTATATGCGCCAACAATGTCTTCAGCGGGAAGTTCCGGAGGAAGAAAACCGATTATGTTCCCTGGACCGCCATACATGACAAGATCCGATGTTTCGGAGTCTGCAGTGCTGGATGTCATTTTGGCGAGCTGGTCGAAGCCAAGGGAGCGATATGGTCCGGTGCCGTTTGCGTCCCACTGAGCCATACAAGGGTCGTCGTCTTCCCCAGCACGACACTCGCTAAACATTGAAAATTCTTCCTCGAAGCGAAAGATCACAGCTATCTCGTAGTGATCCTGAAGATTTCTCCCAACTCCAGGCAGGTCAACTTTGACGGGGATATCGAGCTCTTTAAGCTCATCAGCAGGTCCAATGCCGCTCAATAAGAGCATTTGGGGGCTGTTGAATGCGCCGCCTGCAACGATGACTTCGCGAGTCGCAAATGCTTGTCGGACAGCCCCCGGTTCACCCTGAGCACTCACGTTGACGCGTGGGTCGGCTCTATAGAGCTGTTCACCTTCCAAATACTCGACGCCAGTTGCACGCAAGTCGTTGTCGAGCAAGATTCTTGATGCTAGGCTGTTGAACTTGACAGTCACGGGGTGGCCACCGTTGAACGCCTCGTTCAACCTCGTTGCAGCACTGCTTCTTCGGCCAGCCTTGTCGACTTTGAAGGGCATTTGGTACAGGTCCTCATCTGTGTCACGCGATGGCGCCAGGGCGTTGATATCGTTGAGGACAACCGTATCCCAGTCGGTCGAGACGCTCCTTTCATCTTTGCCGAACCCAGCAGCAGTTCCCCGTGCGTTGGCTATTCTCTGTGGGTCCTTCGCAATGACATCCGCATGGGTGACATCAACCCCGAGATAGCCTCCAAAGCCGTGACCTGGCACTCCTTCTTGAACATGCAAGTTGTCCTCGATTGCCTCGTAGTATGACCTCATGTGAGAAGCAGACCAACTATCGTCTCCTGTGATGTTGGCAATTTGGTCCCAGTCCCTGTCTGGAGGAACGACGACAATGCCACCGTTGTGAGTGTCGCAACCTCCCAAGGTCCCGGCTCGCGGGTAGAATACACCAAGGCGGCGGGATCCCTCAGGGGGATCAGCACCGACATACTTGTCACCCTCCGAGGTCTCCCATACCAGCTTCTCATCCAAGGCAGCATCCTCTTCGTCCTCAAAGTTGTGGACGTAGAAGAACCAGCCCTGCTCCGGATCGATTTGGTTGAGTCCGAAAAATGCCGGAATGGTTTGATTTATAGTGTCTGTCTTGTTGACACCAGCCTCAAGCACCAGTACCGAATGTCCAGCTTCGGCCAGGTTCGCCGCCAAGGGGCCGCCTCCTGGGCCAGACCCGATCACAATGTACTCATATGTATCGGAGTTCGCCTGCACATGATCGGCTGGCAGCGCTCTACTCAGCGTAGCGAGAACCGCCGTGCCGGTCAGGACGTGCTTAAAGCCGAGCATTGTGATGAATAGTATGCTTGACAGAGCTATATTCGTCTCAGGACTTTCGAGAAGGATATACGACTTCACCCATGCACATCCCTCTTGTATAGGTGTTTCCCAAGCTGCTAAAAAGCTGCTAGTAGGGCATCTTCTGCGATGCTCGGGTTCTCCTTACGTCAAGTCTACAAAGTGCCCCACGCTTGTCGACCTGCTGGAGTTTTGACTCCGACGCTCGACATCAGGTCGGTTTCTTCTAGCTGGCGCGACATCGGAGGTGACGCCTGTCATTACCTTAACGGGCAACAGCGACGAGCATCTTTTTCTGTCCGTCCATGCCCGACTCTTCAGCGGATGCAGATGGCGGAAAGGAAGGGTGGATTTGGCGAAGCATTGCTTGGTGGCGTTCTTGGCGACCAAGGGTACCAGCATTGATGCTGATCTGGAAAAATCTAATCTTATCTGATATTTCCTGATCGCCGACGTGCTCCCTGCAAGCTACGTAACTGCAGGACATCCAAGGCCTGCAACTTGAATGATCGTCTCTCTAGGCGTGCTGTGTTCTACTCAGTCTCGCTGTAGCACTGCGGAGCGGCTGCTAAGGCGTCAGTGGATATTATTGACGTGAAAATTTTCATCTGATAAGATTGTGAACGGTCGAGCTAAAGCTTGACGCGTCTTTAGCGCTCGCGGCACTTCTCTACTCCCTGCTTCGCTTGTTTTTTTTTGACCAGACGCCGACGGAAGATGGACGCGAACCATCAAGCCACGATCGCTGGGCTGTTAGCGTTGCCACGACGCTTGCCCGGACATGACTCGACTGATCTGCGCTGGTGTTCTCTAGCCCAAAGAGGCTCGAATCGCGAGTTCGCTCCTGCTGGTAGACGGTGCGACTTCCGTGATCAGCGACGGGAGAGCCTTTCGAGTCCTGTGCTGTGAGTTCCGCGATGTAAAATCAGAATATCGTTTTCCCTTGTTCGTGATCATGCGTGGCCAGTTCTTCGCGGACGTTGTTGAGCCGTCAACTGCCTTATGAATCTGTATACTGCAGCACCCATTTTTGCACCTTTCCACAGCAATGGCTCCAATTCCAAACGTATGTCACCAGACTTCGCAGACACACCCGACTGACCATGCTAGTATATCAAGGGCGTCTTTGGCTGGTTCAGACTTCTGCTGTATGCGCAGCCACCATTGCAAGATGTGGCGCTCCTGTTCTGCGGCACTGTCACGGCCATTGCATCAGGAACGCCTGTGCCGATACTCGGTATCATATTTGGCCAGCTCATGGATGACCTGAACTCTGCTACCTGCGAAGCTTCCGACTCTTCACTGTTCACCCGGGACACGCTGCGTGCGAGCATTAACAACAAGGTACTAACAGTTGTGTACATCGCGATAGGGAATCTGGTCCTTATCTACGTGTATATTGTCAGCTGGAATCTTTTCGGGGAGAGACTTGCCCAGCGCGTTCGTGAGAAGTATCTGAGAGACATGCTGAGCAAAGACATTGCGTTCTTTGATCATGTTTCCCCGGGAGAGATGGCAAACAACCTGGACGCCGACGTGAATGCAATCAAGCAAGGGACGTCGCAGAAAGTCGGCGTTGTCATCAACGCTATCTCTTTCTTCATCGCAGCGTATACTATCGCATTCATAAAAAATGCCCGACTCGGCGGGATCTTAGTGTCCCTGACACCAGCCTTTCTTCTCATGGCACTGGTCGGAGGTCACTTCATTGGGAGATTTACCGGAGCCATGTCGACATCGGTAGCCTCGGCATCAAACATTGCCTTCGAGGCATTGTCAAACATTACGCTTGTGCGAGCGTACAGTGCAGATGGAAAGCTTGCTGACCGCTTCGCCACTTTTCTGGCCGCCGCAAAGTCAGCCGGCACACACAAAGCGATCACGGCATCGGTGCAGGCAGGAATGCTCTTCTTCATCGCTTATAGTGCAAACGCGACTGCTTACTACGTAGGCAGTCGACAAATCGCAGACGGTGTCGAAAATGATGGGGGCATCACGGTTGGGACAATCTACACCGTCATCTTCATCCTCGTTGATGCCACAATCATTCTGAGTACGGTGGCACCATTCTTGCAGCTGTTCGGAGCTGCCCAGTCTGCGCTTGAGAAGCTCGAAAAGAATATGGATACTGGCTCGACAGTAGACGGCAGGCAAACACTGCAGGTTACTGATCGCGACACTCCATTACTCAGATTCAGTGGCGTTTCGTTCGCTTACCCGTCCCAACCAAGTGTCCAAGTCCTACGAGATTTGACTCTGAGCATCCCAGCCGGAAAAAGCACTGCTGTGATTGGCCCCTCTGGTAGTGGGAAGTCTACTATCGCAAGTCTTGCTCTGGGCATGTATCGTCCGTCGACAGGAGAAGTCTGGCTTGGCAACGGCCTAATGCGCGACCTTTCCATCACTTCTGCCCGAGGCCTGATGAGTTTCGTTCAGCAGGATGCAACTCTCTTCGACCGTTCAATCTTGGAGAATATAGCTTTGGGCTTGATCAATTCTCCGCAACACCGACATCTAAACCAGGTTCTACTTTCGGACAAGTTGGCGGCAATCGCTGCTCGTGTCCGCGAGGGAGTTGATATCTTCCAGGCAGCAAAAGATGCTGGCGGACAATGTACAGAGATCATTGAACTTGTGGTTGACGCAGCAGGTCAAGCTGATGCCGACGCTTTCATTCAAAATTTACAAGACGGCTATGGTACCACTGTTGGATCAAAAGGAGCTTTGATCAGTGGAGGTCAGAAACAGCGCATCGCTCTCGCAAGAGCGCTTGTGAAGAATCCAGAAATTCTGATTCTCGACGAAGCCACAGCTTCCCTCGACTCAGCAAGCGAACAACGCGTGCAACAAGCACTCGTAGCGGCAAGTCGTGGACGCACCACTCTCACAATTGCACATCGCCTGTCCACGATCAGAGATGCGGATAATATCGTTGTTATGCGTTCTGGACAGATAGTGGAGCAGGGAACTCATGCAGGACTCATGGCCGCCGGCGGCTTTTATCTTGAGCTCGTTCAACTCCAGCAAAACACTGACAAGTCTGAACGACACAACAACCACCTCGACGACGCTATTCATGAACAACTCGACGACGTAGGACCGAAGGAGAATTCTGATGGCGCGGCTCAGGGAAGCCCTGCCCAGCCTTCGAAGCTGCCGAGTGCTGCAGGCAGTGATCCAGAGATCGAAGCCAAAAGGAGTATTTCTTACGTGCTGAACACTCTTGGACCGATGTTGAGGCCAAGCGCAATGGTCCTTGTTGTCGCCTTCACAGCCATGCTCATAGTCGGTGGCACCTATTCCGCATCAGCTCTCATTCTTGGCAACACCATTGGCAGATTAAGTCCTTGCAACGGGTCAGAAGCGATCCGAAGCTCTGGAAGATTCTTCGCCCTTATGTTCTTCATCCTGGCCATAATTGAGCTCTTGGCGAACATCATCAGCTGGTCAGGCTTTGGACTTGCTTCTGAAAGGTTCTTGCGGAATATCCGACTGCGGGCATTCAAGTCTCTGCTCAACCAAGATCAGGGCTGGCACGAATCATTCAACAGAACACCAAAATCACTGCTGTCCTTGATCACTGCGGACTGTAATGCAATTGGTGGTTTGACGGGAAGTACAATCGGGACCATACTCTCCATCCTTGTGAACATGGTTGCTGCGATTATTCTGACTCATCTTGTCGCCTGGAAAATTGCCCTCGTCTGTCTAGCGGTTGTTCCGCTTATTATGGGTACAGGAGCTATGCATATGATCGCCCTGGCGAGGTTCGCTGCCAGGCACTCGCAAGCATTCAAAAACTCGATAGGTATTGCTGTCGAAGCTGTTGAGTCCATCAAGACCGTCGCGGCACTTTCATTGGAAGAGGAGATTCTGCAAACATACCGCCGCTCCTTAAAAGCTCCGACAAAGGAGATGACGAAACAAAGCGCCTACTCTTACATGTGGCTAGCGTTGGCCTACGGGCTGCCCACTTTCCTATTCTCGCTCTCCTTCTGGTGGGGAAGCTCTCTGGTACTAACAGGCGAATACACCCAGGTCGACTATTACATCTGCACAATCGCCCTACTTGTAAGTGCCCAGCTTTGGGGTCAGCTCTTCACTATTGCACCGGACGTGTCGAAGGCTTTCGAGGCTGTCCGAAGAGTGGTCAATTTGTTCGATCTGGACTCTTCAAAGGAGGGCCAGGTTCGAGGAGACAGTCCGTCGGCGGGAGAAAAATCACTCTCGCCGCTCAAAGATGCTGGAGCAAGTATCGTTCTTGAGGACGTTCATTTCGCCTATCCGGCTAGACCACAGGTCGAGGTTCTCAAAGGTCTTTCTCTGAGCATAAGACCAGGACAGTTTTGCGCTTTAGTAGGTCCAAGTGGAGCCGGAAAGTCTACCGTTTTCACGATGCTCGAACGAATGCATAGACCAGAGTCTGGGAACATCACTATTGACGACAGGGATATTGGGTCAAGCGATGTGACGTTCCGCAACACGATCTCCTACGTGCCGCAAGACAGTGTTCTCTTTGACGGCAGTGTCCGGTTCAACCTCGAGCTTGGCGCGACGCCTGATCAGAAGATAACGGACGCTGAGCTTGCAGAGGCATGTCAGCTCGCAAACATTCACGACAAGATCATGTCTCTTCCCGAAGGATATGATTCAAATTGCGGGTCGGGAGGCTGCCAGTTATCCGGTGGCGAGAAACAGCGGCTTGCCGTAGCCAGAGCTCTAATTCGGAAACCAAGGCTGCTTCTCCTGGATGAATCAACATCAGCTTTGGACGCACATAACGAGAAGGCACTTGAGAACGGGTTAAGCAACGCTCGCCGCGCCACAGGCATGACTGTTGTTGCAATCGCTCACCGTCTAAGCACGATCAAGAACGCAGACATCATCTTTGTCATCGACGGTGGAAGAGTGATCGACTCAGGCCGACACGAAGAGCTGTTGGCCAGGTGTGATATGTACAGAGTCAATGCCTCTCACCAAGGCTTCTAGACTTGTGGCAGCCTGATCAAAAGCCGCAGGATATTGAAACATTTACGCTCGTGAGTGGGGCAAAGCGCAGAGGACAGGTTGTGGCTCAATAGTGTCTCGCTCTACTGACAGGACTTGTCTGTCAACAAGTCCGTATAAAAAGTGTCTTTGCAGGATTTGCAACGTGCTTGATCAAGCGTCGCGTCTTTCCAGGTAAGGAGAGGCGAGCGCTGTTAACCGCTGCTGAAGCTCCTAGGACAAAAGTCTCGATGCCACAAGTACTCAACATTCATGGCACGCGACAAGTGTCATGAGTCACAGCTCCATTGGACCGGTGTTCCGTCTGCAGGCTTGACCAACATTGGCGGACTTGAGCAATCCTGGTTACTTTGAAAGAATGAGCCAAGAAACTCCCTGCAAGGGTCAGTTGTCAAAAATTGCACCATGATCCCCACACGTGCGTTCGGAGAGAGATTACGGAGTAGTCCAGGCTGGTATCAGCCATTGCCGCTCCGAAAGAAAGCGAGCTGGGGGCGCATGCTCCAGAGCAGGGAAAATTTTCATCTGATAAGATCACACGGAAATATCCGGATCGTTTGCTAGAGCGTATCGAGCCTCGACAAGGCGCCAGGCGCTGTGATCTGCAGCACCACAAGCACCGGACAGCCTTGGCAGACCTGTTCGAACGCGCGACTTGAGCACCCTCTTCGCCAGATTTTACCGTCCTGGGAGCAGCTTCCAGGGATCCAAATGGACCGCCATCCCCACTCGCGACCGAAGTCGCTCTCGCCAAGTGTCTCAGTGCGATGAGAGACGATGCTCATGTTGTTTTATAGCTCAGAATTCCAAGTATAACTTAACTTTGTCGGTCAGGTCCTTGTCTGTACAGCTTTTGGACCGAGCAATAGCACACTTTTGCACTATGGCAGAAGTCCTTACTGATCAAGCGACACGCACACAATCAAAGATCCATGCTACGGGGCTGGATATGTCTGAAAAGAATCAGGGCTCGGATACTCCTTCAGAACGCAAAAATGATCCGTCAGAGGAAGACTTCCAACGTGGTGTCCGGCAGGCTCGAGCAATCACAACAGTATGGGGAAAGCGGACGTTGTGGCTCATGTTTGCGCTGTGAGACTGCTCATTATGCCTCTTGAAAAGTTCAGCGGCTTACTACTAGCAGACTATACATCGTATCTTTCGTCGACCAGCTCCTTGTCTCAGTCCAGTCATCCTTGAACCCATACATCACATCAGCCTTTGGTCGACATGGCCTGCTTGCAGCTGTCAGCATCGTGCCTACAATTCTAGCCGGTACTGCCAAATTGACGTTAGCCAAAATCATCGATCTATCTGGTCGTGTCGAGGGATTCATCTTCATGCTAGGAATATCTATTCTTGGTTGCATCATCAAAGCAACTGCTCAGGACATTCAAACCTACATTGCAGCCCATACCCTCTACTGGACTGGTCATCTTGGCTTACTGTATGTCATCGACGTAATGCTTTCTGATATGACTACGCTCAAGAACCGCATGATAGTTCTGACAGTCAATACCACACCTCTGATTGCGACGACGTTCGCCGGTCCAAGGGTGGCGGAGCTGTTCTACAACAACAGCAACTTTCGCTGGGCATTTGGCGCATTCTCGTTTGTACTCGCCGGTATATGCCTTCCAGTCATTGTGATCATGTTGTGGTCTCAACGAAAGGCTGTCAAGACTGGAGATCTGATTCGATACGACTCTGGTCGTAACTGGTGGCAATCGATCAAACATATATACATCCAGATGGACAGTAAGTGTTCATGTACCTGCTACAGCTCAGGCTAACATTCAAAGTCACCGGGATCATTCTGATTACGGCCGCCTTTGCGCTGTTTCTACTACCATTCAGCTTAGCATCATATGCTCCACAAGGCTGGAGAACCGGATACATCATTGCCATGCTGGTGCTGGGGATCATTCTTATGCCGACATTTTGTGCTTGGGAGCGATATGTATCACCAGTTCCTTTCTTGAAGTGGGAATATCTCCTGAATCCCACGATACTGGGTTCTTGCTTCTTGTATTGCATTCTCTTTGTCTCGATATTGTAAGTCCCCCCCTTAATGATTTTCTATTGCGAATACTAAGCTTTGTCAGCTGTTGGAACTCCTACATGAGCTCATACCTCCAAGTCGTTCATCAGCTAAGCATCAGCAACGCGGGATATGTTCTCAATGCCTTGTCCCTGACTTCGGCCGTCTTCAGCCCTTTCATCGCCTGGTGAGAGTGTTCTTCATGGTATACAGTACGATACTAACATGTGTTTACAGGATTATACGAGCAACTGGCGACTTCAAGTACACTGCGTACTCCGGTGTACCCATCCTTGTCATTGGGACAGCACTGCTTATTCCTTTCCGTACACCCAACACGAACATTGGATTGGTTGCATTTACACAGATCCTGGTAGGCCTTGGCAGCGGCATCTTCTCGACCTGCGTTCAGTTGTCTATCATGGTACCTGTAACCCATCAAGAGATTGCAGCCGTGCTCGCTATTCAGGGTCTTTTCGGATCAATTGGCTCATCCATCGGCATTGCTATCGCAGGTGCGATCTGGAATAACGTGCTGCCAGATCAGCTCTACAACCGGTTGCCTGACGAAAGCAAGGATCTGGCAGCGAGCATTTTTGCGTCCCTACCAACACAGCTCAGCTACGAGTGGGGCTCACCTGAGCGCGAAGCAATCGTGGACGCTTACGGGGCCGTCCAGAGGTACATGGTTATTGCTGGCGCCTGCTTCACACCGTTTTGTTTGCTTTCGATCTACATCTGGAGAAATGTCAACGTCAAAAAGCTGGAAGAAGAGTATGGAAGGCAGACCAAGGGTACAGTGTGGTAAGAGCAGGCGTGATGTGCGTTTCTCATCGGTGACGCAGACATTATCCACCGAATGAATGTGTCTGCCGAAACAGGAAACCACACTACCAGAATGCTTGCAGACCTTGCCCGAATAGGCAGTCTTTGACCCACAGGAATGCCCACGGCCAGCGGCTTCCAGGCTTCCAGCGAGAAGTGCCTAAAGATAAATTACGTAAAGCCTCGTTCCTTCACAATCGAACAAATATGACATTTGGGACTGGGTTACCATGTTTTCCTCTTCAATTCCCAATGAACGTGCGCGATGGACGCAACTTCTGACATCGTTGCTAGCTGTATGCTCAAGGACCTGACCAGGTACGAAGAGCTATACAAGCATTTGCATACGAATCCGGAGCTGTCCAATGCCGAATCAGAGACCTGCAAGCTAATCCGTGCGAAGCTTGCAGCATGGAGCAACCTGGAGATTCACAGCGGGATAGGCGGGTATAGCATTGTCGGAGTCTTCAGAAATGGAGACGGACCGACAGTGCTTTTGAGAGCAGATACTGATGCACTTCCCGTTCGGGAGACCACTGGACTTCCCTATCAGAGCACGGCTACTTCGAGCTTCCAAGGAGTTGAGAGACCAGTTATGCATGCTTGCGGTCATGACATGCATATCACGTCTCTGCTCGGTGCCACCGAAGTCCTTGTATCCCGAGCTCAAAACCATTGGTCTGGAACCCTGATTGTGCTGTTTCAACCGGCGGAGGAGCGTGGAACTGGCGCCCAAGCTATGGTAGAGGATGGACTCTGGAGCAAAGTTCCCAAGCCGGATTATCTCTTTGGACAGCATGTAGTCGCGAACCTACCTGCTGGAGTAATTGGTCTCCGGAGCGGCCCAATCATGGCTGGAGCTGAGAGTATGAGGTGCAGAGTCTACGGAAGAGGAGGCCATGCATCGCAACCACATCGCGCCATTGATGCTGGTCTTTTGGCTGCCAATTGCGCAGTGCGTTTACAGCAAGTCGTCAGCAGAGAGCTTGTCCCTGGTGATACAGCGGTTCTGACCACGGTTCCACTGAGTGCCGGCGTTGCGGAAAATATAATTCCAGATGACATCGAGATTGGTGTTGATATACGATTTGTCAAGCGTGAGACACGCGACAGACTACGAAGTTCAATACGTCGAATAATCGAGGCTGAATGCCAAGCCAGCAACTCACCCTGGCCGCCCTCTTTCACAACCACCCGCTCTTTTCCATTGACAGTCAACGACTCCGGGCTCACCGGTCTCCTAAAGACCGGCTTCAGCAAGCACTTTGAGGAGATGTTGAACCCCGAGATAGTCATATCAACTATTGCTGAAGACTTTCCGAATCTCTCACAAGGGCAACCTTACGTCTTCTGGCACCTTGGATGCTCGGATCCGAGCCGCTTTGATCTTGAAGGCCGTTCGGATGCGATCCTTCCGCCCGTACCGATGAACCACTCATCTGGCTTTGCACCTTCAGTACAACCGACCCTCCGGACCGGGATCGAATCGCTCGTGTTGGCTTCTTTGTTGGGCTTTAGTACCCCAGCGAGTCTCGACCACAATAAGAGTTCTGTGTCCAAGATCTAGCCGCGGACACGGGAAGTCAGACGTATCGTTGGCGGACCCAACTCAGAGGTCACTATGTACTGTCGTCAGCTTTACATTGCATTTGAAAAGTCTCAGTTGAACAGTTAGTTGACCTCCCATGGGGACATGGTTGGAGGGAGCAACTGTCCAAAGCCACAAGATGGATTATCAAGTACCGAGAACATGTGACGCGTGATGCAGTAGCGATTCGGTGGAGATGGACTCTGGTCTGTTGTCTAGCCTGTATTTCGAGCCTGACGATGAAAGCATGCAAGCGAATATTACGAAGTGGGCTTTAGCCAGACACTCGCACAGGGCAACTCGTGTGGCGCAACTCCGTGACGAAGACAGGGTCCAAAGATCTAGACCTTGCCCAAGGTCAATTGTAAGGGGCCCCACGTGCCGAAGCATGCGTGGGGCAGTCGGCTGGCATTCGAAAATACAGCCCCCATATTCTGGCCAGGCCGTTCTGCGAAGCTTTTCCGAGGCTCTCGGCTTCAGTAGAATTGTCTTCCCTTGTAGAAGGAGTAGAGGCGATTGACATGGCATGGGTAGTATTGGTAGTGGCTAGGTTGGCAAGATCGATTGTGGTCTCTACACGACGATGGAATCGTTTCAAAGGTATATTCAGTAGTGTCGGCATATGTGGTAAGCTTACGATGCTGACTTGTCGAAACAGAAGAGCACCTCCAGTGTGGGTTCAGTATGAACCATTATGCTCAATTGGACACGGAAAAAGAAGTGCCCCATGACTTTGGACTGAACAGGCAACGGAAACAGCCAGCTCAGACTAGCGCTTATTCATAACGGTCAAAATCGGTTCTAGGGCATAATTGAATCGCCGTGGCAAAGCTTTATCGACGGTGTCTTACCAGTGCTTCTTTCAGCAAACGAACAAAATAGCCCCGGGCCTCCCCACATCTCCACGACGTGGCGCATTTTAGCTTTTGCGGAGAACCCTGGGTTGATTCCAGGCTCAAGTACTTTAGCAGGTCCTGCTGCTGCCTTGGTCGCGGTACTCTGATCGTGAGGTGCTATCCGGACAATAGTCGACATGGCCTCAACTCTTACGGGGAAGCCCACCGCGCGGGAGATCGAGGTTGCTGTCGATCCCGAGCAACCATATAGCGAGAAGCGACATGTCCCCTTGGACCTTGATGACCCTCACCGCGCAGCACTAGAAGACAACCCTGCGCACGCAGAGAGATTGACGTGGACCACGCTACTGGCTGTGATTGTATGCTACATCATTTTGATGCGATATTGAATCTAACATGTCATCACAGTCCCTTTCCTTCTCATACGTCTGCCCCATCTCCTGTGGCTTCGTTCTGGTGACCGGTATCTTGGTTCCGATCGGCGTTGAGCTCGGTGACACTGCCAATATCTCATGGATCGTTGGAGGCTGGTCAATTGCCTCGTCGATCAGTTTCTCCGTAGCCGGCGCCCTGTCCGACATCTTCGGGCGACGATGGACGATCGTGTTGGGAGAAGTGATTTCCATTCTTGGATCTGTGAGTCATCAAGGGTAGTATTCCTTCTAAGAGAATGTCTGACAATCCATAGATCGTTGCGTGTACAGCCCAGACTACCTTGACAGTCAGTGCAGGATCCACGATCATCGGCTTTGGCTGCGGAATTGTTTTCGTGTCTTATGCTGGCATTCAAGAGCTAGTGCCTAACAAATGGAGGGGACTGATAGGGCTCACTGAGGTCGCCATGACAGTTCCCTGGGCCATTGCTGGAGTCTTGATTGCGAACTCCCTGCAGTCCCAGACGGCTGCTGGGTGGCGATGGTGCTACTACATCGGCATAATTTTCGGGGTTCTAAGCACCATTGGCACAATTATGTTCTACTTTCCACCTTCACGCCCACAATACGACTATGACAAGTCGCGATGGGAGGAAATCAAAGCTATCGACTATGTCGGCATCCTCTTATACACAGCCGGTCTCACAATCATGCTCATTGGTCTCACTTGGGCAGGTACACCAGATCACCCATGGCGCTCTGCCTCGACAATTGGACCAATTGTTGTAGGTGCATGTACGCTCGTCGCATGCTTTGTTTACGATTTCACGGTACCAAAGCAACCATTCTTTCCACTCGATTTATTCCGCGAGGTTCGCGGTTTCACCGTGCTCCTTGTGGTGGTATTTGTGGCTGGTATGGTCCCAACTCGTATTAGATGTGCCAGGCTAACATTCATTGCAGGCGTTGTTTTCTACTCTTTTGCCGGCTTGCTTCCCCAGGGGTCACTCTACATGTTTACGGCCGATCCCGAGCAAATCGGTATAATCGCACTGCCCAACGGCATTTCTCAATTCATTTTTGGTGGAGTTGCCACCATTATAATGGGCAAGGTCGGGCATCTGAAGTTGCAGGTCATCGCAATGTTGTGCGTCCAAACGGCGTTCACCGCAGCATACGCCGGCGTTGTGCCTGGTAACAGAGCCGGATGGTCTGCCATGCAGTTCTTTGGACAGGGAGCATTCGCTTTGATCACGCTTCTCTGTTACGTTATTGCCGGACTCAACATCCCTCTTCGCCATCTTGGCTTGGCATCCGGACTGATTGGAACCTTCCGCAGTGCTGGAGGTAGCGTTGGCAACGCTGTCTTCAACACAATCCTCAACGGCCTCGTCAAAGAACAGATTCCCAAGCGACTTGCTGAGATTGTGGAGGCCAACTCTATGCCAGCAGACACTCTGAGCGTTCTCATTCCAGCAACAATGGAAAATGCACTCGGTATACCTCATGCATTCGACCTGGTGCCGGGAATCACTCCGGAAATACAAGCCATGGCTGCTACAGCATTCAAGGAAGCCTATGCTTTTGCTTTCAAGCGGGTCTTTTACGCCTCGATTCCGTTTGGTATTCTTGCCATCATCGCCGCCAGTTTCATTACCGATCCTTCCAAGTATTTGACCAACCACACGGCGGTGAGGATGGAGCGAGAAGGTGTCATGGGTCGATCCAAGACAGCACATTGAGTGTGCTCTACTAAGGCTCAGACAGGTCGAGATGTAGCCAGAATCTGGCGATCGGGCAACCCACGAGGCTCCCAATGAAGCTGAACGGCTTGGAAGGCGTTCTGTACGAGAACACCGTGAGCTGGACGTGTAAGGGAGACAAGCACCAATGTAGCAAAAATTCCAAAGATCATTAAAATACACTCTCCGTTCTAGCTGCTGGCACTCACAAGGGCATGATTCCTCCGGTAGGTAGACCAAGTACATGCAGCATGTGCGGAGTGGCTTGCGGGCTATGAGTCTAGACCGGCTGTGTGACGCTACAAGCCTGGAGAAGACCCCTCGATGCCTTCGTACGCTTTCTGTCCATCAACACAGACCCTTCGCTTGTAGTGGAGCCATGTGTCTGGGATTGGGGAGTGTGGAGGATGGTTTCCCTAATAAGTTTCACAACTGGGCGTCACCTTCAGCTCTTTTCGCTACAGTAGTAGGCTCAGAGTTACTGCTGCTGGACAGTTCTAGATCTCTCATGTCAACAAAAGACTTGCCACTAGTATAAGGCAGCTGTAATAACCTGTATCTCGGTGTAGATCAAAGTAACTTGCTTTTCCCGGTGCACTACGCCAACTTGCCTCGAGTAGAGACTTGATTCACGGTTTCCTCTTCATTTCATGCGGAAGGACCTCTACACAGTTCCTGTTGGATTTTGTTAGCGTCATTCCCAGTAGGTCCGTAATAATCATTATGTTGTGATCTTTCAAACTTACCCATCAGGATCCTCGATGAAGCCAATTTGGGCAAACATGTACTCAAACCCTCCTTGCCACGACTCTTTCAGTATCTGATCACGCACCTCACTGTTGGTTTCATCCCGGCTGGGCCAGCTGGGGAGCGGCATATATCTTGGCTCTATGTCGTGAAGACGTTTTCGCACCTGCCAGCCGTGCTGCTCGGCCCGCTGCAAAGTTGCTTGTACATCAGGAACGCGGATCCCGATATGTGCGAAGCCAAGTCGAGGATGCAGCGCTCTGGGCGTTGTCCTGCACTTCTTCTCGATGGCCTGTCCACCATACGTCTCTGGATCTGCAACATTGGCGATATCTACAGTGGCACCCTGGTGCTGTGGTTGTCTGGTATCTTGCTCGTGGGCGACAATGAGTTCCAGTAACCCCGACCGCAAGCCCGATGTGCGAGTCATATCAGAGGGGCATGTATCGGTTTCTTGCGGGTAGCCTAGGTAGTAGGCAGAGAAGAGCCCGGTGTTGGTTGCGAACATGAGGCTCATGCCAAGGAAGCCAACATAGAAGTCAAGCGACGCCGAAGCCGACGATACTTGCAGCGCCGTATGATTCAAGACATAGCCTTGTGTAGCCGTAGTCTGAGAGGGCGGAGCGAAACTCTCTGGGATCAGCGGCACCCCCGGAGTCGGATAATGCGCCTGTTGTTGTGGCCGTCGTCCTGTTGATGCCATGGTGAATACTGAGAAAGACTCAACGTAATGTCCTGGCAGAGTTGGAAACGTGTTTCATAGATGCTGATTGCGGCAGGGCTTTGTCCAGGCGGTCCTGTTGTAGGACTGCGTGAATCTGTCCGGCATTCAACTCGCAAGCTTGATGGCTTCTCGGAAAACATCGCATTCCGAAGTGTACTCCGAACCACCACCGCGCACTCCGAGAGGTCCTGCCGAGGCAATTATCTTGGAAGCTGATTTGTACGACCATAGTTTTGCTAATATTCTTTGATACTTCTGTATTTACTTCGGGGCTGTTCGTAGAACAAAAAGAGTGATTGTTGTGATACATGCACAACACAAAACACAGTTGCCTTATTCTTCAGGGGTATTCTACACTAGTTTCTAACCACCTCGGGGGTGATCTAAATTGGTGATACGCAGGCAAATCGTATAAGATCTACAATGTCGTCGGAGAAAGCCCATCGGGACGGCAAAGTCGTGTGAGTGTTGGACTCTCGCACTTTAAGCAATATCATCTTACGAGAACTCTCTCAGCATGATTACCGGGGCTGGGGCAGGTATAGGTTTAAGCATTGTAAAGGGTCTCCTTGAAGCTCAAACAGTGTCCCTTGTGGTCGCTGTAGACCTCGCCATCGACGAGCTCCAAGTACTTGCGAGTTCTCGACCAGGAAAGCTTGTTGCTGTTTCAGGTGATGTATCGGATCGACTGGTCAACAAGAAGGCGATAGACACTGTGATCAGGACACGAGGCAAGTTGGATTCTCTCATTCTGAATGCGGCGGTGCTGCGTCCCGTTGGTCCCACGGCCGAGATTAATGTGGAGGAATGGAAACGGCTGATTGACGTCAACTTCATTGCCTTGGTACATGCGGTACGCTGTTGTCCCCATCTTCCACTGTGCTTCGCTGAGTATGTGTGCAGATCCAGCTAGCTTTACCGCACCTCCGCAAAAGCAGAGGCCAGGTCCTTTTCACTTCCTCAGGAGTCGCAGCACGGCCATTTCCAGCCTGGATACCATATGCCTGTTCTAAGGCCAGCGTGAACTGCCTCGCGTCCTGTCTGACTGTCGAAGAGAACCAAGTATCGTTTCTATGCATCACACCAGGAATTGTGGACTCGGGTATGCAGAGGCATGTCAGGGATAACGGTAAGTCTTTAGTGCTTGCAGCCCTGGGACTTGCTCACGGCGTGACTAGAGAAGTCAAACCTTCCTCCCGACCAGTACAAGTGGCTCGCTTCGTTACACGCTGAAGGCAAGTTGCTGCGTCCAGAAGAGCCAGCTGGATCCTTTGTAAAGTTAGCCCTTGGCGGTGTACCGAAAGTACTCAATGGCCTGGTAGTCCCGTGGGACGACCCGCGGCTGGTATGTTAGATCCGCAAGACAGGCTCTTGATTCACCCAGCGCCCGGATACATGTCGGAGCCGGAGAATTCTGGCATTGAGCCGTTGGCATTTTGGTTTTTCGGCTCGTCGCCGCGTGATTGGAGAGACAGTACAACTTTAGTCAGATTACGGGCCATGCCCCAGGATTTGCATCGTTTCAGTAAAGCAGCCGTCTGTTCCAGTACTGCACGTCGCCCTGCAGAACAACAAAGGATGGGTACACCGATGAGACTCGGACAAGCATTGATGCCACTCGTCACCCATGCCATCTGCCTGTCGTGAACATCGCCTTCGCTCCAGTCAAGTGCTTCAAGCTGTAAGCTGGGGTTTTGGCTGTCCTCATTATGGACTGGCAGCAGTGATGCCACGCATGAAAGCACAACACCGGCATGGAAAAGCATGAATGGTTCCAGTGGCAAGTTGTAAGGGTAATATCGAAGCAACCCAATAATCTGGGCGCAGTGGTATGCTACATCTCTTGTTCTCTGTGGACTCTCGAGTGCCCATTGCTTCATACGCCGGGTTGCGTTCTCTGCTTCAGGTCCGTGACGCAGATATGGATATAGCCAATTCATCAGGTCTCCAGAGCCGTACAGATGTGCCGCGTGAACGAGATGCATGCGGTGGACAAATTGAGACATCTCGGCACCAGTATGTGTTTTGGCTAGCGCGTCCAAAGGCACAGCCATTGACTGCACAGCCCTCAGTAAAGTCTGGCCGCCATTTTCGTAGATGGGGGGAGTCACCAGATCGTGTATAGGAGACGATTTGATTTCTTTGAGCGACCACAGCATCCTGACAAGCGTTAATACAACGATGAAAGCATGCTCCTCATCCGAAATCTTGGATGCGGCTTTTGGCGTGCCATCGAACAGCATTCGTATGACTGTCCGCAGCTGGAGGCTTCGTTCAACATTATCTCGAGACCAGGGATGCAGTGCTGCCCAAGATGGAGCGGATTCCGCAGTCCAATACTCTTCGGAGGCAGGAAGTGGTAAGTTGATGTCGCCTACACTCAAATAAGGACGAACATTGTGTAGATAGGCTACAGATCCATCATACTTGTACACGGCCCATCCAAGTCGGCGTAACCGCTCCGCATCGATCCATGCGTGCCAAGCATGTTCTGGTAAGAGTGTCGCAAGGTCGGGGTCTTTTGACTCATATCGAAACAACCCCATACATTTGGCGTTGTGAACAAGGGTGCCCCGGGACGATTCACTCAGTTCGAATAGTCGCTCGCTACCGCTACAGTAGCCATGAGTGCCTTGAAGAACCTGGGCCACGAGGTATGATGGTGTCCGGACAAACCGGCGGTCCTGTTGGACCATATAGCTTAGCAACCTTCCCAGCAGCTCGGACAGGCAGACGGCAAAGTTTCTGGCATTCTCCAGGTTCGTGTAGCATGACCCAATGCTGATGATCGCCAACGTGACGATTAGATCTTTACCAGGATCGAATGTGGGTTGGTGAATAACTGGTACCGTGGGGTGAAAGTGCCTGAAATACAAGTCCACGCAGTGGTCGAGTTTTTCCTGCGAAGGAAAGGCATCCAGGCTCAACGACTGGAACGGATTATATTCCAGTGGCAGAGATAGACATTTACACAAGGCGTTCCGAGTCTTGTCTGTTATGCTAGGCAAAGCAAAGAATTTTGGAAACCTTTGCGGCTTCGAACCTTCAGACCCAAGAGCTGGAAGGATTATATGATGTTGGGGCGGGGCAGGCGTCTCTGATGGCCAGGGTCCGACCGAATGCGCATTTTCCTGAGGCTCGGGACTGATGATTCCTCCAAGAGAGTCATCACCGCGATCTCTATGATGATTTCCCACTTGCACAGCGTGCATAGGAAATTCGGATTGGGCAACATTGGACGTAGACACCTGACCACTGGGTGAAAATTGGATCTGCGGGGCCTCCTGAACGAACTGAATCGGGAGAGTAGCCGTATCAGCTCCCATGAAGCAGTGATCAACGCTAGTCTGGTCCATGAACCAATCTAGGTTCGAATTGAAGTCCATGTCATCGAATGTCGCATATAGCACAGCTTGGTCGTAGACACCAGTATCTTGATCAGGGAAACCAGGCAGTACATCCAACTGGCCCTGGGTGTGGCTATTCTCCTGGACACCGAGAGGGGAAAGGAAAACATTGCTTGTATCATTCCCCGAAAGCTGCTGGCTGGTAGCACCTAACAGAGACACATTTTCTCGCGTGGCGTGGTGGTACTGCTGATTGCCGTCCTGAGGGCTCGAGCCCGAGGTCGATTCCGCGACTTTATGAGCCCGTTGTTTTGGAGCCGCAGAGCCTGCGTGATCGTCTTCATGATCGTGCATCCGCGCGGAACTGCGTCCCCCCTCATAGATGCACGCCACACCACGACGGGCGCATGAGCTGCACTCGGGCCGAACTCCATCACAGCGAGTCTTGGACTGGCAACATGATGAGCAAGCTTTCCTTCGAGTTTTGGGCGGGATGCGTCGCTCATGAATCTGCATATGCCGAGAGAGCGTGTCTTTGCGATCAAACGGGCGCTGGCAAGTTGGGCATTTGTACCTTGCCTGCCTCCGACTGGCATCCTCTGACGCGCACATGGTCTCATCACAATGAAGGCAAAAAGACGAGTGCCTGGCAAAGTACAGTGAGCTTCGGCAAGCAGCTCCTTTTCTCGGCAACCTCAGTTTGTGGGGAAATCCCGGGCGCGGCGTTGGTGTTCACGCGGCGCCATTGGGCTCGCCCCGCGTTCCCCAGGCGGGGCAAGAATGAGACTGGACGGCGATAGTGTCTTGTGATTGGCAAAGGAATAAGAAAACCACTTGCATACGCACGGCATTCTGCAGTATCGGTTCTGCCGGATGAGAGCGGGGGTGGAGAGTTTCGGAGCTCGGGGTGGTTTCCGGAGCTCCGAAGCGTCTCGCCGCAGCAGTGACGAGCCACACTGCCCCAGGACGTCGCGAAAGCCCCCAGCATACAGCAGGAACGCCGTGCTCGTAACGGCTGTACATCATGTCTTGCGCGTCTGGAGCTTCTCAGAGTTCTCCTTCGTCAAACTCCCGGGATAGCTGACATTGGATGCCATGGCGCAGGATCAGACTTTGAAAGGTAAGGTAGCCATTGTGAGCGGGAGTGCGAGAGGCATTGGCGCTGCAGCTTGTGTCGAGCTGGCTTCGCGGTGAGTCCGGATCGTCCCATTCGCCGGTCAACTACTGACCGTGTATGCATACAGAGGTGCCCTGGTCATTGTCAATTATCCGTGGCCGGAGCAGAAGGAGGATGCACAGGAAGTTGTGCGGCAAATTAAGCAAGGCAACGGGTCTGCCGCCGACCAGTGCCTAGCTATCGAATCAGACCTTTCGACGCTTGATGGACCGCAACGGCTCGTCGACGAGACGATCCGGCAAACCAAGAGACAGATCGACATCCTGATCAATAATGCAGGCATTGCCATCATGAAGCCGCTGACTGAGGTCAAACTGGAGCAATGGGATTCGCAGGTGAATCTCAATGCTCGCGGCATGCTGCTGCTCACGCAAGCTGTCCTTCCCCATCTAGCACAGGAAAGTCGCATCGTCAACGTGAGTAGCGTTGGTGCTCGACAGGGCTATGTTGGTTCCACCATATACAACGGGACCAAATCCATGGTTGAATCGTTCACTAGGTGCTGGGCACTTGAGTTTGGGAGACAGTACGGCTGCACGGTCAATGCCGTTGAGCCGGGACCTACAAATACCACCGGCTTCAATCACGCGGGGAAAAGTTTTCTGGCAAAGATACAACCCATGCTTGACGCGACGCCAATGGGCTCGAGAATGGCTGAGCCGGCAGAGATAGCACATGCCATTGCCTTTTTCTGTGAGCCAAAGAGTAGATGGATCACGGGTGCTTGCTTACCAGTCAATGGAGGATTTCTGATGCCATAGATTATGCAAGAATAAACCCTCAGTTCCAGAGTTCTTGCTTGGTATTGACCTGACCATTTCGGAGCTGGAAATTGAATACTCCTCAGTTCCAAAATCCAGAGGCTTTCCAGCTGATCATGCTCACCAGGTGCTCTTGATAAGGCTTAACAATTACAAACCACAGGGATACCGATCTCAATCGCAGAGATATTGACAACCGGATTTTCACATGATGGCACCAGACCAAGGTCTCAGAGCTTCCAGAGCTTGACAGCAAACGCAGCATCGACAAGTCCGTTGCCCCGATATATATGCTGCAATGCGATGGACTGCTTCGTTCCAATCTATTCAACGTTTGCCAATCAATAAGTATAGTACCAGTCGTCCATGCCCTCGATCTTTCGTTTTCCTTCACGGGCCTCCTTGTTCATTTTATAGAAGTAGTATTCCATGCCAGCCACGATGGTAAGACTCAGGAAATAAAGCCCCAACGAGAGGTAAATGCCGGTCTAAACATTATGGTGGTCAGTGTAACCTGCTATATCAATCTTGGGGCATCTGCAGGGAACTTACCTGGTAGAGTGGGGCTTCAGAAGTCTTGAACGCTCCTCCGGAGCACATCCCCCCGAGTCCGGAGCCGATTAGTGTGATCGCAGATGCTACGGCTCTCTTGGAGGTCGACGTGACATTGTTGGCCTGCCAGGCCAAGACCACCATGGGACAATATTGGACCATGCCCAAGCCTAATCAATGGGGTCAGACGTGTCTGAGTAGAAAATGGAGGATAGGGGTGCAGTACTAACCCAGAAAGACTCCGAAATACCTTGCTCCCGGGTTCTTTACGTAGGCCGTGATGAACATCCCAGCGATACAGCATGTGAGATGAAACACATATACGGGACCTCGCAGACGATATTTGTCGGAGATCCAACTCGATGTGTAGGTTGCTATGGCAGCAAAAACAAATGGTGGTGCCGTCATCAGCAAGCTTTGCTTACGAGTGAAGCCCATTCCTTGTGAGAGGATCAGAGGAGTAAAGAAATTGTAGGAGAATCCCGGCACCACGGCAGCGAATAGAAGGAGCATCCAGGCGTAGAGTTTCCAATCCTTGAGATGGTGGAGGACCTTTTGTTTCGTAATCGCGTCGCTCTCAGCATCTCCTCGGTCTGCATTGATTCGAGCGATCACGGCAGCTTTCTCATGAGGCTTCAAGAAACCCTCTGACTTGTCGGGGAGATCGACGATCAGAAGGTACGCCGCGACTACGATTCCGCAGGTTATGCAACCCTCAATGATGAAGATCCCTTCACAACAGGTCAGAAGGGATGCGTACATCGTGCGCCTCGGATTGATGACTTACACCTCCAGCCCTCCAAACCTTGGACACCATCCATTTGAGTAAGTCCATAGGCAAGAATTCCGGCGAAACCGTTTGCCAGGACGGAAAGAACCCAAAAACTGGCAAGACGCTTGCCAACTTCGTAACGCGTATACCAGACGGAGATCAGAAAAGTGCATCCTATCAGAATTAGAAGGGCTGAAGAACTTGGACAGGTTCAAGCACGGTACCAGGAAGAAACCCGGCCTCCGTAGCGCCGAGAAAGATTCTGCAAATCAAAAAATGCCCCCAGGTCCTGGTGAACCCCATACCGATTGTGACAACTCCGAAGCTGAGGCCCAGGAAAGACAACCAGTTACGGGGACCAGCTTTGGGCAGCACCAGGTTCTATAGGTGTCAACAAAAGAGCGCATCACCGACTATGGAACAGCAACTCACACTGGGCAGCTCAAATACTCTGTGAAATTGATTAGATGACGGATATTTGCTGGGTTGGAGGCAGTGTCTCACACGTAGAATGCAAAGAACACCAAGACCAAGATACTGTAGCGGTCGCCGACATTAAGACTGAGGTCTTCCATCATACCAGCTACCAAAGCGAAGGACATATTTCCTCGATCAACCAAAGACACCGCATAGAGGCATCCAAGAATGGGCAAGAGACGTCGATCAATTTTGCGCCTGTAGTTGTGATGTTAGTGGCACGTGGCTCAACCTCTGGACCGCACAGTTGCGCACACTTACACGAGTTTCTTCTCGTCCACAGCGGATGGCGATGCCTCGATATCGTCGTGATGAGATACATGTGGCTCCTGTTTCTCAGCGAGCTCGGGGCGGACATTGACTTCTCCTGAGCTGTGTTCCATTGTCGTTTTGACAGCAGGCAAACCCAGAATAAAGCAAGGAAACTTTGGTCTGGTTCGTAGAAGTCTATTTCTGAGGTAATACCATAAAGCCAGAGCACCGAGGCCCAGCTCTTATACTCCGCGGGTGCAACGGGCAACGCCCATCCATCCTTGACCCCATATTTCCCCGGCCACACTGAAAGTCCGGGCGCGCTCTCCGAAGAGCCAAACAAGGGCCCCAAGGGCACAGCCCGGGGTTTGGAAAGTCTTATTTCAACAGCCACCCCACGGGGCTCCGTGACCCCAATTATTGCCCTCGGCACTGGAGGATCTTGGCAGGTCCAGACTGATTTGTCGAGCACTCGAAAGTCGACCAGCTACACTTTGTCAATGGTTTGATTGAGCATATTGGCATAAATTCAATGGCTTTGTTGGTAACAGTAGTAAGGTCTCAGGTACATTCAGTATCGCTCTCTTTGTTCAGCATCTTGAACGCGACAAACCCAGCCTAATCGGTGCCCGACATTAAGCTCGACTGCTGGTGCTCTCTGTAGCATCTCAATATCATCAATAGTGCCGACCTGTATGACGATCTTGTTGTCCAGGAAGTGCGGTGCTGCGTAAATGGGACTGCCACAGTTCTCACAGAAGAACAGCGAATAATCAAATCCTTCATCAATATGCTTCAACTTGACATTTCGCAGTTGACCGCTCTCCAAGACGAAAGTCGATGCTGGAACCGTGAGATTCAGCGATGCTGTGCCCCCGCTGATCTTGCGACACGGCCGGCAGTGGCATACAGAAGTCTTCTGTCACGAATCAGTCTGAATCAAGCGTGTATTTGCAGCTCGCCATGGCTTACTGCTTTATCTGCATTGTCGATGTCGACATTGTACCGCAATTTAGAGCATGCACAGCTCCCGCCCACCTTCGTGCTTGCGCTGTTAGACCCGTTCTGCATTTTGCGACGGTCTTTTGAGTAAACTTGAAAGCATAGACTGTGGTGCGCACTTGTCTGGAATTCTCTAGCCTGGCTTCCCCGGGATTGCTTGAGGAGGGGTAGACCCCGGAGTTCGGAATTCGATATTGCCACCACCATGTCCGGTACTGGGCTGCCAACCTTCATTGATCGACGATGTGGTCTCGCACAACTGAGACGGACTTAGTGAGGGCTTCAACTGGCGGAAAACCTGTTGTATGATATAGTTTGTGCTCTCAACGAACCTGGGACCAGAATCAATAGAGACCAATCTTTGAGCCAACAACCATGGGTGACCCGGGTATTCTGCCAGAAAAGGCATCGTTCAGTCTTCAGACTGAAGCATCCTCAATATTCGAGAGCATTCTACGCGATCCCCGTATAGACGTTCCTGAAGAAGTACAAGCCCTCTCCGACAATGTACGTTTCGTGGGAGAAGAGACTCAACCGTTTTATCCCACTCCCTACAAGGCAGCGGAGTCTCAGGCTGGTATACTAGGTCTGGTGGCTCTGTTTGCCCTAGCCATCGCCAAAGATCGTTATGGCATCGTTCAAGAATGTCATATCGACGTGGAACACGCGCTTTTGAACGGTTTGGGTGCCCTTTTTGCACGCAGTGAGGGCGAATGGCTGTCTGGCAGCGCTAAGATGATGGGAGCTGTACAGCGTTGGGATCATGGCAGGACTCGCGAGTTATACCGCCAACTCGCGACCAACATCTACAAAACTAAAGATGGCCGATGGTATTCTCTTCATGGGAATATGGATCCTACCCCTCTACTGAAAATGCTCAATGTGCCTCAACACAATGAAAAGGATCTCTCATGGAGCGGAATTCTTGACATGTACGCTGGAATTATCGGCGACATCGACTCAGAGACCCTTGACAACTGGAGCAATAACGTTTACCGCACACCGGGAACCGTATGCATGGAAAAGGAAGAATTCGAAGCAACCCCACACGTATAGTTCCCTCGTCGGTACAGACCGAAGAATGAAAACTAACCACAGGTATAGGGCCAAGCTATCAAGCACGAACCCTACTACAACCTTCTCTCTCAGCCATACTATACCCAGCCCAAGGTATTTTGGGACAGCATACCTTTCAGTCCCACAGACCGCCGGCCCTTGTCAGGGCTGAAAGTTCTTGATCTGGCTCGTGCCATAGCTGCACCCAGTATCGGGCGTGTGTGCGCAGCCCTGGGCGCAACGGTGATGCGCATTTCGTGCTCCACAAACACGGAATTGCCAATCACCCTGATTGACGGATGCATTGGCAAGACCAGTGTGGATCTCAATCTAAAGACGTTTGAGGGTCGCAAAAAGCTTTTGGAGTTGATCCAAGACGCCGACGTCTTCATCGATGGCTACAGGCCAGCTGTACTGGAGCACCTAGGATTTGGCCGTGACGCTGTGCTGGGTTTGGTCTCCAAGCGTGATCGAGGCATTGTATATTGTCAGGAGAACTGCTACGGCTGGAGAGGGCCTTGGGTCATCAGGCCGGGATGGGCGCAGATTGCAGACACGGTGCGTATACGTTCTCCTTAAGATCCTGACATCCTTCTAACTTTCGATAGGCCTGTGGGATTGGACTGGGTATTGGCCGCTTCAACGGATTTGATGAAGCCCATATCTTCCCCGGTCCAAATGCAGATTACTTGACTGGTCACGCCGGTGCGGCCGCTGTGCTACATGCAATCTACCTCCGTAGCCGTAGAGGTGGCTCGTATGTTACACAATGCTCACTGCTCGTCTCAAATCTGCACATGCAGTCGTATGGGACCTACACAGAAGATCAGCAGAAGGTTATGAAAGAACGAAACAAGGATTTGATTGGCCACATGCGCCACTACGATGAGATTGTCAGCCATGGTAAGAACAGGCATGTGGTTCGAGGCTTTATCGCAGATCGAGGACTTGAGAAAGCGATAAAGGAGAAGTTCTATCAGACGGTTGACGGCCGTCCTTGGGGTCTCGGCGACGTGGAACTGGTCAAATCTGCTTTGGTCTTCCAAGGCGACAATCAAAACCCAGCCATGAGAACTGACTGGACAGTTGGACCCTGTCCTCCTGGTTATCATGAGCCCGACTGGGAGCGGAAGCTGAACCCTCTGTTTGAGCCTATTCAGCCTGCTGGTCATGTTCAGAGCTAGATGCAGGAAACTGGAGGAAGGCGATACTGTAGAGCTAGTAACGCGCGTTAAGTTAAAGCTCTCCTTGCTCATGTGCTCATACTTCGTATCGATTTGCTTTTACAGGTGGCATGGTCAGAACAGACAAATTTCAGCAACACGCTCGAGTTGACCCTCTCCTGTAGCATTTTCATTCCCCTGTCTCTGATTCTAGAAGGAACCGGTCTAAGATGAGGCTCAAAATGGTATGTACTGTACAACGGACGTGGCAATCAGCTGGAAGTATTTTCTCATGCTTCGTAGGGGTGAGCATACGCTTTAAACACTGGAACTGTCATGTAACATATCTCAGGCCATGATAACAACTTGCTGAAACCTCACATCAGCTCCACCAACTATCTCCCACGTTTTCAACATTCTCCTTGAACTCCCTTTGTAGTAACTCCTTCATACTATCGTTGCGATATGCGAAATGGGCCTTGAACGGCTCTGGAGCCATGATCAATCCTGTGCGAACATTTCTAGGATCCACTGGGATGGGTCGACCTTGCGCATCAACTGCCTGCTGAACGTTGAAAATATGGAGAAATCTGCTCGTCATTGTGAACAAGCTTCGTTCAGCCAGGTGCATGCCCACACAGATCCGTTTGCCGCCTCCGTAAGAGAAATGATCTCGCGCAGCGACGTTGGAAGAATTAGCATAAGCAGCAGCTGACAGTGGATGATCTAGAAACCGCTCGGGTCGAAAAGAATCGGGGTCCGAGTATCGTTCAGGGTTCTCGTGCATGGCCCTAGATTTTCCACTCGTATTAGTCACACTTCTGAACAATGCATCGTTGACCTCCAAGTATGGGGAAGGAGTTCGAAGAGGTCATACCATGTATTGATGCGTACGACGGCACCTTTAGGGATACGGTATCCATTCAGCACATCCTCTTTTTCTGACCAATGGGCAAAACCTGTGGAATATAATGGTCAGTAAACATCCGGCAGATATTTGGACCTCAGCATGTTGACGGGTATACATACTCATCGGCGCGATTGTCCTCCACCTGTGTTGTTCCTTTATAATGGCCCTCACATATGGCAGCTTTGGCTCGTCCTCCCATGTAGGAAGCCTGTTTGGCCCGACTATACGGTCAAGTTCTTCGTGCGCCTTGGCCTGAACCTCTTTGTTGAGCAGCAGACCCATGACGACGAAGAGCAAGGAATTGGCTGTGGTATCGGACCCTGCACCCAGTATTTCCATACATGTAGCCGCAGCCTGTGCCTCATCCACATCCGGTTCGTGCTTCACGTGTTCGCGCATGTCGACAGCAATACAAGGGCTGTTTTGACGTTTCTTTGAGTCTTCCAAGGCGTTGCGATAGTTCAACAGGCAGAATTCGTGCTCGTAATCACGAATCCTCTCGAGTTCCATGAGCCATGGCTGCATAAATCGAGGTAGACGTCGAAGGCTCGGGATGGACTCAAAGAGATACTTTCCTGGCGTCATTGCATCGGCAAACTGCTCCATTAACGTCTTGACCTGTACAGCAAATGGATCTGTGGTGGTCTTGACTCGTGTCCCAAATGCGATACTCCGAGCCACAGATAGCGAATATCGGTGGATTTCCTCGGCCATGAGTTTGGGGTCTTCTGCCAGTCTCGAGAGAGTGAGCAAGGCCTCGTTCTGCTGAATCGGGAGGTAAGTGTCGCATTTCCGCTCTGTCAGCACGTTGGCAAATATGCGGCGAAACCTCTGCTCAACTTAGCGCACTTGGTCGTCCTTTAGAGCGTTGGATGAGACATACCCGCCAACGGTTTCCGTATGGCATAAGAACGATCCTCATACCGCCGCTGACCAAGTCTCCCACCTGAGACGGTGGCCGTGATGTGTAATTGGAGGATCTTGAAAAATTAGGAGCCGGAGCGGGTCTGAACAACTCTGGACTCTTACCTTTTATCTAGCAACTCTCTCACAATTGCTGGGTCACTGACAACTATGAAGTGTTGTAGGCCCACCCGATAATGGACGATTGGGCCATACTTTCTATGTACTGGATCAGAGAGCTTTCTTCAGTATGGTACAAGCATTGGCGAACTCACTCTGCCCACAAGGTTAGATAGTCCCAAGGCCTTCCTCTCGGCATATCAAAGGTCATGCCAGTGAAAGGCCATCGCCCTGCTGGACCTGGCGGCAGTGGGAGCTGATGGTTGCGCCTGAACAACGCCAGGCTACATAGAGCGGCAACTGAGAATACGATAAACCACAAGGAGTACATAGAGTATCACAGATTGAGCTTTCGGGCTGTTAAGTGACAAAGCGAATAGATAGGAGTGGCCCAGAAGTCGTACGTATGGACTTATAGCACCGTGCAACTCGTCTCTGCTAGGAGGTAATATGTATCGAGTTCGAGTTGATTGCGAAGTATAGTTCACCGTGTGCAGATCATACACCCCGGGACAACACTGCTCCGAGTTGTGCACAAGCGACTTCGTATTCCGACCTACGCATGGCCCAGACCGGAGCAGGTGTAGCCACATGGTCTTCCGTGCTGCGGGGTGTTTTCTTTCTCCTAACCGTAACGGTCGCAGAACGCCGGTCGGATTTTCCAGAGCTCATAAAGCACTCTGCTACTTTGCCCGAATCTTGCGAGCCAGGACCCCCTCGGCATGATGTCGGCTTGTTGCGAAATCGGCGATCCGGCGCCAGGTAAGCCCGCTAGTTTCCACCTGGAACTGATGCATTGAATGGTACTGACTAGATCATCAGACACATATCGGCCAACTGGTACGTTCACAGTTCTTGGTGAGACATCAGTCTATCTGGTGCAACAGCACATAGCAGGGGATGATTCTTCTCGTCGTGTACTGCTTTTGCTGCCTGACGGATTTGGAATGGCCAGACACAACTTCATTCTAGCAGATAGCTTGAGTCAGAAAGGGTGGGATGTCATTATACCCGACTACTTTGAAGGTTCGTTGCGCCAGCCCAGTAGAGAGCGTCTAATCAGTTGTTGAAGGTGATGGATTGCCCATTCAACTTCTAAAGCGTAATCCCAACCTGTCTATCGATGAACACCCATGGTCGGAAGAAGACAAGGACAAACTACGAAACCTGGACTTTCCTACTTGGACTAAGCGCCATGACCATTCGCGAGTGTCCGAGATACTCGGAAGCTTGCTGAAGGAACTCGACGTCCAATACAAAGGGTGTCCTCGGTTTGGAGTTGGCTATTGTTTTGGAGGCAAACATGTCTTGAGACTCGGTAAGCAGGGTCTCAAAGCTATCGCCGCTTTTCACCCAAGCTTTGTCGAAGAACAAGATCTCGAGGGCGTTCAAGCGCCAGTCTACATTGGCCTGGCGGGAGCAGACACGATGGTCCCGGCGTCTCTGCACGATGACCTCATGATGTGGAGGGCAAATGGCATGGAAAGAATGGTACCTTTTGAGATGGAAGTGTACCCAGATATGCCGCACGGTTTTGCGGCACGGCCGGAAAGTGAGAATCTCATTATACGCGCTCAGTATTGTAAGGCCTTGGAGAAAGCCGCTGAGCATCTAGCAAAGTACAGCGAGACTTGATCTATCACACATATGAGATACTAAATAGTCTGACTGACGATACAACAATATAACAACGGACATTGACGAGTTCCTAGCATATCCCCACCTCTAGGATGAAACTAGATCGCCATAACCCTTGCTTTAGTCGATACTGATCTTTGGCTCCGAGATGGGCTTCTCGATGACTTCCCATTGCTCCCATCGAATTTTTCTCAGCATCCGTCGGAACTGCCACCATGTCCATGGCATCGTGTATGTGTTCCAACCATCATCGTTCTTGTAATAGGTCACACAGGATGCATCAGACCAAACGAATACGCCTGACTGTCCATGCTGAACTGCTGTATTATAGTTTCGTTCCGCGTCTCGATTTGGATGCACAGCGAGCTTCTTTCCAACTCGAGCTCGCTCGACGATTTCTCGAACGAACTTCGTCGCCAAGCGGGCTTGCTGCTCCCAGTTGTCTTGTTGAGACGACCAAACGTGTGCTGAGTTGGGTCCAAAACAGTAGAACATATTGGGAAACCCACTCGTAGCAAGGCCGTACAGTGCTTCGGGATGCGCCCGCCACTTCTTCTGGAGGTCAACGCCTCCAATGCCGGTCACCTTCTCGTGCTCCAAGAACTGCGCAACGTTGAAGCCCGTCCCGTAGATGATGACATCGAACTCGCGCTCTACCTCCTTGCCGTTATCCCTGGAGATGACGCCGGCCTCGGTGTACCGAACAAGATCCTCGCGCAGAACGGTGCAATTCGGTTTTGCTAGCGCCGGGTAGAAGTTGTCTAGGCGAAGCGGCCTCTTGCAATAATCTACCAACATAATTAGTGGCTGGTTCAAAGCTCATTGGCGGCAAAGTGAACCTACACTTGGAATGTGGGCGCACTTTGTCCCTGAGATTGGGGTCCGAGATTTGTGATTCCATGAACTTGACCGCTGCTTCAGTCATTCTCTCATTGGTAGGATCTCCTTTCATAGCCATGCGACGTCCATACCACATCATACGCAAGTTCATACGCATTCTGAAAAGCCATGCGAACATTGGCACCCACTTCCATGCCCACTTTGTCAAACTGGTTCTCGTTAGTGGCCAAAGCCTTCAACACGGGCTAAGCGCGAAGAAGTATACCTAGAGTACGCAAAGTCGTTGCGGGGCACACAGACAGGTGGTGTACGCATATAGACCGTCAACTGATCCGTCTTGTCAACAATCTCGGGAATGATCTGGGCTGCACTTGGTCCACACCCGATGATAGCGACTCGCTTGTCAGTGAGGTCGTAGTTGCTGTTCCAATGAGCAGTGTGCCAGGTGATCCCTTTGTAATTCTCACGGCCCGGGGTGTTGCCAAATTTCGGGCGATCGAGTGAACCGACACACTGGCAGATAACTTCAGCAATCCAGTGCTCCTTCTCGCCAGAGGCTTTGTTTATGATGCCAACATGCCACACCATACGATCTTCGTCCCATGTGCAAGATTCAACAAAGCTACCGAACTGAGTGGCCTTGTCGAGACCGTACTTCAGCGCAAAGTTTCCGTAATATGTCTGGATATCTTCTCGTTTCGCGTAAAAGTGCGTCCAGTCTGGTATATCTCAGTAAACTCCTGCCTAAATTGTCTTTCGAAGCCACTTACCCCTGTTGATCTCGTAGGAGGTTGTGTATATCATGGCAGGGACGTCGCAAGCGCAGCCTGGGTACACATTCTTCTTCCAGACCCCCCCGTAGTCGTCAAGGGCATCGACGATCTGGATGTCGCTGAGTGTAACGCAACCATCTCTAAGAAGTGTGCTCGCTTGTTGAATTCCATTGATACCTGCGCCGACAATAATGACTTTCTTGCGCCGAGAAATAGGCACGGAGCTGGCATGGTCCACATCTACTGGTATGTTGGAGGTTGCGCTGATCCCAATACACTCAGCGTATTCGTCTCCCCCGATTATGCCCGCATCGAATGTTTTCACAGGTTGAGGATTGGTTGAAGGTCTTGCGGATCCCCCGAAATCGTCGCCATCTTTTGCATGCATCCTGGTTGTTGAAAATCGATGGTGGTATGATATAGGTTCGAATGGATAGATTTTTGTCGTTGATTGAGATTGTATGGCTTTTGAGACAAATGCTACTTTTACGACCGCCGTATCTTCACGAGCGCCGCATCTCGGCCCCCTCGCATTGACAATCTACCCCAAGAAGGCGTTTATCCCCTGCATGACAACCTAATACGGAGAACAGAGAAGCCTCGGAGATATAGGTGGCGCAACCACTCCGAGCCCCGTATTCCGACCTCTCGGTGACATTAACATCCGACTTAGGGATTAGTTTGTTCGTGTAGGCGACAGCTGCGAAAGGAAGAAAATATCAAGCGGAGGCGTAGTATTAAGTGTTTAACCCTTACAAAACCACTTGAGGTTACAGATTAAATGGCATGTCAGTGAGACAAGACCAGCCTGGCTCACGGGTTTGCGGCTTACCTGGATGCACTGGCTTACAACCGTGCTGACCATATTGGGCACATAACCACCAACCTGACCGTCAATCTCGCCACTTTGGACAAAGGCTGTCTCGAAGTTGTCCCTGGATCACACAAAGTGGGAATTCCCCTCGTTATCGGCGGCCATATTACACCTGAATAGGAAAGCTCAATTTCAGTGGCTGCCTATGCCGCTTGCTCCAGGGGATATGACGATCTTCGGCAGCCATCTCGCACATCGTACCGGGCCTAATCTTACGGCTGGAGCACGGAGTACGGCGAATGCAACATTCCGAAAAATCCAATGGCGAGAGGCTACGAGAAAAGTATTACGATGACAGAAGGAAAGATTTTTCTCCGGAGCCTAAGAGAGTAGAAGATCGTGATTATGGGGTTGGGTGGGAACGCTATGCTTTTGCTGCTCCATTCTCGAATCATAAGCTCAGTGGTGGAAAGTCAGCAGTGACGACGGTAAGTTGAGGTCGAAGCATAGTCTATCAAGAAGTGGCCAGCCTCGATCGGCAAGGAGTTATGGCTATGCTTCCTCGATCCTAGTCCAGTGGCAGTTGCGTTCTCGTTCTATAATGATGGTAGACAACACAAATGTGCTTTCGCAGCGACCAAATGTTCATCTATTCCGACCCTCCTGCGTCGTTCGCAGCCAGAGGGAAGTTACGTAGTTGTCCGTTGGCCTTGAGCTCGTGGCTCGGCCTCGCTAATCTGGACCGATCTATTCCCCTCTTGTGCAGAGTGACAACCGTAAGCCATCCGTAGGTCAGGAACTCGCGAGTCATGGTCATGTGCAGCGAGAGACTTTGTGTGAGGCTTTGGGCTCTGACACCCGCACTGCTACCTTTTACCAGTAGTGATAACGGAGTGCAGGGGGCGAAGACCGCGTAGCTACCGAAGTCATTCTTCGCCGACATAGCTATGTGTCAAAGTAGACCTTCCTGACTTCACTGTGGCCTGTTGAAATCTGACGCGTGAGACACACTCTTTGAGAAGGCACAGCTAGGTTGGCCCCGGTGGAGATCATGAGATTGGGACAGTGGCAAACGGTGCAACGTGGTGCTCCTCTCGCGATGGCCGGCCAGTAGCTGTGACGGGTTGAGGTTGCGAAAAGCCGTGAAGCAGGTGTCAAGGCTCAGCATGCGCCTTGGTTCGGGTCGCGGGACCGAGCACGTGCTCTAGACACGGCGCTGGGTGGATGTCGCTATATGCCGTCAGCCCGCCTAAAAGATGCGAGACCAGAGGCGTGAGCGTCTGGCGGGATAGATGGGGCCCGCTGACAGTTTGTCCGCACCACTAGATGCCTGGTATGCTCCCAGAGGACGCCGGGAAGGCGATAGTTGCGCGGACATCGATTTGACGCTAAGCCGGAAGCGGAGTTAGTCGTCTTGATTGGGTCTCTCCAAATCATGCTGTACCGAGAAATCGCTTGGGTTGCCACCATGCGCTAAACGTTTGAGCGAATTATGTCGTGTCGTCTATCGCTGTCACTGAAGCCCGCTGTCCACCCTCGCCGCTCGATCCGAGAATGTCTTCTGGCAAGTGTGTACAGGACGGGAGAACGGGAAGACGGAACAGGGGTGGGCGAGCACGTGGGCGCGGGGCGGCCTTGCTATGGGACGAGATAAGTTCAGCCAAGAGCGCGCCAAGTCGCCTTCCACCCCGCCAAGGTTGATCTTATAGTTGCTTAGCGCTGGTAGCCCGCCTCGCACTGCATTGGATGGATATGGTTGGCCGAAAAGTTTCTTCTGACGGTGGGCGGAAGGCCCGCCTGCACAAAACTAGCGTGAGATGATGGTCAAGAACCACAAGAGTCGTTCAAGCAAGTGCTTATATTGCCAGGGCGTCGCCTTGCGATGGACAAGTCTCTCAGCATCTGCTCCTCGACACTGCCTACGAGAGCAAGACATCTTGAAGCATTATCTGGATCTCTGAGTCACCATGGTTCTCTCGGACTACACCTACGTATTTGCCCTCGGCACAATTTTTGCGCTCTTGGAGGCCTTCAACAATGGAGCCAGTGAGTAGTCCAACCGACACGTCTCATAGGCGTGGTAGCCCGACACTGACATTCTGTCTCCCTTGCAGATGATGTCGCAAACTCCTGGGCGACCAGTGTCTCTTCCCGATCCATTACGTATCGCATGGCCATGGTGTGTGCCTTCTGCTTCGAACTTATAGGCGCCCTCACAGTGGGCGCACGCACTGCCTCGACGATCAAGAACGGCATCATATCCCCAGAGGCATTTGAAGGCAATGCCGGCGTCCAGCTTCTTGCTTTTGCCTGTGCTGCCTGCGGCGCTGGCGTTTGGGTGATGTACTGCAGTATCAACAACATTACTGTATCGTCAACCTACTCACTTGTGTCGGCACTCGTGGGTGTTGGAATCGCGACTGTAGGCACCCAGGGTGTCACCTGGGGCTGGAATGGTGGAAATGGTGTCGGTGCCATCTTCGCCGGTCTCCTTATGGCCCCCGTGATCTCTGCTGGCTTTGGAGCGATTATCGTGAGTTGTCGCTGTGCAATCTACACAGGCAACCTGCTAATGTCCTTAGTTCATGCTCATCAAGCTCGTTGTCCACATCCGAGCGAATCCCGTCCCCTGGGCGGTGTGGACTTCTCCTTTCTTCTTCCTGATCGCTGGAACTGTCTGCTGCCTAACTATTGTCTATAAGGGATCGCCAAAATTGGGACTCAACGAGAAACCCGACTATTGGGTTGCCGGTGTTACGCTTGGCACCGGCTTTGCGTTGTTCCTGCTTGCTTGCCTCTTCTTCCTACCATTTGTTCATGGGAAGGTAATCAAGAAGGACCATACGCTGAGGTGGTGGGATGTTTTCCAGGGACCTCTTCTGTGGAGACGCCAAGCCCCAGAAGACCCCTCGACAGCCAAAGTTCCTAACTTCGCGGTCATCCAGCACAACAACGACGACGACTCGGATTCCACTGGCGGCGATACTGATGTCGTCAAGTCGAAGGGCCAGGACGACAGTGTTCTCCCCACCGAGCCTACCGGCGCGAGTGCCCAGGAGAAACGCGCCATTCAGCAGGAGGTCACTCCTGAAGACTACAAGAGGATGATAAAGGAGAACACTGCACGCCACCATGCGAACATTCGCAAAAAGAATAACCCACTGGGCTGGGCTATGCGCGTGTTGCACAACAACCCTATGGGTGCCGGAGCTATCTATGAGCCTCAAAATATGAAGGCTTTCCTCATTAGAATTCCCGCAATGTGTGTGGTTGCACTGCTTTATGGTACCCACTATGACATTCACACTGCACAAGTGGGTATCGAAGGCACGCCTGACGGCCGTCGCATGGCTCGCGTATATGCCCACGCCCCGAAGTACTCAAATGAGGTTGAGTATCTCTATTCATTTGTCCAGATTATCACAGCTTGCACAGCTTCGTTTGCACACGGCGCTAATGACGTTGGCAATGCTGTCGGTGTGTGGGCTGGTATGTACGCTGCATGGACTACAGGGAGACCAGCAGCCTCGAAGGAGGAGGTCCCTCTCTGGCAGATTGCCGTTATTGTCCTTACGCTGTGTATCGGCTTCATTACTTACGGGTATAACATCATGAAAGGTAAGCCCTTTGTTTCTCGATCAGGAATATTCTCATGCTAACGGTATCTATAGTGATGGGCAACAAGATCACCTATCATTCGCCGAGCCGTGGCTCCTCTATGGAACTTGGTGCTGCTATCACTGTCCTGATCTTCTCGCAGTACAAGCTACCGGTGTCCACTACTATGTGTATTACCGGAGCTACTGTTGGTGTTGGACTGTGTAATGGAAGCATTAAGGCTGTTAACTGGCAGCGTGTTTTCCTCGTGCTTTTGGGCTGGTTCATTACTGTTCCTGCCGCAGGCCTCATTGGTGGTTGCACTATGGGTCTTGCTCTTAACACTCCCCACTTCTAAGAGTGGATCACACTCGTCCAAAGAGCTTGAGGATTGACGGGAGGCCGAAGGATACTCTCTTTGGAATAATTTAGCAATAATTTGCCTCTAATGGCCATACATAGATCGAAGTGCTTGTGGGGGTGCTCATGTGGTATCTATAGAAACTTTGTTAGAAGCATGCCCCATATTAGTGAGCGATAATAAGCGTGTGCTATTTTTCAGCAGTCCGGGGACGAAGCGCTCAGAGCAACCGCATTGAACGCGTCATATACGACCGTTATACCAGATATATCGCCAATCTCTGGTAGACCTGAGAAGTTTACAACTTGTGCGAATGGCAGACTCGACGGCTCGTGGCTTTGAGAACTAGGAGGTTCGGGAGAAAAGACTCTTGAGAGTCTCAGTGTCGTCTTTGACTATGTTCTCATGACCTTTAGAGCATTTTTACAGGTCGTTGCTCGCTTTATGACCAGCTCAGTATCTTAAGCACCATGACCAAGAGCTAAGAAGTCCTGTTCTGCTGGATTTGTAGGTTATGTTAGGTGGATCATTAATGCTTTCGCAGACGCTTGGACCAGAAGTGCAGTCCATGGCTTTGTTAGAAGTGGAATTCGGTTGACAGCGAAGTGTAAATCGGGCATCTGTTTAGAATCCATACCCCCATATCCCCTTAGCGCTCCTAAAGTTCCGATGTCTACAAGCTCGGTAGCACTTGCTTTTCTGATTGTGGATGTCATAATGATAGCACGACGATTCTTTACCCTCCGCGGCAAGCCACAGGTGATTCTCGTCCACAAGAATCAGGAGGTCGGCGAGCATGAGAGAGCCGAGATGCCATGGTATACCGATACATGGAAACCAACTCTTTAAACGTGACGGAAGGTCTGGCGAATGGCTTTGCAAGTCCTCTTGAGCGTACGAATCTAGCTTCGATCGGCGATGAAGCACGACTGATGAAGCTCAACCGCGTGGAACTGCAGGTTCCGAGTCATGCCCACTTCTTTCGTCAGAAAACATAAATGGCCGCTCATTACTTTAAGTCTAGGTCTGGAGATCTTCTGCTTCGACTAAAAGGTATGGCACGGGCTGAGTGCACTTCTGAACATGTGTGTAGGAAGGAGAAATCGCCGTTACTCTTAGACAGGCAGCCTGCCTACCGAGGCTTCTATATGTCCTCGCGAGGGCAGTTCGTTGTGAGATAGATATTAGGGCTCGGCAGAATCGTCCGGAGTATATTGATATTGCATGAACGGTGTGGCGATTTTTCGACGGGATCTGAGTACTTCTTTCGAAGCTAGACACGTATCGTGTGCTGCTACAGTGAGCATTGTTCACATGTGCAATCGAGTTCAAGACGAAGCTCGCTGCAAGGAGCGCTATGGCTTGAAAAGCGCTCTGCTCCCTACACACCCGTACGGTAGTCTGTCGCGCTCGAAACTAGTTGCCCACAGCACGTTCCCTCGCAAGTATCTCACCCTCCTTCTTGAAGTTCCTCGCCGACACTTTGCGATCAAAAAGCGTGTCTAACTCTTCCGGGGTGCGTTGCTTCATCTCTGGAAGCCGAAAGTATGCCCAGGCAAGCAGGCAGATAGTGCTCACAGCGGCTGGAAAAGCGGCTTTACCCTTGAGATTGCCTTCGGACGGGTTGAGCATGTAAGGTGCCGCGATAACGTTGATAAAGTTAAGGAAGTAGTAAGTATTTCTGCCTAGACAGATGGTCTTGACACGCAGCTGGCTGGCGCCGACCTCTGCGGCAATAATGTAGGGAATGGGGCCGATAGTTGTGCCGTAGCATAGGAACCAGAACATTAGTAGGCCTGCCTGCACCCAACGCGTTGTGTCGTTGGAGCCGAGCTCCAGAAAACCAACGGTCCACATGATTGGCACCATGAAGCAGAGGCCTGTCATGTAGATGGTACGTCGGCCAAAATAGGTCTGCGTGAACCAGGAGGACACGGTGCCAATGAAGGCAAGTGAGAAGTTGCCGAGCGCGAGCTTGAAGGCGTCGCCCGCTGGCACGCCCGCAAGAGTGAAGAAGTAGGTAATGTAGCTTTGGATCGAGAACCCGGGAAGAATTTGGCATCCCCAGGCGATCATTGCAATCTCGGTGCGGCGCAGGTTAGTTCCCTTGAAGCATTGAATATACGAGGTGCCGATGTTGAGACTGCGCTCAAGCTCGATTGTGTGTTGCATCATGGCAACCGTATTGTGGTTGTTGATAGCCCCAGGTGGTGCTGTAACGATACGGTCGAGAGTCTTTTCTGCCTCTTGAGGTCTGTTCTGCTTCACTAACCACCAGGGAGACTCAGGCGCATAGTATGTGGCGATGAACAATGGGAGAGGCCAGAGCCACTGGATACCGAAAGGGATCCTCCAGGCCCATTCGTTTGGAATCGGAAGGAACGCCCGCATCACGCCTGTTCCAAGCAAGTTGCCCATGACCCAGCAGAGGTTCACGTAGGTTGTTAGGTAGCCGCGGAGTTTGAGCGGGCATACCTCTGCCGCATAGGCAGGGACCCCACCAGCGAAGAAACCCCATGGGATAGAACTGACTATAAGTCAGAGATTGTATGACAAGGTAAGGTCGAAAGTCACATACCAGAGAAACTCGCCAGCTAGCAGCATGCCAGGAGATTTGGCGAAGAACGAAATGAATATAGTTCCGTTGAGGAAGAACAGAGAGACCATAATGACTCTTCGAGGCCCGAAGCGATCCGCAAAGTAGCCATTGGAGAACGTGCCGATAATGAGACCAACAACCGTCGCCAGAGAGATACCTAACTGCCACCGTGCTGGAACGGAGTAGTTGCCGTTAGGGAGTTGCTCACCAAAGCTTCGCTGGAACTGGGGGAGGCCGTATGCACTATTAACGATCATCATGTCGTATGCCTCCATAATAGTCAGCAGGGAGATACAGAAGCACCACGCTACGGCCTTCTTGTAGTAAGAGAAGGCCTGGCGGAGGGTGATGCTGGTCTCGACATTGGTGCCCTCTTTTGCCGCATCGATTTGGGGAGCGATCTTCTCGAGGTGATTGCTCTCGCCTTGTTCAAGGGCCAGGACCATGCTGTGGGATTCTTTTGCCATGGTTGGAAGGTTGTTGTGCATCTACGCAAAACTTGCGTCTTCCGGGCGCAATTTATATTCCCTAAAAGCTTGGAGAAAGGGCAGCTGGCTTAGGGTCCACATGATAGTGGCGTCCTCATGGTATATCGCGACTTACCACTAACGTGGGGCAAATTGCCTCCAACGTGGAAGACGGGGAAGAAGAAGAGGAGAGTGGGGGGGAGGCGGGCGGTAAGCTCGCTCTGTCATTACACAAAGAGCTGATTATCGTGGGCATCTGGAGCATAGTCTAATGACATTACATTTTACTTCCTCAAGGGCGAGGGGTTACGACCAATAAAAAGTATTCCCGACTACCGATCCCGAGATGCGAGAACACGCTATGGGTTTGTGATTCCTGGCATTGCGCGCTAAGCGGCCCAGGATTTGGGGTCGGCAAAGGCCAAAACCCACACTACGATGCAGCACTGTGCGGTTTCGAAGCTAGTGAGTAATATATTTTTAAAGTAAAGAGATTGATCTGGACTCATGACGAGTTGTATGTGACTATAACCGTGCTAACGTGGAGCCACCGGAGCAAGCCTAACCACAACTCGACCAACAGGTTGGACATGTCCGGTCTCGCTTGAAGAGAGAGGCACAGCTTGCTTGGCTGACCCGCGGGCAACAAAAGCTAAAAGACGGCTGCATTCTCCAAATCAAATGGGTAGACGTTTGCATTCTCATCGTTCTCTGCTGCGACAGACTCGCGACAAAAGCCTCTGAACATGGCACGCCCTAACATCATCTTTATAATGGCTGACGATCATGCCTCCAAGTCTATCAGCTGTTACGGTGCAGGCATCAATTCTACGCCTAACATCGATCGAATAGCAAATGAGGGGATGAAATTCAATCACTGCTATGTCACCAACTCCATTTGCACGCCATCTCGGGCTGCTATATTGACAGGCACCCACAATCACGTCAACGGCGTGATGACACTTGATAGTAAGATCAATAAGCGCCTCCCGAATGTTGCCAAGCACCTAAGGACTGGGGGTTACCAGACGGCTATGGTAGGAAAATGGCATCTTGGTGAAGGTGAAGACCATGTACCTACTGGCTTTGACTATTGGTCGGTGGTACCTGGCCAAGGCGAATATTTTGATCCCGAGTTCATTGAGCCATCTGGTACCCGTATTGAAGAAGGATACGCGACAGATATCATTACCGACAAGAGCCTCAACTTTATCAAAACTCGGGACAAAAGCCGTCCATTCTTCCTCATGTGCCACCACAAAGCTCCCCATCGTTCCTGGGAGTGCGATGAGAAGCACAAGGATCTCTACAAGGATCCTATTCGCCTCCCTGACACTTTCACCGATGACTACAAGAATCGTGCGCGCGCTGCGGCTGTGGCTAAGATGCGTGTCGAGGACGATCTCACCTACCTAGACTTAGGTCTCGCACAGCCAGATGGCGGGCGGCGGCGGGTTGGGGAGAAGATGTTGCAGGCCTGGTGGTTCAACGACCGCAAGATCCCGGCCCCAGCCGACGTTACCAAACTCAAGCTGATCGACAAGGATGATGGTACTGTTTTCAGGTTTCAGACAAAACAAGAGCTCACTGAGTTCAAGTTCCAGCGTTACATGCAGCGCTATCTGCGTACAATTCAAAGCGTTGATGATAACGTCGGCCGTGTACTCGACTTCTTGGAGACTGAAGGCCTGGCTAAGGACACGATTGTTATCTACACGTCAGACCAAGGCTTCTTTCTTGGTGAGCATGGTTGGTTTGATAAGCGCTTCATGTATGAAGAAAGCTTTCAGATGCCTTTCCTTATCCGATACCCGCGCGAGATCGCCCCAGGGTCTGTCTGCAACGATATCATTTGCAATGTCGATTTTGCTACCACTTGGTTGGATCTAGCTGGCTTGCCTGTGCCTTCGTATATGCAAGGTGTTAGCTTCCGACCTCTCTTGACCGGGGAGACGCCCAAGGACTGGCAGCAAGTTGCCTATCATCGCTACTGGATGCATCGCGACATTATTCATGAAGCTTATGCACACTATGGTGTAAGGGATCAGCGGTATAAGCTAATTTACTGGTATAACGAGGATTTTGGAATTGAAGGCACCCGAGAAGGGGGGCAGGAGAAGGAGTGGGAGCTGTTCGATTGTCAGGAAGATCCTTTAGAGCTCTTCAACTGTTACCACGACCCAAGGTATGTAGCAGTGGTGCGGCAGATGACAGCCATGTTGGACGCAAAGATGGCGGAGATCGGTGACGAGCCTGTTCATGCTCCACAGGCTCAGGTTATCGCGCCGAAGCTGTAGCATGGTTGATATATTTTTCTTATCGGCCACTAAATTCTGAATTCATCTGACTGACCTATGAGCTTTTCCCTCTTCCGCTCACCTAGTAGAGATCTGAAAGCTGCAAATAACCAAATGGGTCTAAACTTCCCTGCCAACCCATCCAAGGATCAAACGAAAAGTCAGGATCGTTCTCTTCGTCTACCCCAGTGATCACTTCATCTTCGACAGTGTTTTCGGTTTGTGGGGATGTTTCATGGTGGTCCGCGTCCGGAAAATCTGCTTGCCGCAGCAAGCTGTGGATCGAGAGTTTCGGGACCGTGCTGCCAGCGACTGCCAGTTCGCTCGGATCGTGTGTATCAGTCTCGATTCTGTCATTTAGGTGTGGGCGAGTTGGATTCGAGTATAGTTTCCTGGCCAGGCGCTCGAGATCGCGAACCATAGGTTGTGCGGTTTTGGACAGCGGATAAAACACCTTGAAGAAATGCAGGCATTGATTGACCTGAATTATCGCCTGAGGAGTACCCTGGGGCCCGGTTACAAATGCAACGATCTGGGCGGCGTGATAAAGGCATACGGCGACATCGAGATCATATAGTTGTAGATGACTATACTGCCTAGTAAAGTCTTCGGCCATTGCGATATTGGAGTAGGCGTACTGTACTGCTCGTTCTGCCCGAGTAGACAGGAATTCAGGGTCGAGTTCGGCGAGCATCGTGTCGGAAGCCGCCTCTTGGTAGCCTGCGAGAAAGAGCCTGAGCAGATCGCAGTAGTTTTGATTCAATGCCATGTTAACTGTTAAGAGCTGCGTTTGATTCGCTGCACGGCAGAGTCGGGACGCCCAGTATCGATCTTCGTCTCGCAGGAGACCGTCTATCTCAGCTAGATTTCTCTCCATGTCCGCGGTCGCCGCTATAAGTTCAGCAGAAGTTCGTAGTGAGATACTGGGGGAAAATCTGCAAGCATTTAGGGTTGTGAGCAGGGAGTGATTGATATAGGCTCACATCATAATATCCTCACGTGCCTGCCTTAGCTTGATGGCAAGCCCAAACAAATCAAGTCGGTTATGGTAGAGAAAACCGTGCTGAAAACACTCATCCGACTGCGCAAGCTCAAGATGGATCGCCTCGCGTCGACATACATTAAGTTCGGGAACACCAAACGCAAAATTTCCCTCCATCGATGATATCGACCAGACTAGCCTTCGGCGCAGCTCCTGTGCTAGCCTAGACAAAGACGGTTTCTCGTAGTTCAGTCGCATGGCGAAGACAGCCCGAGCGGCTATTGCCACAAGCATAAAGGCCTGTCGGAAGTTGCCTGTCTCGATCCTGTATCGTACAAACAGTACAAGGGATTGGAGGATGGGCAGTGATAGAGAATCCAATCTGGTCAAGATAAGCCGCTCCAGGTCTTTCGCCCAGTCTTCCGCATGTGCTGGGACGGTCTCAGGATCTCTATGCAATGTTGCAGTAATCAGGCAGACTGCCAGCTGCAGACAACCGGCAGCTACAGGATCGCTGATGTGCTTTAAGCTGTCCCGCTGAATAAAACTATACCAGAAGCTGGGATAAACCGTGGAAAAGTATTGGTTGATCAGTCTCGTGCTGGTCGTTGTGTCTGGTAAATTCAGTCCGCTTAAGGTAGTGATATTGCTCCGTTCGGTAGAGATTGTAGTTTGCACTGAGCTAAGTCCTTCTGCAGTATCCAAGACTGGGCCGGAGGTGGAGATGTCTGGCGCAAAAGGGAGAAGATCGTAGGAGCTTTCCTTAGCTTTTCCCCTGAAGGGCGGATAGACGCAGTGTTTGTTGCGATCCAAGCAGTTCAAGCAAGGCGCCACAGTCCCTTGACATTTGATTTTCTGGCTGCGACACTCCAGGCAGGCTCGCTCTCTTCTTCTTTCCGGTACAGAGATTGAGGGTTCCAAGCGTAAATCTGTATCGCTAAAGCTACAAGCGAACTTTAAGCGCCGGCAATTCTGGCATAGGGGATGGAGCAAGTCGCACTTCACTTTCCTGGCTTTGCACTGGGCGCATGCACTAGTAGGCTTTCGAGGCATTTCGAGTACGAGAGGTATCAAAGACTAGTCTTATTAGATAAGGTGTTATACCGTCGGAATATCGACTTCTGGGGTTCTTGTCGATCACGTGACCTCCCGCCGCTTTTGCTCAGGCACCTTCTGTCCCGGCTCAGCGCTGCCTGTCTGGCTCACCCTGAGAATGACGCCAAGCAGGGGCCAAGACTCAGATCCTTCAGATTGGCAGGTTTAAACGGAGACCCAAAACGGGACTGCAGGTGCCCGCAACTGGAACCCAGAAGTATTCATCGATGGGCCTCTGCCACGACCAGCCCGCCTACCTGGAAAACCTCCTTTCAATCTCTGTATGCCTGACACCGGCAAGGCGTAATTTCTCCCACTATCGTGGAGAGGTTCCCATAAATGGTCCACGGCTCTCCCTTAACTGCTCAAGCATCCTTCCAACCACACTCACATCCAACAATCACCCCGTCTTCTTTAGGTACACAGTCAGCAATTAGAGCTCTGTACAACCCTGTGTGTCCATCATTAATACATAGTCATATATCTCTCCCTCCCTGCTTCTAGCCCAGAATTTCAACGGTATCCATAATAGGCACCAACCAGACCAGAAGATATTGGAAGGGGATGAACCTGGAAAAGCAAATAGAAGCGGCCCTGATAGATGTTCTCTCCGAGGATAGGTCTACAATTGACAGCAATCCTGTCCATATGGCGCTTGCCCCAAGCATAAAGCCTTAAATATGCGGCAATGATGGACCTTTGGAATGTGTATGAGTTCTGAGTCAAAGCAGGCATACACTATCATGTTAACAAGTATTAGATACCAGAGGAAATACCCGGGCTCCGATCCACGCAAGATGGAAGACATGAAACATTTCGCTGAGGCAGTTGGACATTCAACTCCTGGTAGACTGGACAAGGAAAAGAAAAAGGCCACTATAAGATCAATTCGCAATAAGATTCGGAAGTTCATGTCACAATGGCAGCGGGAAACAAATCTAGCCATTCTGAAAGACGTTCATGACTCAATGGCATCTATAAGTCATAGAAGCGAGTTAACCAAAGTACTAGCTGACTATTCCAACCCGTAGTACATCAAAGATGTGCTTAGATATAAAATTCCTCTATTAATAGAGGAGAAAGCGCCAACATTTCTAACAATAGAGAATTACGTTATCATGGAGGAGCATTTCTAGCTGAATAACTATCATAATTACATCCATGAAGGGAGCCAAGTACACTCCAGTGCCTTGTTAAAGATGCACTGTTACACCTCAGCAAGACTGCAGGAAATATGTAAGGCAACATACAAGGTCAGCAATCCAAATCAAAAAGAAGATCTCACTTTACGTTGAGTGCTGACTTTCCTGACAGGATCTCACCTGTATAATTGCCTGGAAAGATGGAGAGCCAGAGATCAAGCTGGGGTTTAAAAGGGAGTATATAAAAGGCATGCAAGACACGCCTAACAAGTGAGTTAAAAACCCGTCACTGCTGGGAGCCTTTACTGACACATCATCAATTTATAGACCAAAACACCCACTATATGAGAGGTTGCATCCCGTACCTCCTCTGCTTGCCAACAGCGTCCTGTTCCTACTCACTGTCTTTATATCCGCTGGCACTTTCTGAGACTATAGAACTACTAAAGCTGTCCTTGATGCCAGACCACTGCTGAAGAGGAAGTTCCGTATCATGGAGTGGGCTGGCTCTGTGCTAGATGATCTAGTATTTCTGGAGATGTCTATAGATGGACTAACCAAGAAGGTCAAGAATGAGACTGTATGGAGCGACTAATGTTCGAGTTGGGCGAAATGGGCAGGCTTCATTGGAGGGATGGGTCTCCACGCTGCACGCCGTGAAGAGTTTATCAAGGTGGACAGTAGGACGTGCTTTGGCTGCAGTTAATCTTCTTTATACTAACCTGGTGTAGATGGCAGTTACTCACTGGGCCAGGTCATGAAGTTTGCTGCACACAGAAACTCAAAGACTCTAGTTGGCCACTATCTAGATGATATGAGTAATATTGACGGAGCGGCAGCCTTCTTGGACCTAAATCCAAGGCGGGATCTTACAGAGGACTTTCGCACTGCGTCTGTGAAAAGGGATCCAGGCCTTACGCACTCACTCCCAGCCAAGAACCTGGAGGACTTGAAGTATCGCCCCGACTTTCTCGAGCTTTGCGAGCAGGTCAATGATCTCTCAGTCCAGATTACAATGGCCGTGACCGACGAGGCTCGAAAAGAACTTAATGCTCGGCGCCGCTATGTTTATGATCAACGGCAAAAAGCTTATTGATCAAGAGCTTGCGTGTTGCTGCAGAATCCAAGAGCGCGTTCATACCGAAATACGTGAGGCACACGACAAAGGAGAATGGCACCGAACATAATTTGATCGTGTTGTCGGCCACATGGTTCCTGAGCGTGATCGTCTTGCCCACGTTCTACCACTGGCCCTCCCTGTAGAATATAGTTAAGTCGGCTTAGAGAACCATAGATCCGCTCTTGCACAATCTCTCCTCATGTGGCTCATACAATGGCAGCCATTGAGAAGGAAGCCTTCTCCGACTTAATTTTCCTCCAAACGAAGTGTGGTGAGAAGCTGAATGAGGCACCAACAACCCACCATTCTCAAAAACCCCTCACTCTAGAGCGAAGAGAGCAAGTACCTTAAACGTCGGTAGACCTACCTCCCCATGTTTTCTTCTTCGACCATTCTCTTGAAATGGACAACCTTGACATTCAACTCCAACAACTTGATTAGGACAAGCCACCTTCCCGTCTGACATATGACGATGTTGGAGAACTCCTTAAGAAAGATCTTCAGCGTGCTCGTCTAGGAGCCAGACTAGAGCCCCATGATGTGGTCCTTTTGCAAGCAGAAGCCTACTGCTCAAGATGGGGCTTACCTCTGCTTGCGGCGAAGAACTTTGCAACATTGGCTCAAGGATATCTGGAGTTTTCGTTGGGAAGTCCCCGAACTAGGGATACTTTGGTGAGTGGGGCTATGTCCTACTGTACATTATTGGTCAAAACACTACCGTACCTGCTGTAGAAGACGCGAGATCTAGCTCCTTCGCCCTTCCTCTACCGGTGAGATAGAACAGCTGTTAAGGATCGATGTCTAGCATCGGAGAGAGGCTCACATTGATTGTTGTCTATGAGCGGGATCATCGTAATGCGTGCCACAGAGGGCCTGTCGGTGGCTCTTCGCTTCACAACGTGTCGAGAGCTGATCGAGCCCACTGTAGCCGCCAACTAGGCTTATCAGGCATGAATCATTGTCGCGAAGAAATACCTTGTAGCTGTTGAGGGTCGTCGCGCCCAGCAATAAGGGGATTTCCTAAGTGCGTACTTAGGAAATATTGGGGGTCGGCACCTTGTGTCTTGGCATTCGGCTACACCACGGGAGCACCGGAAAATACGGTCGACGAGTTGTATGCTTGCGCAAAATGCTTCGGATCTAGTCAGGGCGCATGCTAAATCAACCACGCTTGTACCTGGGTCTCATCTTGCTCACGCTTATCCTCTTAACACATATTTCAGTCGGCGTTGTCATAGGACGTGAAGAAGTGTCGATTTCCTCTACTTTAGGGAACCGTTCCCGGTACCTGTCAACGCGGCTGGACTCGCCATTTCCTTCCGGCGCCGAAGCAACCACCAGAATGCGTGGTTCAACAGCCTGCGGGTCGGCTATTCTAGGAGTTCACAAACGTTTATTTGAACAGGGATGCGGCCACAATATCTACAAGACATACTCTTCGTATTCCTCTCCGGCCGTTGATGCGCCGGTGTTCTGAAAACCTGATCGATTTGCCAACTGTCGATCGCTATGTTTCACGATGATGAGATCGACGAAGTGTTCCTAGAGTTTCATAGATTGAGCCGCCGGTTGGGTGGATCAAGTACACCTATCATCCGGGATATGATCAGGTCCATCAAACGGGCCACCAACGAGATCCGGCGCAACTATTGGCGAGAAGAGGATAGACCTCAAGACAGAGTAGCGGATGAGACCCATAGTGAAAGGTTCGGGGACCGACAATCACACGGCAACAACTCTTTGCTGGGACATGAGGTGTTGCCAGTGGGGTTGACGGGTAAAAGTTCCCGCAGCAAGATCTTCTGAACTACGAGTGACGTGGTCTCTTAAACAGTACCCGGACACATGCGCGCAGGTCTCGACTCCACTCCCAGGGCTCCTGTCGACGACGATGAATTGTATTGAATCGATGAAAGATATGCGGTTGGTGAAGCGATCGCCACACATATGACGGACAAAGAAGACAACCGATTGCTACAAAATCAGAATCTATCAAGTGTGAGTGGTCGAGAACAGGGATCAGGTCAAGAGGCGGGAGAGAGAATAAATGTAGATTACAAAGCAGGACCTGCTAACACAGAAACCCTCAAGAGTGGCGGTACCAGTCAGTTTGGCCGGAAAGGTGACCCCACATGCACTGGATTACATCGGGACGGTGCTGACCTGGAACACAATCGAGTACAACAGAATCTTCCGAGCAGCCGTGGTTGAGATAAAGAACAGGCACAGGACCGGACACAAAACCGGACACAAGACCAGGCACAAGAGCCGAAATTGCGGAGGTCATCGCGAATACGGAAGCAGCCAACGGAAGACAATAGCCACAGCTCAGAGAGTAACCACAAGGTATATCTAGCACACCAAGCAGCACTTCAAGCCAGGACATTATCTTCAAGACAGTCAGCTCCCTTTCCCCAGCACAAATAAAGGAAGCATACCAAAGATAAGCCCAACGGGGTGGATAACCTCTATCAGTTTAAATCACAACTGGGGAATGAAGCCACATTAATTGCATTGCGTGAAGCGAACATGAACTGGCCGCTAATTTCCCAGTCTAGTATGGCGACGGACGACGGACCCGAGGATAGTGCCTCTGACAGTCTCTCTTTCATGATCTCTCTTGGAAGACGATTGAGTATGAGCCCGGCCGAAGCCTGGGCAAGTAGGATACTTCACCGTATCCGATGTACACATTTCCATCAACTATACATAGCTGCCATCGAGGATACCCGGAAAGGCCACGAGTCTTCCTTTTTCAGGATGAGTGACGAGCTTCTTCGCCGTCACGGAGTTGCCCCCACTCGACGATATGGCAACGGATTCGGTGTATCGTCCGCGGTCAAGGACCGGCTGGTCGAGTTGATTCTCTTGGACCCGCGACTACGAATTCAGCTCTCCAAAGATCGGTGCCGGCAAATTATCCAAGATATCGAACAGAACGGGAAACGATGGAGCAGACCAATTCAGAGATTGGGCTACGAGATCTTGCTGCTGATCCCGGACGAGCTCAGCGATAGAAGGTGAGTCTGCAAGCTGCCAAATGATCGAGTGTCGGCGTCCACCATTGTAGTCCCCACACTGACACGAAAGCATTGCAGAATGAAACTCCTTACAGACGGACAAAGGGACTGGCTAATAAGTGGCTGGAAGACCCGTTTCGTACGACTCAACGAGGCCGAGCGTGAAGAAGTTCAACAGACGCTGGACGTCATGTTTATGCCTCATATCAAGCCCTATTTGGAGATTTACAGTGCCGGAGGAGGCTTTTCGTCCCTCCCGTCTTTGAGAGGAGGCCTCGGTGCGGTCATACAAGGGACGCTGCATACGGAGACGGAAGAGCCAGTTGTTGATGAGCTGAGCGTTGTCAGAGCCCCGTATTCAATGGTTACAAGTGAAGGAACATCTAGTGATGTCAACACGTCGAGCTCCGAAGTAAACGCACGATCGTCGGAACTGTTGGACTTGAGTTCCTCTACGACCCCTCTGCAGAGCCTTCTCGGTATTACTTCAGCGGATGAGCTCCAGCTAGAAGATGGCGGGTTGGAAGATACGAATCCGGGATTCTTCGACGAGGCGCTTGCTGCGCCAGATTACTGCGGCCTGTAGTGCATCAGTTCGAGAGTGCATCAAGGACCCTAAGTGGAGTGTGGTCAAAAGGCCGCACTAATGCCCTGCGAATTGAGTTACTACACCTGATGTACGCAGAATGCGAGGTGGGTTCTCTTCTTGGTGATGGGTTTGTATGTTTGACAATCCCTAGGGAAGGTAATGGTGTAGGGGACGGGATTCGTATGTTCGAGAAACACTGGGGAAGGGGAGACACTGTGTCCTTTCGGCAACATTGGCGTGAAACGGAAATGCTGTAGCAATTTGAGAAAGAGATCCTCAGGCTGTCAGATAAATCGTGATTTTGGCTTGGGCTAGGTTTTATGATGTGCAAGCCTGCTTTAAGCTCATTTAGTATCGAACCATTCCGACTGCCGCCGAACTCTGTGGTAGCTTCACCTCCGTTCCTTAAGAAGCTCATACGCTTTGAGGGTGCTACGGTTTAAAAGAGCGTTACCTTCCATTGCAGTCTTCGTGTGGTATGAGTCTCATGCACCCAAGCTTGTGATCCGGGATTCGTGAGCCAATCAGGATGATAGGTATTGGGTTACCCAAAGTGCCCTGACCGCGTCAAAGTGCCCGCAGAACGGGCGCCAACCCTTCTGGATGCCGATCATGCTAGCTACTCGCCTGGACGGACATTGTCTCTTAGGCCACGGCATCAGCCATACAATCTTATTAAGTTGACGCTTCTCGGACTGGTCGCTGTGGTCTTCCGTCCTTGATGATCAGCTGCTGCAGTCATGCGGCTACTGACAACAGACCCCCATGGCGACCTGAAGCTCAAAGACTTCCTGATCACAGAGACAGTACCGGCATACGCATGTCTATCACACAGATGTGAAGGTAAAGAGGTCACCTTCCATGACCTGCAGAGGCTGGATTTTGTTCCAGAGTCCGAAGGGCGGCGCAAGTCATGGACCAAGATCCGCAAGAGACGGCGAGCTGCTCTCCAACTCGGTTACGACTATGTCTGGATCGACAGCACTCCTGGTGACAGTGCCCTACAAAAGGGTGTGCATCTGCCGCCGAAATCAATGGGTTCAAAAGGTCATCACTTTCGGCCCCATTCAGACCCAAACTATTTTAGGCATAGTCGCCGTGCCATTGCAAGTCGCTTTGACAGTGGCTCCTACATGGATCTAAACTTTCTACTTTCGTCGGGGCGTCTACTTCACGCCCCATAAAGCTAAATTTGTCTATTTCGTGTTTCGTGTTTGGCGCTTAGGTAGTTGGGTGATGCAAATCCTGATAAGTTTGAGACTCGCCATGACGCAGAGGTAAATATATCTTATACATACCCTAATTCTACCCGACAACAGACCGACCTTATATGCTTCTCAACGGCGTAATGGCAGACCCTATCGCCGCGATTTCCGGCTTTACTGCTTTCGCATCTGAGGCGAGCGCCTCGCTCCGGAACACGATCCAAGGCTTTCAGCCCCATTCGAGGCACATTCGGGACCTCAATGACGAGCTTGAATATCTGGCCACTGTCTTAAGGGCTCTGGACGAAACCTTGAAGAGCCCGGCGGATACTTATCTGTTGTCTCTTCCTCTAGATCGCTGTGCCAATGCTTGTAAAGGGTTTCAACAGGAACTGCTCAGACATACACAGCGGTCTCATGGAAATTCAAGCTTCAGATACTGGGCCAATATAAGGTATCTCGGTGACGACATTAACGGGTTTAGACGACTTCTAGCGGCGTTTCGGGCAACCTTCACTATTGCCCTTGTTGGTGTAAACCTGTACGTACTTTGTACATACTTCTGTGGCATTCTTAACCTCAACAGTCGAAATCGTCCTACTACAATCGAAGTCTTTGAGAGCTACAAGACACTTCTTGACTCCACTGCTATTGACCTTCAAGAACGGCTTGAAATCATTGATGGAAGAATCGAGGCCATTGAGCGAACAACAGTTGAAGCCACTTCAGATTCCATAGATCTTCAGGCAGTGAAGAATTGGCAAACGGGCATACTAAGATGCATTCAGATCTGCGACCAGTCATTTGAACACGTTCACCAAGTTGATTCTGGATCACGTGGCCGAGTCAACCCATCAGGAGACTTCGACACGGCAAGCCATCTCGATACGATCGTCAATCAATCGTTACAAGACTCTCGGAATAGACTCAATTTACGTATTACGAAGGTTGAGAGACACCTCAAAGATATCGCGGATCGAATGGCAGAGACTTCGAGATCCATGCAAACAGCAGACGATGTTAGCCTACACCGTACAGAGCTCCAAGAGGAACTGGGAAACACCAGCCGCTGCATAGACATTTGCTTGCAGGCCCAACGAGAAATAGACGACAGGGTTGGAAAATCTAGCCGAGCTGCTAGCCCTCAAAATCTCGCCCATGATGTGCAAGAGCGGGAGCGTGCTGCTGAGATGGCCACGCCAGATACTCCCGAAATCCTCCTTAGAAACATCAGCCGACAACTACTGTCTCTCCAAAATAGGATCTCTTCAACGATCTTCGAAAGTCACCGAGTACCAAGTGTCACAGATAACACACTGGCGACTCAACAGGTAATACTATCGACCAAGGATCACTTCGATTCCGTGGGAATTGCTGCTGGCCATGGATCACGGGCCATCCTCGGATTAATGTCTGATGAGACTATGCGACAATTACTCTCCTGGAGGTCAGAATATGAACGAAAGCATATCCCTGGAGGAAGCGGACCAAAAGACGCTCCATTTCAGAACTGGAAGCGCGAATTACTTGATATTCACCAAGAATTGGAATTTGCTTTCCATTCTATCAATGAGAACAAAGCACCGACCGACTCAGGATATGCTAGTGTGGGGACTTCAACACCATCTATTGATACGAGCGAAGAGTCTGCAAGCCACAATGACAGTTCACGTTCACCGGACTTCGTACAAGCAGATTTGCGACGTGACGATTTCCGCCCCGCCTTGAAAGCGCATATTGGACGAGTAATTCCATGCAACGAAGATATCGGCTCACAGAAGGCTTGTTCAAAGATAGCCGAACTCGTTGTTGCAGAAAAGCATCTGGAGTCTCTCCTACTGGAGTCTGATATACTTATTTCAATAGTCCGCCAAACGATCCCGAATCGCAACATGTCGGAATTTCTGGAAGATTTCCGCGAACTGTTAAAGTACTATCACATTGACCTTCGCCAGGAAGCTCGAACAAATCTACAGAACGCGACCGCTATGCTGTTGCGTAGCCACTGGTACAGGGCGAGAATCGCGAGGCGAATCTTTCACAAAATCACGAACCAGGAGCCTTTGGACTCTAATGAGGAAGATGAAAACCCGCGCTATGCAAGCGATCCGTCATTATACGATTTGAATGATTGGCTTGCTAACAACCAAGGATTCAACGATCCGAACAACGGTTGTCGAACTCCTCCGGAGATTGATGAGAGTCAATTCTCCACAGATGAAGACACATCTGATATCGACAGCGAGCTTCACGAAGCAGTTAAAGACCTAAAATATATCAAGAGTATGGAGGATTTCGTCTTTCGGAGCAAATCATTTCGCAAACTGCTCGAACGCGTACAAATGCTAACCATTTCGCCTGTCTATCACGATGTACGCCGTATTCTGATGACTTTACCGGACACGAGCATCGCGTTCAATGATGAGCCTCCTTGGTCTTTGTTCGACTGGTGCAGGTCCTTGTTAGAAGCGCGATCGAATAGTCGCTGGGACTCGTGGCCAACGTGCCAGGCACAGGGAGAGCTTGCAAATAACATTTGCCATATCAAATGGAAGTGTGTAAGTCAGAAATTTTGTTTCATTTGTATAACACTAAAACCAATAGCATTGTGGAAGAAAACACCGTCGAGATATCCCACGAGATGAAGGTGCAAAGCTCAAGCGGCTGATTGAACTTCGCGGCGAACCACTGTACAATGAGCATTTGTGCTTCGGTCGCCGAAGAGGGCGACATAGCTGGCGAAAGTTCTTGCCATCTCCGGAGTCCTGGTGGGCGTCGGATAAGATCAAAGTAACAGGTCAATGTTCACTGGGCACAGCGCAGGCACACTCAGCGATGTCAACCTCCTCGTCTACAAGTGTCACTCGGTCCAATGAAAGAAGGGAAACGTCAGGTCACAATGGTCGATCGCCTAATTTATGTCAAAACTACGGTAATAAGGGTTCCGAACCCAGCTCATCCGATGTTGGGCAAACAATACACACAATCGTGATCGAATCAAGAAACGATTTGAGGTTGCTGTTGGGGGTTAAAGCCAAAAAGAGGTGTTTGGATATTGACCAGATCGATCTCAGTCGCAAAAATTCTCCTACTGATGGTGATCTCATGAATGAGATCGTTACAGCATACAGAAGCATTCGAGGATGGCCGAGGCTATGGTTCTCGATATATCAAATGAGATTCTGTGTGTTCAAGAAGGTAAGCGCTTCCACATGCACAAATCTGGCTTTAACTTTCAGTTCAGTTCTTGAAATACCGGCGGAACAGAATCAGCTCTATGCAAGAAGGAATTCCAGAGTATGACGACGACTACGTTTACAAGAATGGGTCACAAGAGCCCCCAGATGAACGCCCACCCGTATCTCAAGAAGAGTTTGAGGATTCTCTTTTCGTCTGCGCAACGCCCTGTCTCTATTGGTTTTGGCCATGGCACGAGTGCATTGGCCCGCTGACCCAAAAACGACTCTACGAGCGTATCCCTAAGAAGAAGAGCATATGGGCTTTAGACTGTCATGATGAAAGCGAAGCATGGGGTTTGGAAACAGTGTACGGCATTTCTATCCCTCATGTAGTTGCTTATCATGTTCTTCTCCTTGCAGCAACGTTTGGATTTTGGGGCTGGTGGCAGATCCGACATCCTGATGACCTACAGAGCGCAGGAACCCCCATAACTGTCCTCCTTGGTCTACTATCGCTGTTTTGGACAACATCGGGAGTTTTGAGGACCTCAGATGTATCTAGGCGATAGAACTGGCTGAATAGTAAATTCAGACTTGTATTGGAGCGCTTGAGGGGTCATCCGGAGAGCCGGAAAGACTCGTATCGTGGCTGGGTCGCTGTGAGGGCCGGCCGAGCAGCCATCGAACGTACACTAACACCGGTGTCACGGTAGTTGGAACGGCTAAAGTGGTGAGCTATGATGATACTGTTCGAGTTCAACGGCGCCAAAAAGCAAGGTTTTCGAGTGGTGGACTGTCATAAGTTACTCATCTAAGCCTTGATTCGGCTGAGCGAGAAAGATCTCAGGGGCTCCTCCCCGGCCCGTTTAACTTGAAGTCCCGTGGCTTTTTCATCCGCCTCGACAGCATGATCTTCTGTACTCCTAACTGGATCGACTTAATTGCTACTGTTGTAAGTAACCCCGCCAACTTTGCTGCCTGCAGGTTTGTAGTCTTCGAGAATTTGAGTCACCCTGCTGTCACTGTTCACAAACTCCCAATTATCTAGGTTGGTCCAGGAGTCCTCTACTATTGATGGCAGGACTGGGTCAACTAGAGCCTCCCCTTTTCATAATCAATGGGCAATAACCCAAGCGGCTGTAAGAGAGGATTACTACAAAAATTAGCTATTTTATTTATTTTATATATATATTAGTACTATAAGACCATGGTGCCAGAGTTTGAGAGTAGTACCAGTGGTGGTTGTTGAGCTATTGTTGTCGCCATTTTGTACTGAGATTTGCCTCTGCCAAGAAGAAAATTATACACTAACCTGATTGAGTTTTTGTCTAATCAATAAGCCAGCACTCTTGCCTATATATATCCTAAGAATTCTACTTAGGATTTAAAAATTTTATTTCAAGAGGTCTACCCTCTTAAAATAAAATAAAAGAAATTTAAAAAAAAGATATATTATTTATTATGTTATGAACCGCTCCGAACGTCGGGTCCAAACTGGGTTTAGCAGCTGGGTGAATAGTATCAGGGTCAAGGCTAGGCCAAAGTAAACGTAGTGTTACGGATCACGACCGCAACCCGACCAAGGCCAGCGGCCGCAGGGGCGCTCAGCCCCAAGGGGAAGGTTACCCGGGGGAAGAACGGACCCCACAGAGAAGTGTACCTCAGGGACAGAGAACCGCTGAGGAGTCACGTGATCAGGCTCTGGTGCTCTCCCTGCTCTGGACAGAGCAACAGAGCACACAGAGCAAGACAAGCTACACAGCACTATATAGAGGGACGACCCATCCTGACACTAGGTAGGACTTTTGTAGTCAACTTCGTATATTAATTCACTCTATATATTAGTAGTACAACTGCTACTATTAGTTCCTACATTTACTTTGGCCTAGCCTTGACCCTGATACTATTTACCCAGCTGCTAAACCCAGTTTGGACCTGACGTTCAGAGCGGTTCATAACACTTTAACTACCCTGCAACAGATAGTATCAATCATATCTAGCGTTCGATCCCCATCCCCATCTAGATCTGTCTTGGGAAAGAGAGGTAGTACTACTAAGGCTGCTTCTAGCCTTAGTACCTTGGTCCAGTTAGAAGGAGATGGTAAGCTCAAGGCTAGGGTGGAACCCTTTACAGGGCAACACTCTCAACTTTGAGCTTATCTGATCCAGCTCTGTATAGCCTTTAACCTTAACCAAGGACAGTTTATCAGTAACTAACTAAAGGTCATCTACACCACAGCCTATCTTAAAGGAGCAGCTTTTACCTGGTTCAAACCCTTTCTCAGCGACCACTATAAGAATATAAATAGGGCTAAAGAAAAGACCAAGAGGCTTATTAACTCTTTCAAGGAGTTTAAAAGAGAAATAAAGGTGATCTTTAATACAGCTAATAAAGAAAGAACTGCCGCTAGAGAGATACATTAGCTCAGGCAAACTGGATCTACATCTGCCTACTATTCTATATTCCAGTAAGTGGCCTCACACCTAGACTGGGATGAAGATAAAGCCTTATAGGATATATTCTACCAGGGATTGAAGATAGAGGTTAAAGCTAAAATAGCTGTACTACTACCTACAACTCTGATTGAAGTGGTAGACAAGGCTATCAAGGTGAACAACCGACTCTACAAGCTCAGGATAGAACAACAACACCCCGGAAAGGTTCTATTCAGCGGATATAGGGGGAGGAAGGGTTGTACTTACAATTGAGGGGACCCAATGGATCTTTCTGTGATGTGAGCCAGACAGTCCTTACAACCTAGAGGCCATGGTAATAGTAGGATTCTGGGTAGAGACAAACAGGAGAAATGTAGACAAGACAACCTGTGCTTCAGTTACGGAAAATCCGGACATCAGGCGAAAGACTGTGGGACCCCGACCTAACAACTGCATATGATAAACAAACAAATAGCTAGTACACCAGGAAAAAAGGCTGACACTGGTGTGAGCACTACTAAAGAGGTAGGCAACCTCTCTGAATTAGAAGAGGTACAAGTATAGGAGGGATTAAGACAACCACTAGTAGGAACAAAGGCCTACTGGGAATGGTATAAGAAGGAGTTTATATAGGCGCATGTATCCTCTAAAGACAAAAGCTTTATTAAGATCCTGAGAGAGGGAGAGGCCTCTTACACACAACCTCTAGAAAAGGAGAAGGCCAAGCCAGAAAAAGAAGCGGATACACCTGAGAGACTCAGCTGTTTCTAGAAGAAAGCTATTTAACTAGTGGAGAAATATAACCGCCACACCAGAAAATTATAGATAGCCTATTAGTATGACTGATACTTAGCTCACAAGAGCGAGAAGGAAGGGTTGAGGTGGTACCCTAGGGGAACCAAGAACAAATATTGATACCAAGACCCGGCTGAATAGGTAAGAGACCTCTAATAGGAAGAGTCTGAAGAAGGTGCGCAGGATCACCACAACATGTATATAGAGGATAAGGAAACTATACACAATCTTTCCATGATAAGCTGAAAGGTGCCCAAAGGAAAGCAACCTAGTGAGAGGGACTCTCCCTTAGTGATCCTTAATACAGGACCTTTCTATGTCACAGTAGCCACCAAATAGTGAGGATTAACTATAGGACAGGATAGGGAAAAATACCCTACCTATTTTCTAACAGGAGGAAGGATAGAGATACAACAACCTATGGTAATAAGGGTGTGCCCTGACCATAAGTGTCCCAAATATCCGACTATTCACACACACAATGTAATAGGACAGTTAATATACTCCCTAGAGGAACAAGGGTCAATAAGCCTACATATGATGGCTAAACAACAACCAACTATATTACTATACTTCCAAGATAAAGAAACAACAAGTGAGGAAGAGTTAAGTAACAAATCAGATTGGGAAGACTAGACACATAATAGCGAGCTCCCTAAAGCCCTGAACAAAGACTAAGCCTCCAAAGCCAAACCATAGATAGTCACTCACATTACACCAGGATTGGTCAGGCTTGTCACTAATCAATAGGAAAAGAAAAGGTGTACAGGAGATTGTTCAATTGAAACCTAGCACACACATATTATATATACATCAAAAGCAAGCCTAAAGAGAGACATTAGGGTGTTTCACTTGAAAATATATAAGGACAAACAGTGTGATAACAGGGACAACCTACATATGTATATTAAACACAGGGAAGACAGAGTGTCCGAAGAAATAAACATACCCACATCCTAGAA